GACCGAAGCGCTTACGTCCCATCAATACAAAGTGTTGAAGTGACCCGATGTTTGACTACGCACCGGTAATCCATTGATACAGGACCTGTCGAGCACCTACTGGCGCCTCCCCAGAGGCATCGACCTTGGCCAGCAAGGGCTGCAAACGTTTGCTCAAGTCCGCACCCAATTTCGCTCCCGCCTACCCCAAGCACAATAAAGCACAGCAGTCAGCCCCGATCAGCATCTTCCAAAGCAATGCACACCAAACCCACGAGTTAACCCACCTTGGCTTGGGCCTCCGTGAGCAGGTTCTCCAGCTCAGACTGTGGCGTTTCAAGAGGGAAAACCACTGTGAGACCAAAAGCAAGTCGCAGACAGCCCCACATCCAATCTGGGTCAAGAGCCTACATCGACCTAAAAGCTCGTGCGGAAACCTACCGCGACAGTCTTCTCGTCGCTTGCTGTGCCCTCAGCAGCAGCTGGCGCAGCGCTGACTGCTGGTCCCTCGGCCTCGGCCATTGATGTGGGTGGAGCGCTCGCCTTTGAGATTGGCGGAGGCTTGTCCTTGTCCATCAGCGGTGGGCCGGCTGTCGAGTCGAAAACTTGAGCACCTGTACTACCGTCTGCAGGCGCTGTGGTTGTCGTTGGCACGGTTGCATAGTGACGCGTGCGGCGCTGCCCCTCCCGACTACCCAATGCTGCAGGTGGGTCATTCCAACCTCTACAAGCGCCGTCCCATCATCAACTGAGCCAGAGAGCATGAAACATGGCAAGAAAGAGTTTGGTTGCAACAACCCACGCGCACCTAAGCTGATCGCGCTGCTGCTGTGACACGGCTTCGAGCGTCAACGCCTGCGGTTGCGGCTCACTCATGACGACGTCCCTCGCACGGTTTTCCCGATGACCTGCTGCATCCGTCAAGAAGAAGAAGTAAAAACAGCTGCACAGAGATGCTGCGCATCCGTGGTTGAGCCTGAGAGAGGCATTCCGTACCATAACACCAAAGCCGCAAAGTTCACGCAAAACCCAAGGGGCTGCAGAGATATGGGTAATGATGGCTTACTCCGCAGAGACAAACACACGCACGGATGCAGGCGAAATGGATTGTCAGCAATTTGTGGACGAATGAACGAACGACTCCGACTGGACCACGAACACGACCCACTGAGCTGACTGGACGGCCTGCCATACTGCCCGCCATTGGTGATGGGAATGCGGTGAAGCAGTGGGCTGAGACGGTAGCTGGGTACCTGCGGGAGTGTGGCCTGAAGATTTGCTGTGCTGGTGAGTGTCTAAGAAAGGAGTGGGAGCCATGTCCCGAACCCTGCTGGCCCGCGAGGCCAACCAGGCACGGCTGCTGGCGGCGTATGCGCAAGAGTTTATGGGGAGGAGCCTGGCGGCCGACATCCCGCGAGCCGTGCAGGAACGGACCAAGCTCTTTCTCATGGACTCGCTGGCCTGCGGCCTCAGCGCCGTCAAGCGCAACTACCCCAGCCTACAGGTGCTGCAGGAGGAGGCCTTGGCCTACACACTGGCCCCGCCTGCACCCATCCCAGGCTACACCAAGCTGCCCTGGTCCGTGCCCACTGCCACCGTGCTGGGCACCACCGCCGTTGTGCCCCTGGAGAAGGCCGTCCTCTTCAACTGCGCCGCCGTTCGCGAGCTGGATGCCAACGGCACCGTCTTTGGCTTTGACCCCCGCCACCCAACCGACCGCAACGCCGGCGAATTTGGTCACAACGACTTTTATCCCGTCGTGCTGGCCTCCGCTGAAGCCCACCAGCTAGACGGCGAGACCGCCCTCAAGGCCATGATCCTTCACGATGAAATTCGAGGGCGCCTCTGCGAGAGCTTTAGCCTTCAATCCCACCGCATCGATCACGTCTTGCACGGCGGCATTGCCACCTGCGCCGTCTATGGCGCCCTCCTGGACTGCACCGAGAAGCAGATTGAATCTGCCATCAGCCTCCTCGTTTCTCACTACGTCCCTTGGCGCTCCATCCGGGCAGGCCACCAACTCAACGATTCCAAGGGCTGCAGCGCCGCCTTTACCACCGAAATGGCCGTCCAATCCGTTCATCGCGCTGCCCTGGGCTTTGAGGGCCCCGCTGACATCTTCCGCAACCCGGCCAGCCTCTTCCGCGTCTTTGAGCCCCAGTCGGATGGCCAGAGCCCCTTTGACCTCTTTCTGGCCGACCCCAGCCCCACCGCTACCCCCGAAGACTTTGCCATCACCAACATGCATTTCAAGCTTGGCCTCTACGAGCACCAGAGTGCGGGTGCCGTCCACGCCCTCTTGGCCCTCTTGGCCGAGGAGCCCGGATTGCAGGCCAGCGCCATTCGCGGTATCACCGTCGCCATTTACGACCCGGCCTACGGCATAATCTGCGACCCAGCCAAATGGGCACCCACCACACGCCAGTCTGCCGACCACTCCCTCCCCTATATTCTGGCCCGCCTCCTCGTCAAAGCCCGCGCCGCCGAGCGCGCGGGCCAGTCCACCGACCACGACCTCGTGGGCCTCTGGGAGGACCTCATGCTCACCCCGGAAGACTACAATGCCGAGGCTCTGGAAGACTATGCCACACGCGAGTGCATTAGCCAGGTCCGGGTTGAGCACGACCCGGCTCTAGATGCCCACTACCCGGCCGGCATCCCCACCCGTGTCATTGTAGACCTGGCTGACGGTCGGCAGCTCACTCGCACCGTGCACGCCCCCCTGGGTCATGCCGCCTACCCGGACGAGGCTGCCTGTCTTCGTCTCTTGACGCACAAGATGAAAACCTTCCTCGATGATCCCGACACGCTAGAGCGCGTCCAGCGTGCCGCCCGCCTGGAGGAGCTTCAGTTGGAAGACATGCACACCTTTGTGGCCGACTTGCAAGCATCCATCCCCGATGTGAACGATGCTCAGGAGCCAGGCTCGGTATGATAAAAACTGCTGCACCTCAGCGCCTTGGGCCCTCTCTGTCTCATGTCAATATTCAATCAAGCAGTACTTCAATCATACAATGTCATTAAGTCTTGATGAAGCGCGTGGCGTGTCTATTGTGACAGGTAGCTTAGTGAGCATCGCGTTCAAAGTTTCAATTGTCAAAATACTTCGATTAAATCCAAGACAAAAAGAAAAAAAAAAGCGTCCGCTTCAGAATAAGTGCCAAGAAAACAGCCCGATTGCATGTCACAAGCCCAGCATTTAAATTGCTATACTCTCAAGATTGTCATCCAAGAACGAGCGTGCCTTTGGCGCCGCGCGCGTGCACGCAGGCCCTTGAAGCCAGGGCAGGGAAGAACTGGCGCTGGAGGGTGCGGGCGCCGATGTCGCAGCAACGCTCGGTGCCTCTACAACAGAGGCAGCTGCAGCTTTCTGCTCCCAGGGCAGCGCTGTGTTGCCGCCACCGCGCGGCTTGGTGGCAGCGTTGTCAAAGAAGCTCAGGGCATTTTGAGCGCTACCTGCGCTTGTGCCGATTGGACCTTTCGAAGACTTGGGGGCGCTGGTTAGAAAGTCAGGGAGGGGACCATTGGTACCCGTTGGGCGCTGCGAAGTGACTGCTTTTCGATCACGGAAGTCCTCCAGAAGGTCGGGCCGCGCGGGCTTGCCCTGGTGCAAGTTTTGGACCGAATCGGGTACCTCACGGGCCTTGCGAGGGCCAGCTTGCATCCAAAGAGGCACGCCACTCCCTGCATTCGGGATGGGGGCAGGCGCTGCTGCTGCCGTGGGTGCAGGTGCTGTTGTGCTACCCACGTCGGTAACGTCGTCAATCGCTTGAAGTTTAGCCAGGAGAGCATCCTTTTTGCGACGTGCCTCGGCGGCATCCTGTTCGGCCTTGGCCCGAGCCTCTTGTTCTGCACGCTCACGGGCCTCGTTTTCCAGCCGCTCGCGAGCCTCTTGTTCTGCACGCTCCCGGGCCTCTTTCTCCAAGCGCTCGCGAGCCTCTTGTTCTGCACGCTCCCGGGCCTCTTTCTCCAGGCGCTCCCGGGCCTCTTTTTCCAGGCGCTCGCGGGCTTCTTGTTCTGCGCGGTCACGGGCCTCCTTCTCCAACCGCTCACGGGCCTCTTGCTCTGCGCGCTCACGAGCCTCTTGCTCCACCCGCCCACGGGCCTCCTTTTCCAACCGCTCGCGGGCCTCTTGCTCTGCGCGCTCACGGGCATCGCGATCGGCATCAAACCCAGCTGTAGTGGTGCGCGGGGTGGCTTGCGCCGGCGTGACGGTTCGCGTTGGGCTCTCTGGAAGGGAGAAATTTTGCACGTCGGGAACTGGAGAAGGGCTGGCCGCGACTGGCGCACGCGGCGCGGGTTCCTTTGCGGCTTGCGGCAAGGCGGGCTGCTTACGGCGCACCGGGGCAACAGCAGGCTGTGACGGCGCTTGAGCCTGGGCCTTGGTTGGCGGACTGCGGGGAGGAGAGGGAGAGGGGTTGGTCATAAAAGCAGAACGAGTTGCTTCACGTGCGATGGCGGGTTTAGCCGGTGTGTTGTCCGCACGAGCTTCCATGACGGGAGCTCGACGATCCCGCGCGGCCAGAATGTTGAGCTTCTCAAGCTGGCGGTCTCGAGCTGCAAGTTTGTCCTCCAGCTCCTCAATGCGTCGCTCGAGATGAGACACTTCGCCTTTGACCTGCGACACCTGCTTCCCCTGGCTGGCCTCGGCACGAGCCAGCTGCTTTTGCAGCAGGTCGCAATGGTGCTGCAGCTTTGAGACTGCTTCATTTTTCGTCTGCAGTTCTTGCTCCAGCTGATGTACCCGCTCGGTGGCGGTGGCGGCCTCGAGAAGATCTTTGTCCTTGACGAGCGACTCCAAGCGGCGGGCCTTGTCCCGTACCTGCTGCATGTGCTTGTCCTTTTTCTGGTGGCTGGCCTCGAGCTCGGTGTTGCGAGCCTTCAGGTTGCGCATTTGTTCACGTAGAGCGCGCAGCTCCTCCTCGCGCTGCCGCAATTGTGATGGCAACTCAGAGTTGGAGCCCTCATATTGATCAATGGCCTTTGTTTGGCGACGTTGAATCTTTTCCAGAAGCTTGAGTTCACGCCTCAGTTCCTGGTTCTCCTTCTCGGCGGCCTGCAGGCGACTCTGGAGGCCGTTCTGATACTCGCGCTCGGCTGAGCTGACGACCCGACGCGGGCCACCCCGAGAAGGCTTGGTCGACACTTTTCGGCGGCGCACCTTGCCGTTGGACGTGCCGTTGGTGGTGCTCGGGGGAGCGGGTTGACGCCGGGGAGCTTGAGCAGCCACGGGCAGGCGTTGTTCGTCCTCCGTGTCAAAGTCATCGCTGTACATCTTAAAGTCACTCTCGGCGTCCGACATGGTGTTGGTTCCGCTTGAAATGCCGGTCGTCCCCTCGTCAAGGCAAAAGCAAACCACCAGGCTCAACAGGAGAACAAGATGAAACGTCCAAGCCCAGGTAGGTAGCAACCCCCACACGCGACGAACAGGAACCGAAACGGAAGAGACAGGCGCAGCAAACGAGATGAAACGCCAGGGAGAGCAAAACGAAAAATAAAATTTCTCTGTGTGTGTGTGTGTGTGTGTGTGTGTGTGTGTGTGTGTGTGTGTGTTTTGTTGTGTAAACCAACAGTTCAAAAGGTGTTGGTATTGAATACCACTTAAAGCAGTAACATACATGGTTTTTGAATCTTCAACCAGTACATACACTAGCTCTACTACTAAAACTCAGTGTAGTTTATGCAGAAGATATTGATGTTATTGAGGGGACGACTGCTCGCTTTCGCTGTGCTGTTGTTGTTATCTTTTGCACTGGTTGGGAGGGGTTTCCTGTGTTAGTGTGACTGTGTTCACACTTTATAAATTGCCGCTCAAATTTGAACAAAGCCGTGAATCTGCTCGAAAGAGGAGCGCGCCGAGCTGACTTTTCGTTCTTTGGGCTCGTTGCCTGCCCTGTCTTGCCCGCGTGCTGATCCGGTTGACGTGACAGGCTCGTCTGGCCTGGGGGTGCCAGTCCCTCTTCCTTCACGCCAAGCGCGCTTCTTTTGCATCGGGACAATCCACCATGGTGGGCCTGGTGGCCTTGGAGCGTGGTGCGCTTGAACGCGAGCGCCGCATGCTGGCCCGCAAAGCTCGGTCGGCCCTGACCAGCATAGAGCAGCAAATTCTTGCGACGTAGGTTCAACCCCGGTACCCTTGAGGGTGTGCTTGTTTCTTTTTTTTTTTTTTTTTGTGTTTGTTTCCCCTCGACAATCGCCAAGCGTTTTTGCTGCCCGTTCGGATAAGCTCATGTCACGGTCTCGCGACGCTAGGGCTTGGCAAGAGTATGCCACCGCTGCCAACCTTGAAGACTTTCTGCTGAACCTCGGCCGAGTCATCTCGCGGCCTCGTCACATCAAGCTTCTTGACCTCGTGGCACCGCTAGTTTTGCCCAAGCATCGAGACGCTTTTGATGTCGAACGGCGCATCTGGCAGTTTGCCACCAACCCCCCCTGCCGCTTCGACCAGCTGCTGCAGCTCGATGGTGCTCAGGCTGGCCAGCTGCTGGTTGTCACATTACGCCGCTCGTCCACCCGCCTGCCCCTGGGCTTCTCTGTGAACATCCATCAGCACTTGCCCATCGTCACCCGCGTTGACCTGGGCTCACCGGCAGCCGCTGCCGGCTTGCGCGAGGGAGACGTCCTTCTGGTTCTGAATCAAGCGCGCTTGGCCGGAACATCGCGCGCAACGGCGGCTGAGCATCTCAAGCACCTGCTTGCGACGTGTAAAAAAACAGTGCGCTTACTCATTCTTCCCAGCGGCGCTGCTGCTCGTGCCTCTGCCACTCGTGCCTCAGTCGCGGCACCCCAGAAAAATACCTCGAGCCAGAAACTGGCGACCAAGCCCGCAACCCGCCCCGCCCTGGCTGATCTTGGCAATCGCCAAACCTCACCTACCAAGGCTGGTCCCCGCACACATGATGACTGGGCCTCCCCTGCACCGTCGGCTCGCTCCGCTGCCTCCAAAGGCAGCTCTGCTGCAGCCAGTCACACCAGCACGACCCCCAACCACGACATTGTGATCCCTGTCCTGAGTGGACAGGCGTTGGGCTTCAACATTGCGGGTGGTGCAGAGTATCAACGACCTCTCATTGTCAGCCATGTTCATCGCAATTCGCTCGCCTACGCTGCTGGCCTGCGAACTGGGCAGGAAATCGTGACGGTCAACGGGGCCTCAACGAGTGGCATCCTACACTCAGTTGCCGTGCAGCTGATTCGTGAGCGCGAGCACCTGCGCTTGCAGGTCCGCCGACGCTTTAGGCCAACTTCCAATGATGCCCCCACCAACGCACCCGCTGCCCATTCTTCACAGTCCCAGCCCCAACAGGCACCCAAGAGTGCAAGCAGCAGTCGCCCCGTTAGCCCCAGTCGCTTGGCTCTGGGCTCCTCGAGTCACACCAGCCATGATCGAGCCAAGCTTCCTGTCACTCGGGTAGCACCCGCAGCCCCGGGCCACACCTCCCCCCGCCACATTGTGCCAAGCCCCACGCGTAGTACCCAGCGACTTCGGGTTCGGATTCCTGGCCTGAGCCGCACGCGGGGTCAACACCACATTTCCAGCGGCCCGCGCAGCCCTGTTCGACAGGCTTCGCCTTTGCGCGGAGCTTCCCCGCGTCGTTCCCGCCAAGCACGCATGCAACACTACCTATTGCCTTCGCCCATGTCCTCTGCAAGCAGCCGTGGCAGCAGTGGACCCCGCCTTCATCGAGCAAGGCACATGGCGGCCAACATGCTGGCACTGCCGGGATCTATGACAAACCACTCACCAATACGTCACCGCGTGGACTTTGACGAGTCCTTCTCCCCTACTCGGACCGTGGGCGCGGTGCGCCTAAACCTCACGCCGTCACCTCCACGGCAGGCGCCGCCGCCACCACCATTGGCCATGTCTTTCCTGGAACCAGATGACCGTGACGCCTTCAGCGACAGTGACTTTTCGGATTTTGAGCCCATGGGCGAATCAGAGACTGATCCTCACAGCCCAGCACCCGGTCCGGCGCTGCCGGCCCCAGGGCGCACGGCCAGTGTACCGCCTGCTCCACCAGCACCAGCACCACCAGCACCAGCACCAGCACCAAGACTATCGTCGAGGCAACCGCTGGTGCAACCGAAAGCATCGGGTCCGGCCCAACACGACCTGCTCGATCAGATTCGTGGTTTTAAACGTCAAGCACTGCGGCCGCCTATGGAGTCCAAGCTTGAGGAGCCCGCCACCCAAAGCGCTAACCCACTCATGGCTGAGTTGCAACTCGCACAAGCCCGTCGGCGATATGCTGGTGCATCCATTGCGTTGGCCGGACCAACGTCTGCTACGGCCTCACCGGAACCGTCTGGTGTACAGCGTCGCCCCCTTGCTCAAGGAGGCCAAAAAACCATGGCACCAAAGGTGCGCGCCTCACAAGTGGTACCGGATCAATTGCCAGCTCCAACTTTGTCAGCAGCCACCTCAATCAGCGCTTCTGTGGTGCCGGCTCAGAAGGGCAAGCACGAGGACGCCCCAGTCTCTGCCACTGACGTCGCACCGCAGCGAGTGGCACTGCGTCCGCCGCCGGTCCTCAAACCAAGTCCTGCTGCTAGCACAAGTGCTGCATCACAGACTCGCAAGCAGCCGCCACCTCCGCCCCCACGTGTTCGCTCGCGTTCAGGTTCCTTGTCGCAGCCTCTGACCCCTACAACACACAATATCACCCCATGTGCCGGGCCCATGTCGGCTGCGCGCCGCACCCCGACGCCATCAGCTCCCCCACCACCTCCCCCCCGCGTTCGAACGCAAGTGGCACCTCAAGCACCACCGGCTGCTGCTGTGCTTCCCTCATCTCAAGGAGCACAAGCCAGACACGTCAATGTTTATACTGCACCCCCTGCGCCGCCCGTGCCCCCTGCGCCGCCTGCGCCACCCATGCCCAGGACAATGGCGTCCGGCAAACAGGGCAGCTCTTCGTTGACTGTTGATCTGCAGGGTTTTGATCGCCAAAACCTGCAGCCGGTAGGTCAACAAGCCGCCCGACCGGTGTCAATGCGAGACCAAGTGCTACAAACCATTGCTGACTTTGACACAACGCGGTTGCGGCCAGCACCGGCACCCCAGGCTCCAATGTCAGCGCCTCGCGACCAGGTTTTGACAGCAATCCGAGCGTTTTCAACTTCCAGCCTTCGCAAAGCCCCCGTGGTTGCACCTGCCGCATCGCGTGATCCACACTCTACTCTTATGACTGCCATTCGTGCTGCAGCTGAACTACACCCCTTGAAGCAAGTGAGCTCACCGGCCAAAGACGCGCAAACCTCTTCTACGCCACAGCTTAGCCCACACGAGACTGTCTTGCTCGAATTGCGTCACGGCCGCCATCAGCTGAAGGCAACAAACTTGCAGGCAGTACAGTCCAGACCTCGGAGCCCACGAAGCTCTGTGCTGACAGATATTCGCGACTTTCAGTACAACAGCCTACGGCGCCCAACTACGCCTGTCCGAGTGCCTGTCAGCCCCAAGGCTGGCCTCGTGTCCTCTTTCAACGCCGCGCTGGCCGAAAAGTTTAAAAACTGTCGGAGCCCACGCCCGGGCGCGGCGCATACTGATGCTTGGGATGTTACTTCGTCTCCGTAAAACAGAAAGATAAAATAAAAAAAGAGAGAAAGGAAGACTCGTGTCTTCCAAACGGTGCCGAGCACCGTTATTTATCATCGCTGCTGCCTTGGCTTGAGTTGCTTCCGTATCAGTCGACTTAAAAAGCATGTGTCTCGTGAAAAAAAGTCTGTACTTACAATCGAGTTTATTCTCAATGCATGGTTTCTTGAAAGCATCAATCGCGACTCTAGTCATATAAATTGACATGTCAAGAAGTACCTTTTTGGTTCGTCTGGATAAATGCTTTGCAAAGCCCTTCCGACTTTTCTATGCTCATTCTAGGCTGCTGCGCTCGGATGCCGCTCGAGAAACATACACGATGCGAAGAGAGACGAGGCAGTCGGCAACAGGCGTCCCAACATCTACCGGCAAGTAGCATGGCTACTGTGAGCTTGCACCATCGGCTGTGAGTGCGGCCCACGCTTCTCCCGGGGCCTTGGCGAGCTTGATGTCCATCTTTGTGGACAGCAACTGGACCGTTGATTCGGCTGGAATGATGTTCTGCGCCAGGTGACAAGAAGCGAGGGAAGGATGTGAGAACGGGATTGAGCACCATCAGAGAACCCTTGCTAGCCTCAACAAACAAAGCCTGACATCAAGGCCATCATGTCATTTTCGGCTCGTGCTTTGGCGTTTGTTTAAGAGTGTCAAACCGTTCCTTGTGCTACTTACGCCGCCGAGATGAAGCTCAAGCTGAAAGGTGAAGGACTTTGAGTAGACAATATCGATCGTAATCTGGTTTTGTGCAAAGAATGAGGACATGCAAGATTCAGCATCGGGGGCGATTGGGGACAGCATCACGTACCGAGTCAGCGTTGGCCTTGACGGAGGTTCGGCTGGGCTCGATGCACTTGGCGAAAACGGTCAACACGACATGAGTGTCCGATTGGAACCAATCGTAACGGCACTGCTTGGCCTTGGCCGATTCCTCTGCAGGCTTGAACCAGCGGTGCTTGCCAACCGTGCAGCCTTTAAAGTCCAAAAACTCGTCAAACTCGTAGGTTTTCTTCTTGGGGCAGCAGCTCCAGTACTTGTAGCTAGCGTACCATAGCAGTTTACGAGATTGAGTTCACAGGGTTGGAAAGTAAAAGCGATTCTTGCACGGTCAGAAAGTCCACGGCAGGCACATTACACATACCCTTCGTGGAACACGGGCGTGCCTGGGTGATGGAAACAATCCTCTTCGTTGCTGGATTCGTCAACGTAGGACCCCTTGCATGCATTGTGCGTACAGGCCTGCCCCGGTTGTACCTCTTGCGACTCTGTTACAAGCGGAGCAAGTCAACCACGCATGCCAATGAGAGCGCAACTGCACCGGCAGTTTCTAAATATCGACGTCGTGCCCATGCCAATAGCCTAATGTGCCAGAGGATCTGATCGACACTGAACCCAGCATATAGCACCGTGTATAGGAGCCTACCAATTTCCTTGGCTGCCGTTTCCGCCTGTTGCGCCAACGCCCGCTCGAGCGAGGCCGTGGTCTTCAGAGGTAGTTCAACCTTTGGTGCGCCGTCCCTGATGCATGTTTCACGATATAGCACAGCCTTGAGCAATTCTATCCTCGCCGACAAAAGAGGTGAAGGGGACATGGCATTGGCGCGCCAAAGGTCTCACCGCATCGAGGAAGCGGCTGTACGCTGTTCGAGTGACAATCGATCAACCTTCACTTGAGCCAGCTGGAATACAAACGGAGAAAGTATAACAAAGCGGCGTGTGAGAGCTGAGGGAGGGGGCACTGCTGGGAAAGTGCGAAGCAAGCCGCCGCTCATCAGACCTCCTTCAGAGCTTCATTTGGGTCCTTGCTGTCATCCTGTGGTGCTTCATCCGTGTGTGCTCCCGACGCGCAGCCCTGCACAAGAAAAGTCAGGACCAGCAGGAACGATGAAGGCTCTCCTTCAAGCCAAAGTTTGAGGCGGTTCCAGAGCCCAAGGGCACGTACGGGGTAATTCAGAAAGTCGGTAAAATCGGTGAACCGCTTTGGGCAACATGACCAACCCTGCAAAGCAAGAGCGAGGGCGGAGCAGCGCATGAAAATCAGCCACCAAAAGACAATGCTACCAGAAAATAAATCGTCCAACAAGGATAGGATTGCCCTTCTCACAGTACCCTTGAAAGGCAAGCAAGGATGCAGAGACGTGGGGTCGATGCGCTCTCAAATTGCATGGACAAACCTTGAGACCTTCATGGAAGATTGGCGCGCCAGGGTGATACTTGCAACACCCTGCAGAGGAAAGAACATCATTTGTGAAGTGAGGCTGGAAGCCAGAATGCCTATGCTCCTATGCCTGTGACCCTGCGCCCATGCCCTTGCGTCTATGCCTCATGTGTCTATGCCAACTGACCATCAGGGTTGTTTGCCGGGTCATAGTCCTGCCCGCAGCCGCGATGTTGGCAGATGGGCATGCTGACGTTGATAAACGTGACTGCCGCCAGCCACATGACACGCCTGATGAGTCTGAAGCATGACCTATCTTCCCACATTCAAACCCCTTTCTATCCAACAAGACCTAACCAAACGCGCTTGCCACCCCTCGGCATTCAAGCACCACAGCCAATAAAGCCCGCTGCCCTTTTCTCCTCGAGAGAGGTGCTCACATCAACGCGTTCCGTTCCAGAAAGAAAAAGAAAACAACGAAAGGGGTCTTCAGCGGAAGTGTGATTTTCAGCACACTTTCTCATCTAGAGCTGTTCCTCTCTCTCTCTCTCTCTCTCTCTCTCTCTCTCTCTCTCTCTCTCTCTCTCTCTCTCTCTCTCTCTCTCTCTCTCTCTCTCTCTCTCTCTCTCTCTCTCTCTCCCTCTCTCTCTCTCTCTCTCTCTCTCTCTCCCTCTCTCTCTCTCTCTCTCTCTCTCTCTCTCTCTCTCTCTCTCTCTCTCAAACTCTCTCTCTCAAACTCTCTTTCTCTCTCTCTCTCTCTCTCTCTCGCTCTCTCTCTCTCTCTCTCTTTCTCTTTCTCTCTCTCTCTCTCTCTCTCTCTTTTTGTGTTTCTGGAGGTTGAGAATGGCGACGTTGCCTGCACCGTCGGCGGCGGCCGTGGTGCCACAGGTCTATCATGTGCCGGTGGTGCCGGCACATTTGCGAGAGGAAGAATCGCTTCAGCAAATGTTGGATGCGCTAGAGTACCTCTCCGCTACTGTGGACGATATTTTTGGCAAGATTACCACTTCGGTTCGTTTCGGGCTGGCTGGTTGTGGCAGTGGCGCCAAGGGGCTCTGGGCTCCTGCGCACCCAGGCTTGCTTGCACGCCGACAAAGGCTTTTGCGCGTGTGTATTAACTCTGCTCATGACTGAACCACAGGTCAATGCCAACAAGGAACGCCTGGTAGCCGTCAACAACCGGATCAACACGGCCAATGCCAAAGTGCAAAAGATCGTCGGCACTCGTCGCGCCACCACCGTCTTCTGCAGGTGAGTTGACGCCTCGAAAGGCAAACTGGTTGCAGAAACGAGGGTAATGTGTCCATGATTTTGCGTGGCTCACGTTGCGATGACCGGGGCTTAGTGCCAAGTACGTGGCGGATGATAAACTTGACTATCCACAAGCTCTTTTCCAAGAATCACATCTTGGTCCCGGATTTGTGGAGCACTCGATCGAAAGCCGCATTGTGGGTTAAACCGTGATCTGTGCCCGTGGCCTGCTTTTGTGCACTCTCCTCTCGTCCACCCGCGTCACGATACCCATGGTAGCACTGCGTACACTGTAACCTGACACGCAACCCTCCTCTGACCTTTTTTTTTTTTTTTTTTTTTTAAATACATTTAGCCCAAGCCTGAGGACGTGGTCGATCGCGATCGCATTTACAACTTCAAATCGGTGCGTTCCTCCGTCCCCTCAAAAAGCATCGACTTGCATCTGACATGACCTGTGCCTCTTTGTTCATATGATAACCTGGCTGTTCTGGATGCCTTTGCAACAGAACACGATTCGTAAACGCGAGCGTGGTGCCGATCCCGTTGACGAAGAGCACGAAGGTCTGGGTGGGTTGCCCCCGCAACTACAATCTGTGAGCGGCCTCCTCCTCTTTAACACGGCAGAAAACCCCTACAAGAAGTACACGCTGGTTGATCCTCTTCGAGGCACCGTCACTCGTACCCGCGACGGTCCGTGCCTTCCTTCCTCGCCGAACACGGGGTTTTGACCCCCACCCCCCACCATGCCTTTGACAAGCAGTTTTGTTTTGTTTTGTTTGATTGCGCTTTGATTCTCATCTCGTCTCTATGAACCTGATAGATGTGGACGAGGAGCAAGCATTGGCCGACGCTCCCAAAACCATCCTCATGGGCGAGCACTACGTGTCTGCGGTATGTATGCAACAGGGCATACCCATATCGGCCATCAGACACTTTTAAACTCTCACACTCTTTCTGACCACGCGTGCACCGACACTGCAGGAGGGCGAGAATTACAAATACAAACCTGGCATGGGTGCCGTGCCCACCATCGATGCCCCCGCCTTCTTGCCGGATCTTCAAGGCGTGGCCGACCTGGCCTTTGTGGAAGAAAATTCAGCCTCAATTGCCCCCTCTGCCATGGAGTATGTACCTCTGCCCAGCAACCAATCAACCAAGAGATGAACATCATGATCCTGACCTGTCAATTTCTTGGTCTTGCAGTCAAACCCTGGACAACCTACCAGCATTTGAGGCCGCCCCGGCACCGGCTGCCCCCGATCAAACTGTCACGCAGGCCGCAGCCCCGGCGAGTGCTCCAACCAGCAGTGCGCCACCGCCACCTCCCCCCAGTGGTGCTGCGCCGCCGCCGCCTCCGCCCCCGCCCGCCGGTGGTCCCCCGCCCCCGCCCCCGCCCCCGCCTGCAGGCGCACCACCACCTCCAGCACCACCGCCAGCGGCTACAGCAACCCCAACTCTTGCGGTCGACGATGTCGACAGCGACGATGGCGAAGGTGGCGGCGTAAGTCAGAGTGATGACGCTTGACTTGGATGATAAGCCTGTGGCCTTGTGCTCTGCTCAATACCGATGCGATCGATGGCGTAGGGTGACGCGCGCAACGACTTGCTCGCCTCCATTCGTCGCAACAACAAGGCCAATTTGAAATCCGTCAAGGTACGTTCCCGCGTTCAATGCTTCTTGATGCTAATCCCTTCCTTGTGATCTGGGCTGGATTGGTACGCGCCACGAGCCAAGCGCGCGGTGTAACCATCGTTCTGCGTCCAGGAACGCAAAGTAGAAAAGAAAAAGGCCAAGGAAGAGCAGTCCGTGGCTGCCGGCGGTGGCGACATTATGTCACAAATGCGTCAGCATCTAATGGTACGCCCACCTCCGCTGCCTCCCTTCACCCCGACCGTCTTCCGGGGCTCGTCTGGTAGTTGGCGTTTGTGCTCACGCTCCGATTTATGCATGTTAGATGCGACGCCGCAGCATGGCCGGGAATACCAAAAAGGACAAGGACAAACCCAAGCCTGCCGCTGCCGCCGCCTCTGCAGCCCCGCCTGTGCTGGAAGAAGCAGAGGAGGATGAGGATGATCGTCCGGCCCCTCCGGTGAGGCACAGGCTTGTGACCATCAGTCGCTGATTTTGTTGCCAAATCCTGACTGTTTGATTCTGTTTGATGGCCTTGGGGGGTATTACCAATCTTATTCTTTGCAGCCTTTGAAGACGGGAAATTCAATGATGGACAACCTGGCCGCCATGATCCCGCAACTGCCGCCGGGCTCGGATGACGATGGCGGCGACGACGGTGATGATTGGGACTAGACCCAACTGTAATTCGTTTCAAACAAAAGTTAGGACATACGACAAAATATTTGCTTTGTTGTTTCTTTTATTGTTTAGCGTGCCCTTTTTTTTTTTCATCTCGTGGCGCCAGACATCATCGTCCATGGCTGTCGACTGCCAATTGTATTATCGTTGCAAGATTAGCCAAGTGTCAGAAGCAAACCTTTTTTCGGACTTGAACTCAGCCGTGGTGGTTTCCTTCTGTAGACTGAAGTCCAATTTTGTATTGGCGTCATTGAAACTTGAAACAGGAACAAGAGAGGGACAGGGGAAGAGAGTAAAGCCCAGAACGAGTACGCATGGTGTTTCATCACCCGCGCCAATGAGAAATGCGAGGGTTGGACTAAACCGCACGAGGGACGCAACGTATGCACAGCCTGGATAATGAATCCTCTTCAATCAATCATCAATCAAAGCAAGCCCACAGACCCCCTTTTTGTTCGAAATAATTCCCCTAAAATTCGGAGAAAAATCCAAAGAAATCAAGTATTTGTAGTGAACGCTGAACGCTTTGCTGTCTTTTTTTTTTCCCCTTTTTTTGGGGTGTTGACTGGCAGTGTGGTGCGACACGTTTGAAGACGCATCCTTCCGAGTCGTTGAGCGGATTGCTCGCGGGAACCCTTGCGCAAAGGTGGATTGATTAATAAAGATTGGGTCAGGTCGGCGCCATGGGTGACCGGGGCGCTTACTCGGCCATCTTGGAGCGGTCCCTCACGCGACCCCGAACCGATGTCAGTAGCCCGGTCCAAGCTCACAGGCTCGACCTTTGCTCTGTGTCATGCGATCAGAAACTCACTTGGCTGCACCATGCGGGCCGCTTTGTTCTTAGATCAATCTACACGCGTTTGCCCTGTTGTTTGCGGAAATCGTGCGCTACCTTTATCGTCGCTTTGGCACAAGCACCGAGGAATTTGAACGACGGTAAGTTGACATTGGCCACGTTAACTTGCGTGTTGTCTGTCCCAATGGCTCGACGAGCACAAGTTGTCGGTCACGGGTCCTTTTTGGGTAATCAACAAGCTCCTCACTGCTCTTTGGTCGATTAGCCTGAGCGCGCTGGGTCGGCAGGTGGGAGATCGTTTCGGGGAGCTGTTCGTGATTCGCGACCGGAACAACAAGCGCGAGCTCAAGCCCATCAACCAGTTGATCCAAATTCAGACCAACCTGTGGAAGGTGCGACGAGGCCGCTTGAGGCCCGGTCTGACGTGTGGGCTTTGGTGCTGGTGTCGCTCATGCACACTTGCAAAATTCACCATCCATTTGTAGATCTTGTTTGGCAAGCAGGCCGATGCCTTGAGCCAGGGAGAGGAGCCTCACCAATGTGCGATGATGTGATTGATGCTTCAGGCTGGCCTTGGCGTGACCCTCTTTCCGTTGTGCTGCCTTCCAAGTTTTGCCTTTGGGCGTATGCCATCCTTTTTACAGCTTGCTCAGCTGCCCCGTGGTGGTGCCTGCTCCTTTCAGACATGATTTTGGACTCGGACCTACTGGTGAACCGCTTCATTTCTGCGCCTCGAGGCAGTGCGTGTCGCGGTCACCCTCGTTCGGCTGATGGTGCACTACGGTCTTCTTGCTGTGCTCTCAACATCATGCCTGGCTGTCTTGTATGCGTGTAGGCCAAGTCAACTGCGGTGCCTTTGTTGGTGGCATGATCGAGGCTATCATGGCTGGCGCGCGCTTTGTAAGTTGCCATGGGCTTGCCCCGCTGTGCGAGGTGCTTCTTGGCATGTTTGCATGCCGTGCGCATCCACAGCTTGAACCTATGTGCATGTGTGTGAGTATGTGTGTGTATGCTCATTTTTTTTTTTTTTCCCCGGTAGCCCTGTTCGGTTGTGGCCCATGGCGCGGAGAACGGCGACATTTTTGTTATTACGCTGGATGCCTCGCGCATTGCCCCAGAGGCACTCGATGCCAAATAAAGCGTTGCTCTTGATCTTTTCATCTTGTAGTCTGCTGAGGATGAAGCGGCCTGGCTCTCCCTCCATTGCGTCGTGCTGTCCAGTGTCCCGTGCACGAGTGGTTGCTGGGTCGTGACTTGCCGCGCAAGTCCAATTCATGCCTAAAGTCGTCGCGCAAGTTTTGCTGACACTATCATTTTATCTGACATAGCAAGGTGTGGCCGTGATGCCCCTTTCTCCTCCAAACAGTTTCGACTTGTGTGCGTTGGAGGCAACTGCTTGTGACGTTGTCAGAGACAACGTGCGCTCACTCAACCACAGGAATGAGTTGTGACATGTGGTAGCTGAGGGAGAAGAAGTAACGTCGTCGTCGACCGCCAGCGCTTTTGTTCTATACACCCATTTACTTGAATTAGATCTTCATGTTATAACTTTATGTTGTTATTGTTATCTGCATTAACTGCTCTTTTATCTACATCTTCTTCTTGGCAGAAGAAAAAATTTCAAAAGACCGACGTGGCTCTGTGTGTGTGCGCGCCGTCAGTTTATCATCGACCATCACCCCGCGCACGCGCTCGCTCGCTGGTTGACTTGACTCTCGGGTCTTCTCTCATCTCACCTCCTTGCCTCCTCTTCACCTTCTACCTTCTGGACCTTGACCTCTCATGAGCCAGGGGCCTGGTGGCACTGCCGTGGTTAATAGAATCGCGTGGCTGGCTTGGCGGGCTGGTTGCAAGGTGTCACTGGCTTGAGGCCAGCTGGTCGGTTCGCAGAGCCGCACACACAGATCGCGCCATTGGCTGCGGCGTCCAGCGCCATGGGGACGCGCAGCGGGCAAAAAATGGCCTTTATTGGCCTGTTACTTCTCATTGGCTGGTCCAGCCTTGACCGTGCGACGGCTGCTGGCTGCAACGATGGCTGCTGCCTACAGTATGAGACGGCCGAAGGCGTCGCAGCATTTGATCTCCGGCCTTTGACCCGCACGTAAGTACCACCCATGGCGTCAAAGTTGTGCCAATGTTCGCGCCCGGCACAGCAACGTACCAAGTCGGGTGGCGTGGGGCTGCTTAGGGTCACTCTCGCAGACAGATTCTAGATCATGTCCAGACCTCCTTTCATTCGTGTTGCTCCTCGACCTCGCTTGCCTCGGCTGATCGTCACAGGGGAAATCAGCCCGATTACATGCTGCATGATCTGGATTCAAGCAACACCGTGTACTACATCAACGTGTGCGCCAACCTTACCAAGGCCGGTACCTCGGGTCAGCGCTGCCACTCACTCAGCGCCGACTCGGCGGCTTGCCAAGCTCTCGTTGATCCTTCGCTGGCTCCGGCTGCCGACCGCGACGCATACCCCTTTGATTTGGGCCACCGCACCACGTCCCTGCAATGGATCGACGAGGTAGCGTTTCTGCGTTGTTTTCTCTTGGGTGCCCTCGTTGTGTATCTCCGGCTCTCGCAACGGACGAAAGCGAGTGGTAGTACTCACCGCAGCACATCATGTACTCGCCCCGCGATCGCTCACCCGTAGACGGAAAAGAGCCATGGGATGGAGCTGACCTACTTTGACGGTACCAAGTGTGATAAGCTGCCCCGCCAGAGCAACATCCAGTTTGTGTGCAATACCCACGGTCGTGGTCATCCGATCTACGAGGGTGAACTCCACCACGCCTGTGAGTATCTCTTTCGCTGGGAGACTGATTTGGCCTGCGCCAACGTTCATCACGGCACGGAGGTGGAGTGCTCGGTGACCGATCCGGTTACGAAGGACTACTACGACCTTTCTCCCCTCATCCGTTCCACCACTAATTGGGAGGTGCTCCGATTGGATGGCGGCGGCGAGGACTATTCCATGGAGATCAACGTCTGTCGCTCCCTTGTGCCCACCGGCTCTCTACCGGCCACGTGCGCCGACGACGTCAGCGCCGCTTGTCAGCGCAAAATCAACACTACTAATGTTGACGGCACCAGCTTCTCACTTGGCCAGGTCGCTACGCCTCAGATCAGCGATGGCATTGTCAAGCTTGTGTACGAGGGTGGCACGCCCTGCGGTGCGCGTCAGCGCCGCACCATCATCGAGCTCACGTGTGATCCTGACAGCCCGGTCACGGCCGAGCCCGTTTATAAATCTGAGATTGAAACCTGCGTTTACTTGTTCGAGTGGACCACACCCTACGCCTGTCCCGTCACCTCCAAGACCAGCGGCGGCGAGGATGAAGTTGTTACCGTTAACACCACCTGCACCATCACCACAGCCGGTGGTTTCCAGTATGATTTCTCCGCCATCAACACGATTGAGAACGTTGAATATAACGAGGAACATCGCATGGCCATCTCCTTTTGCGACGGCGGCTATCGCTGCGGAAACGACCTTGCGGGCATCTGCCTCACCGAGGATGAAGACGATGAGGGTCCGATCAACGAGACACTGGCCTCGCCTGCCCATCGCATCATTGCTGACGGCGAAAACTTGCGCATGGAATTCACCGCCGAAACTTGCCACATGGACCCGACGCAGTCTTTCCACGCCATTGTCAACTTTGTGTGCGACCCCGAAGCCACGCGCTTGGATGCCAACTTTATCCATCGTACCGATACAACTCTGGATGTTGAGCATGACTGCGAGCCTGTTTTTGAGCTCTTGACCGCTCTTGCTTGTCAACCCGAAGCCATCCCTTGCGGCGTTCCCGGTTACAACTTTGATCTCAGCGACCTAACCTTGGAACACGACAATTGGCGCACCGTTGACGAAGATCAAGAGGATGGTAGGTGTTTGGCTCCCGCGACGCTCATCCTTCCCGAGTCTCTCAATCCAAAACCTTGTCCCGTTCATTCCTCTACCGCTGTGTCCACTCGTCCGGTCTACTCTCACGCCTTGTTGTGTTCCGTGACGTTCAACCGGCTGGCAGGCAAGTATGCATACCTGATCAATGTTTGTCAGAATATTGTCGAGAATGAGGAAAGTGTTGGCTGCCGGGCCAATGCCGGCATTTGCCAGGTCCTGGCCGACCCATCAAGCTCGGCGAGCTTTGAGCCTCGCAGCCTCGGTCAGGCTACGCAGCCTTACGTCAATGGCGACAACGAGCTCGTGATTGACTTTGTTACGGGCGATTGGTGTCCTGCCGCCAATGCTTATCGAAACGCAAGCCTTATTCTCCTCTGCAGTGAGATCCAGGGATCACCCGTCGTTCTAGGCGAGGTGTCGACCTGCTCCTACAAGTTTAGTTGGGAGACACCGCTGGCCTGTGCTCTGCATGAGGCCAACAGCACCAACTGCAAAGCCACCAGCCCCGAAGGCCAGATCTTTGACTTTTCACGCCTCAAGGATCAGGAATTTATCGCCAAACACGACGGCCAGAGTGCCTACCACGTCAGCGTGTGTGGCACCAACAGCCACTGCGCCGGACAGGGCGCTGTCTGCAATCTTGATGGCCAGCAAGCGTTTGGCGATGCCACTTCGAAAATCCAAGTCGAGGACGATGACGTCTTCATGACCCTCGTCTCAAGCCAAACGTGCTCAGCGTATGGTGACATGGTCAAGAAGGAAACAATCATCTCCTTCGTCTGCCCCGAGGGCGCTCACAAGAACAACGACGTGGTCGTTTTTGATGACGATGGCTGCACTGTCCTCCTCACCTGGTACACAGACATTGTGTGCACGTCCGCCTTCAAGCCCATTCCCTGCAGCGTTTTGGGTGAACACGGTGACTACTATGATTTGACTCGTCTGGTCAACTCACACAGCAACTATCAGGCTGGCGGCGGGGGCAGCACCTTTCAAATTAATGTCTGCCGCCCCGTCACTGCCATCTCGGGCGAGAACTGTCCCGTCGATGCCGGCGTGTGTCAGCTGGATGCCGTAGGTGACACGGACGTGAGTCTCGGTACCCCTAGTGCTCCGCAATACGATGCCGACCGCAACCAGCTCTATATTCTCTATCAAGGGGGCCAGGACGGCTGCGAGGCGCGCTTGGACTTTGAGTGCAGCACCTCCGATGAGGGCCTAGTGTTTGTGGAAAAGATGACGTACCACACATGCCTGTATCGCTTCCGCTGGCGCACGCCCGTTGCTTGCCCGGTCAAGGTGCTCAAAGGGAAGGATTGTGCCGTTCGCGATCCAGTGACAAACACGCTCGTCAACCTAACGAGCTTGCAAGCCACCACCAGCACCGGGTACGCCGTCACAGAACCCATCCATGGCTACACCTTTTACGTGGATATTTGCCGCGCCATCACCTGTCCGGGCAAGACGAGCGACGCCAGCGTCGGGGCCTGCCAGACCAAACCCGGTGATGATCAGTTCCCGAAGCTTCTGGGTGATGCCAACGGCGACCTCATGTTTGAGGATGATACACTCATGCTCAAATACACTGGTGGCGAGACCTGCGGTAACTCGGTGCATCGCACCACCAAAATCTTTTTCGAGTGTGAGGAAGCCAACCCCGATGACGCGCCACAGTTTTTCACCGAGATTGACCCATGCATTTATGTCTTCAAATGGAAGACCCCCTTAGCCTGTCTGCCGGAGATTGAATGCCGGGCTAGTAACAATGGTCATGACTACCACCTCGATGCTCTCAAGCAGTCCTCATCCAACTACGTCGCCGTTGGCGCAGGTGGCGTGCACTTTGCCCTCAACGTCTGTGGACGCCTCAATGAGCAAAGCACAACCTGTGGTGGCTTCTCAGCGGCTTGTCTCACAGAAAGCAGCGGTGAGCACATCTCACTCGGAAACCCGAGCGCCCCATACATTGCCGCAGACGGCACTCTGACCCTCAGCTACTCGTACGGTGATGAATGCACCACCTCGGACGGCGTCGAGACGCGCTACAGCGCTCGCATTCTCTTTGTCTGCAAGAACGAGATGGGCTACATCGGTGCCCCTGAGTATCAGTACACCTCTGCCAACGGCTGCGAATATGTGTTCACCTGGCAAACGAGCTACGCCTGCGCAGAGGCAGATGACGACGAGGGCGAAGTTGTGGGCGATTGCAAGGTGGAGCAGAATGGCAACATCTTTGATCTCTCCGCGTTGATGAACCACGATCCCTTGACGACCACTTACACGCACGGCACTGACGCGTACAAATACTCGTTGTCCGTGTGTGGCAAGCTCGGCACATCCGTTCCCACAGCTTGCCAGGGTCAAGGCGCCTGTCAGGCATTGATTGACGACCCGAGTAAGGCCAACGCGCTCGGCAAGCCAAGTGCCCGCCTCTACGCCGACGACGGCACCCTCAAGCTTCAGTATGCCAACGGCTCTGGTTGCTTTGACGGGTCTGTCCTCCGCTCCACGACGGTGCTCTTTCGCTGTAACGAGTCGATCGAGGCCGATCTCTCTTTTCTCGGTGAGAATTCGTGCCAATACGAGCTTGAAGTTGCTACCAAGTACGCATGCCAAGAGACGCGACGTGTGCCTTGCGAGGCAACTGATCCCATCAACAGCGATTCGCCCAGCTTTGATCTCTCCGACCTGATGAAGAATGACATGGACTACGTGGCCTCGTCCAGCTTCCGCGTGCCAGGGTCCACAGTCATCTTCAATGTCTGCCGCACGTTGGTCGCCCCGCCTTCCACAGCCTGTGGCGGCAACTCGGGTATCTGCCTGAATGTGGACGACAAGTACTATTCTCTTGGTAACATCCAGCAACCCATGATCAACGTGGACGGGCAGTACGTCATCAGTTACGCGGGCGGTGATTGCCCATTCACTAGCGGCACGTCCACAGCCACCATCAATCTAGTGTGCAGCCCTGACGGTCGCATTGGTGTCCCTGAACTGATCAACACGCCAAACGAGAACTGCGATTACATCTTTTCTTGGGTTCATCCCCTGGCTCACTGTGAGAATGAACAGAGCACCACGGTGGCACCCTCGCACACCCTGACCAAGGAGGACTGTATTGTGACGGACATCCAAGGTGTGACTTACGATCTCACTGCCCTGGCAGGCAAGACTTTTACTGCTCAGTCCGACTCGGATCCGGAGTACTCCTACTTGCTGCACGTGTGTGGCGACCTGGCCGAGACCTGCCAGCCGGGCGTTGGTACAGCCGGCGCCTGTCAGAAGAAAAGTGGTAGTGCCCACAGCTTGGGTCACTTTACCCGTGCGCCGTACTTCAAGAGCGGCGAGCTTGTGCTCGAGTACACGGATGGCGATTCCAACGGCTGCGGCGACGGCATGACGCGCGGTACCGTTATTAACTTTGAATGCGCACCGGAGGTGGACGAAGGGACCCCATATTATGTGGGCGAGACGAATCAGTGCCAGTACGAATTCACCTGGCGCACCAAGTACGCGTGTGGCAGCAGCGGCCTTGAGCCCATCACACCGCTTGAATGTGCTGTGAACCACAAGGGCATCACCTACGACTTTGGAGAGCTCCGCAGGATGGCCACGGACGACCCACCCAATTGGGTCGCATACAACGAAGAGAACGTTTCTGAGAAGGACAAGTACGTCTTTGATATCAACGTCTGTGGGTCTTTGAACCACTTTGCTGGTATGGGTGCTTGTCTGGGGGCCTCTATGTGCCAGACTGCGCCCAACGATGCCTCCTACGCCCCGCGTGTGGTGGGTCAGGCTCGCCACGAACCCGTGGCCATTGAGGACGACGATGGCGACGTTCACTTTCAGCTCAGCTACGACCTGCCACAAGGCTTTAGCACCGACTGCAACGGCGCCGACCGTTCAGCCGTGATCAACTTTTATTGCGCCGAGCACGAGGGCGAGGTGGGCTATCCCATCTTCATTGGTGAATCCTCAGCATGTCATTACGAATTCCGCTGGGATACCATGTATGCGTGCGCGCCCAAGGAGGCGGAAGTGACTGGTGACTGCACCGTGGCGGATCCCATGACAGGCCAGGTGTACGATCTGTCGCCCTTGGGCAAGGCCGCACTTCCATACACTGATGGCCAAGGCTCCTACAGCGTGGCCATTTGTGAGTCGCATAATGGATGCAGCAGCTCTGCGGGCAGCGGCGTGTGCAAGGGCCAGCAAACAGGCTTGGGCGAGGTCAATGCCAACTTGACGATTGTGGATCACTCTTTGCAGCTCGAGTACAAGAACGGCGACCCTTGCGGAGAAGGGACATCTACCTATAGCTCTGTCATTCAATTCTACTGCGACCCAGAGGTAGAGAAGGAGGTGACGCTTGACGCTACGGCGGACGACTGCGTCAACGTTTTCCATGTTGGTACCAAGTACGCTTGCCCCGAGACCACGGACATGGATTGCACGGTCGTCAGCGCAGACGGCACGGCCTACGATCTATCAGTCCTGAAGCGCTATACCCACCAAGATAGTTGGCAGGTTCGCAACGAAGACTCTGATGCCAAGCACGACTACTTTATCAACGTCTGCCATCTCTTGACGGGCTTGCCCACAGAGACGCGGCAATGTGGCAACTCGGCGGCCTGTCAGGTGCGTACAACATGAGCAAGGGGGAGATACAGGGGAGAGGGCGGCACAGGGTGGGCGAGGCAGGGACGGGAAGAAGCAAGAGTCTGTAAGGTAGTGCCTTTGGTGCGACAATGACTCGACTCTGAACGAGATGTGATCCGACCTCGTGTGTGGTTTTAGATTGAAAAGAGCACTGGCGCAGCCTACAAGTTGGGAACGCTGGACACGGAACCTTACTTGGAGGATGGCAAACTCAAGCTTCACTACTCAGGGGGCACGGCTTGCCATGTGGGAGGCCAGACGGTCGAGCGCTCAACTGATATCATCTTTGAGTGCAATGAGGATCCTGAAACCGCTTCGCCCTTGGGCGTGCCCTACTTTCACGCGGAGGACCAAGCTTGCCACTACGTCATGCACTGGAAAACCACAGCGGCCTGTCCCGTCAAGTCTCAGCTACAGGCTGGTTGCGTGCTCCGCAATCCCATCACGAATGAGAAGTATGCCATGCTGAACCAGGGTGCCAGCTTGACCGGGGTAGGCGTCGACAAGGCCACGGATACAAGCTATACCATCAGTGTGTGCGACACTATCACCTGCGGCGATGACAAGGCGGCCAGCGGCTGCCAACAGCCCAATGGTAAAGGTGGCATCTCCCTCGGCAAGAGTTTGGGTATTGAGATTTCTCCCGATGGTGAGCTTGTGATGCAAATGCAGGGTGGTACCAGCAAGTGCCACGGAACTTATACACGTGCGGCCACCGTCACTTTTCAATGCGTGGTATGTCAAAGTTGTCATGTGTTTTTGGGACAACTCGTTCATGGTGGGCTTGCTGTAGTTATTTGCACTCTATTCACTTTATTGTGGCTTCGCAGGCGGACTTGGCCGAGAATCGATTGGAATATGATGGCGAAGATTCGTACTGTCATTATTACTTCACTTGGTATACCCACATGGCTTGCCCAATCAAGGAATCAAGCGATGAATGTTTGGTTGAGTCAAATGGCTGGACTTTTGACCTGTCGCCTCTGTCCAAGCCAAGCAAGACGCCTACTCGGGTGGACTTTTCGGGTGGCTACATTGACATCAACGTGTGCGCTGCCGTCGAGGATGGAGGCTGCTCCGACAACACAGCGGCCTGCCTGCACTTGGATGGGCAGGACCAAGCTGTCTCGCTGGGTAGCTTTGACAACGCCAAGCCTCAGTCACTGGGCAACAGTGTTTATCTGCAGTACACGGATGGCGGGGACGATTGTGACGTTGGGGCTGGTGGTGCTTACTCTCTGCAAATCGACTTTGTCTGCTCGACAACCACGACGGTAAGGAGAGCCTGTGCAGCTCTGGTGTGCGGTGCCTTTATCTCACAGATCATCTCTTCTGCCTCTCTCGCTCGATGAACAGCAAACACCCAAGGTAACCAAGAGCCCCACCTCAAGTTGTCTGGTTCGCATCGAGTGGCCAACATGTGAGGTCTGCCCGTCAGCGGACCCCTGTCATGATCTAGAGGATGAAACCACGACGCTGAGCCCTTCCGGGGCTGGCGGTGACAAGGGCAGCTCGCAAGGCGGCAGCAACAGTGGCAAACACTCCAAGGGTGGTGTCATTGCAGCGGTGGTCATTGTCGTTGCTCTCGTGGCCATTGGTGCTGGTGTACTTATCATGTCGCCGACACGCCGGGCATCCATTCTGGGCTGTTTTGGACGCTCAACCGTGCAGCCACAGTATCAGTATCGCAAGATGGGCGATGTCGAAGCCTTGCCCGATGAGGCGCGCAATCTTTTTGATGATGATGATGACGACGACGACGAAGGCGCCCTAGTTGGCTTCAAGCCTGCACCAGGCGGTCGTCCTGCGGCGTTCAGCCCGGAGCGAAGCGTTGGCGTGCACGCCGAGGATGATGACGACGATGACGACGATGAAATCATTGCTCTCGACTAGTCCTCGTTGGCTCACTCGGCATACCCTATCCCTTTCGAACCGAATAAAAAGTACAAAAGTCAAGGGTCATATCTTAACCCTGAACGTTCTCAGACGCGTCTTCTAGTATCACCCTCAACCAGGCCAGATCTTTGGTTTTTTTTTCTCATTTTGTTCTTGTCCTGTCGTTTCGTTCGACATGAAGTTTTGTTCCTACTCTCTTTCTTTTTGATTTTCAGTGTGAGCTTTTGTTTTGAAGGGCGCCCCTCACTTGCGTTCCCCCTTCGCAAATTTCCACATCCGAATGGTAACGTCTATTATTCTGGAGTTCTGGGCAAGGATACAACTTAATACCTGAGCCGTGCATCAAAGGAGGGCTCGCGCGACATGATTGGCGGGAGGCACGGGTGCGCTAAACCTAAAACGAGAATGCCTCTACACAGTCGCCTCCAACAAGCGGGACCTAAAATAGGATGCGAGGGCCCCGAATGCCAGAGATGAGAGAGCAGAGGCGTGGGCACGCAAAGCAGGAACGCATGACGAGGAAACCTACTGTAAGAACACACGAAGAAGCTCCGCACAGCGGTAGTAATCCGAGTCGGGGGGGTTGTAGTTGACGCAATTGTCGAGCATGAGGTTGCAATCATTTACAAAATCATCCTTGGTCAAGTACTCCTGGGCACAAGCGTGCAAAAAAGATGATTCAAGCAGCAGCCGTTAGGTTTGATCAGGCCAACCATATATGATTGATTGGGGAATGTGCGACAAACCTTGGCCTTGAATTTAGCGGCAATGGTTTTGAGATCCATGGGATACGCAATGGTCTCGTAATACTCGGGGTAGACCTAGCATTAGAGACCGAGTGTGAGGCGAGGTACGGCGAGGAGATTGGAATGAGGCAAAAAAAGCGACAACTCCATCGTGAGCAGTGATAAGGGTGAGTGACCGACCGTTGGGTCGACTGGCTCTCGAAAAGGCCATGATTGCGAGTGGTTACGCAAATCTCGAATTACTGATGGGGCAAGCGAGGCATTGCCAGAGCAGTCAGGTTTGATCAGAACAAGGAGCCCAAGCACAATGACAATCGAGATACTTGAAGCGAAGCCTATATTGCCAGACCCACCATTGCGTATCCACGTCTGCACCGCCTTGTCCATGACTTTGCTTTGTTGACCTTAGTGGTAGAATAAAAAAAAAGAAAGAAAGGAAAAAAAAAAAAAAAAGCGAGAGGAAGAGTGAGAGACTGCTATACGCGTGGGCCATATACCTTGCGCAATTGAACTATGTTGGTACCTTGACGCCCCGAATTGCCGGTGCTACCTGGTCCGCCGCGCTTGCTCTTGCTGTGTTGCTCTTTGCGTTTCTGAGCGGGCTTCGCCTTTGGCTTGGATTGGAGCAGCATGGCATCAGACCAGCCGGCTTCAAGAACGCCAGGAATGTCCTTGACGGCGACAAAGCCCTCGCCCCTGACAAAGGCCTAACAAGCACGGGAACCCATAATGTTCCAGTAGATAAAGGTAGAATTGCCCACACGTGGTCCAAAAGCCAAGGTGAGTGGCACCTTCTCTAGCATGCTAGCATGACTGCAAGTGCATTGGCGTTGCTTCACGACTGATGAGAGTGTTGGGCAAGTAACCTCACCGGAACGCTCGGGTGCTCCGTCTGGGTGGAGAGTGAATTGGCGTCCAACACAGCCTGCCATCGAGGGGTATCGTTGCACCACCACCCAGTCCCCAAACAAGGCACGTGAGCGATATGTTCGCGCGCTCGAGAGATCGAGAGATGCCTCATGGGTGGCAGGTTGAGCCAGGCGTGCAGCCTCACCTGCTGTTGACGACTGATCATTTGACTCAGATTCAGGTAGGGGATCGCAGGGTGCAGTTCACACTGCATGAGGACGCCACCCGTGTAGAGCTACATGCCGTGCGATTGTTCAGACCACGAATGAAAATGTGTCTGAGCTCAGGATTGAGTTCTGCCGGGGGTCTGTCAATGGCTCTGACTCATTATTAACTGACCTTGGCCACGGCAAGGCGCTTTGGTGCGAGGGTGAGGTGTTGGGTAAAGCCCTGTTTGCTAAAGTATCCGACTGCCGAGTCATCGGCAAACGTCACCAAAGCAGTGCAATGCAGCTTCAGCGCATACGCTTTCATATGATTCATCAAGTAAGTGCCAAAGCCCTGTGCCATGACCAACAGACCAAGCGCCGCGTTGAGGAAGCATCAAGGAGAAGGTGCATGAAAATATGGCGCAGTGTGAATACCACAGGTACAAATGGCACACTCATGCAGTAGGAAGTAATCAGAGGAAACGAAATTACATGACGAGCACCTGGAAGAACGCACCTTGACTTGCTCCGAAGAGTCGACGGCAACAAAGACAATTTCAACAATCGCGTGTTCTGGGAAACAGCGAAAATTGATTCCCGCAACCACCTTTGTGGCACGCGTTGCGGTTGCGCGAGTATCCAAGCGGAGAAGCGAGTATCAGAAACGCGAGCATCAGCATTAAGATTGGTCTAAAACCACTTCACCCGAGCTCAGCTCACCTGGTCTTGACGGGAGAGATAGAGCGTGCGGTGGCGGATATCAAACACGATGCGTGCAATGTAATCCTTGGGCATGTTGCGCAACGAACGGGAGAAGAGGTTGCGAGCCCTACAAGGTGGCCGCATCCATGCCACAATTGCCAGGTTAGCATCCTATTTGTATGTTGATCAGAGCAAATTGCAGGCAATGATTACTACAGACCCAAGGAGGTGGCGCAGCGTGGTCTGTCCAGAATTGGCATCCAGGACGCCGGCCAAATACATGGCAGAGCTTGCCACAGACACCTGAGGTTGGTTCGTGCCAATTCGAGTGTATCAGACGGCCAAACTGTGGTGTCATCGGATCGATCGTGCAGGAACACTACGTGCCTGCAAATTGCCAGAGTGCAGTTCGAGGCGCGCTTGCGCATCGCGGCCCTTCTCATTCATCTCAAAGGAGTGCTCCTCAAGTGGCAGGGCCCGAAAAGCGTCGCGACCGCATTGCGTCACCTCTTCACGCGCTAGAACGCTCGCATGTTGGGGATTGGCGGCCTCTATCATGGCCGTCACTCGGTGGTATCTCTTTGAAAAGGGTTCAAACATGCTTTCATGGCTGAGGTTGAGAGCAAGTTCCTTGAGATTGTGGGGCCAATGTCGGGGGATGCCTTGTTCCTTGACCAGCTCACGTAATTGCGCAGGCTTGGGCAAGATCACGGGATCATCAGCTCCTCCGACAGGGCCAGCAGTTGCAGTGCCTGGTGGTCCTTGAATTGTTTGTGACACAACCTGATTGATCGAAGTTGATGCCGTGGTTGCCGTTGCAGGGGATACGGCCGCAGCAGGAGACGGGTACAGGTAGGACCCGTCGGTGATACCCAAGGCACCATCACCCACACGGGGGAGTGTCGGTAATGCGTTGCTCTTGACGGATGGTGTTGGTGTATCTTCACCTGGACAACATGATGAAGGCGTTCCCGAGGAGTGTGATGACAGGTGAGCAAAGCGAGAGCCACCGAAAAAGCTGACCATGAGTGAAATAAAAAAAAGGGGGCGGTGGGTTCAAAACCAGATGAAAAAAAAAAAAGCTATGCAAGCAGTTCACTGACCAGGGCCGGGGGTCTGCACAGCCGGTGAGGCAGCATTGTGGGAAGTGCGCTTTGAGCTCGGCGTGGCTGTAGCCGAGGAGGCTCGCTTGGCAGTTTGGGAAGCTCGTCGTTTCCAAATCTAATCCGCAAAGATGAGATTGCCTGCCCCACATTCGTAGCACCAAATCCGACTGGGGTACAGCCGGTCGCTTGCAGGTATGGCTCACCTGCGAGTTGCTTTGCAAAGTTTGTTGTACTTTCTCCAAAATCTTGGGCAGCTCCTGGAAAGCAGCCTTTTGTGCCTCGCTCAGCTTGCTGATTGCGGGATCTAATTCGAGAATTATCAGAGTGAGTGCCGATTTACAAATGGAGTGACTTGACCACGAAGCTTGCTAAAGAGGTCACAAGAGAGAAGTGGGCAGGCGGGGACTGAGCCAAAGCGGACCTTGAATGAAGCGAGTGAGCCACATGCTGAAACTCTCAAACATAAACAGCATGAAGATGAAGCCAAATTTCCTGTGTCAAGCGGCGCAAACACCAAGGGCCAAAGGGGTGCGTGAGAGGATAATGGCGAAGGGTGTTTTACGTATCCATTGACGACCCCAAAACGTTTGCTCATGGCCAGGGCGTGTATGTAACGTACGCTGCTAGGCCTGGACTTTGGGATTTGGCCTTTTCTGCCAGGACGAGTTGACGCACAGCATCAAACTGATCGATGTCAATGGCTTGAACGTACTGCTCGCCAAAGCGCTCCGTGGATGGAATCTATCCTCAATGACAATGTTCATGAGACACTGGCAAAGGCAGCGTGGGGTGCAGCTCCAGGCTGGTGCGCGCGGGCCGATGGACAATCAAGGGCCAATTGCAAAGCACGAATGCACAGTGGAGTGCACGGGACCCACCGTGAAATCATCCAAGTATTTACAAAAATAGTCGATGGCCGTCTTTTGAAGTCGCTTATTGGGCGAAGCACCTGTTGAAGGGCGCATGATGACCTGGAGGGCGTCGCGGATGGTGGGTTGCTCATAGGGCAGATTCTTTTCCTTGAAACGGGCGATGAGCTGCTGCAGATCATTGGGCGGGCAGCTAATGGGGCTCTTGCTGACGGCAGTGGCGACTTGAGCCTGCACTCGTTGCAGTTGCTCCAATGCAACTGGCAGGTTAGTGGATTTTGCTTGATGTAGTATGCGATAGATTCGGTAGCTTTGATCCAGGCTGCAAGTGCGACGTTGGGTCCCAGTGAGTGTCGAGTTGGCGTCGGGGGCCTATCAAGTCCAAACTCTAGCGTACCGTTCGCACAGGTAGGCACGGTGCAGCAACATCAAGGGCCCCAGAGTGGTGACATTGCCATGGTCTTTCAGCTTTAGTGGCGATGGCGTGCATGCGTGTCGAATGCAAGCAGGGTTGAGCAACATCGTGAGATCGAGGCGGTTAAGGCACTGGAAGGCTGCAACAGGCTTGGGTTGGAAAGGATACCGTGTGATGGCAGCCATCACAGTTGCCCTCCTTGGACTCGGCCGTCCGACGAAAGGTAAAGCCCCGGCATTGGCAACCCTGGATAGCATGTCGAGGCAGAGGGAAGAGGGGCAGTAGGACACTGTGAGGGCTGTAGACGACGCATGCAAACAGACCCGTCTTGGCGCAGTAGAAGACTCAAACTCAAATGGTTCTTGAACAGACCTTGGTGCGACAGGGTGCTGTGCGAGCTACGAAGTAGCGCAGGTCGCGCTCGTCCATTTTCATGACTGGAGAGACTGTGTAATTTGTCATATCATGTCCGAGGCACCATGGTGATTCAGACGAGCATAGCGAAGGCAAACGTGCCACGATGGTGAGATTTCAGGGAGGCGACGCAAGTTGACGCGATGATGGTAATGACACGTTGAGGTGCTGACTTTGGATGTTTCGCTGCACATATTGCAGCGAGTCCTCGAGCGCCTTTAAAATGGACTGATGCTGTTGCGCTTGTCGTTGCATGGTGGCATTGCACGCCTGGTGGGCAGAATAACGGGGCGCCAAGGAGCCGGTGCGTGAGCTGTCGTGCTGATGCGCAGCAGAGCAGGCGCGTCATTCATGTGTACCGTAAATTGCTTTTGAGTGGCGGCATACTGTTGATTGTGCTGCAAGAAGCGTGCGGGTCCCAAACGCATGAGTCTACGTGATTTGTGACCGACATTGATACTGGTGCCCAGCGACCTACGCGCTCTGTAAGCTGGTGGTCGGGAACGGCCTTTAGGGCATTGAGGTGCTTCAACAGTTCTGAGCGCTGTTGCGCATACTTGGCCAGCGACAACTACCCCGGGTTGAAATACTGTCGTGAGAACAGGGTCAGCGGTACCAGATTTCCATGCGCTCGCATCGGGTTCAAACCTTGATTTGTTGCAGTTGCTGTCGGATGAGGGAGTCATAGGGGCCCAAGGATGGTGGGGGAGGGGGTGTCGGGCAACCGTAACATGTGAATGAGGTGGCAGCCAAAGGGGGTTCAACAGTGTCGCTTCGTCTGGATCGCGTTGAAACTCGTGCAGTTTCACTTGACAGCGGGGATCTGCTGAGCAAACGGCTACCCACCTGCAGAAGTTTGGCCTGATCGACCATGGTCGTGGGCTGCTGCCGCGTTGCCGCCATATCGGCGGCTCAAGCTGTCGGAGCGGCCAGCAGCGGAAACGTACGCAAACACGCGTGTCAAAACCAGATACTCAATCTACCCCCAAGCCCCGGGCCGAGCACCTCGCTGCCCAAAACAGCGGCTTGATGAAAAATCAGAAAAAAAATTTTTTTTTTCTTGAAAGAGAAGAGAGAGGAGAGAGAAGAGAGAGGAGAGAGAGTAGAGAGAGAAGAGAGAGAGAAGAGAGAGAAGAGAAGAGAGAGAAGAGAGAGAAGAGAGAGAAGAGAGAGAAGAGAGAGAAAAAGGGAAAGCAATTTTTTCCCCAAGATGTCGAGTGAGTGTGTGCGTATGTGACACGGCATGGCATGGCCTTCTCCCTGGGTCGGATAGTGCGCCCTATAGCAGCCGCATATCAAGGAACCAGAGATGCAGTCCACAGACAGGTTTGCAGCGGATCGAAAAAAAAAAAAACCGATCAAGTGATCAAGAAGAAATTCAAGAGCTATGATTAGATATGGTGCATCAACTCTGCAACTCAAGCGGCCATCATACGAGAAGGCCCATAGACGCCCCGGGTCCGAATCAGATCGGTCAGCAAACAAGGTTAATAACAGAAAGGTATCCTAAAAAAATCTATCGATAGTCTCATCTTGTCGGTAACACCCTTGCAAGCAATCATGCTGGCCTAGACAGCTGAATCTTCGGAGACCACGAGCGGAGCATGTTCCAAGTCTGCAGGTCGGCGGCGGGTCAGGGCCAACGTCGACGAGTCACCATTGCTTTCTGCGTCGATCACGTATGGACGCTTACGCCTGCGTGCATCAGGTGACAGACACCGCCTGTCATTGTGTGTGGTATCGACAAATCAGATACAGCACCCGGCACGCATTAAAAGGAGGGTTTGAGGAAAGGGTTCATGGGCACAGGAAGAACACTTACGCTGGTAAGAGATGTGCCACTACATAACGATAACTGCGTGTCACCCAGTCGATGCGTTGGCTTGACGTGGGGACGGAAAGAAAGTAGGTGGCGAGTAGCGTGATGGCGATACAGAGTACGAGACCCACGGCCGCGGGGTAGGCACCGTAACCCGTTGGCAGTTCGCCAAAGAGAATGCCCACAAGGCCACAAAGCAGAGCATAGGGCGCCTGGGTTTTGATGTGTGCCCCTAGATTGCATCGACAAGCAATGGCGCTCAGAATGCTCGTGTCAGAGATGGGAGAACAATGGTCACCAAAGACGGCGCCGCTGAGAATCGAAGAAATGGTTCCGTAGAACACGGTCTTGTTGCAAGGCGCGGCTTGGTGCGCAGCTGGCAGAATGAGAGGAAAGAGGATGGCCATGGCGCCCCAGCTACTACCCGTGACCAAAGCCAGAATAGAAGCTACGATAAAGGTCAGAGCAGGGTACGAGCCTGCGTCGACGTTGCCCACGAGACTCGTGCTAATGAATTCGCCCGTACCACAGAGCGTAAACGCAGTACCCACGCCCCACGCCAGCAGCAAAATTAAGATGGCAAAGGTCAGGTTTTGAATACCAAAGACCCAGACATTCAGGGACTCGGTCCAGGTTAGGAAGGGCTTGGCCGGCGCTTTGGCAAACCACAAGACAGGCCGTGCTATCGCGCGGGCAATGTCGGCCTCTGCCGACACCACTTCGGCCGGTGCTTCGCCCGCTTGCCACGCCCGTGGGGATGCTGGTCCATCCGCGCCCCGGGAAGCAGGACTCAGGGTGTCGGCTCCTTCACGTAGAGCCATGTCCTCGTGAGGAGTGCCACCATGGCTGGACGCCAGACTCTCACCAGGGGTTCGCTTGAGGGGTTCACTCTCGTCCAGCGGACGCACACGCTGAGCCCAGGCGAGAAACCAGATGGCGACGCTACCAAGAAAGCTTCCATACAGTAGAGCGCGGTATGACTCTGACTGTCCGAAGATGTTGGCGCCCGTCAGGGGCATATCGAGTTTCCGGGCATTCTCAACGCCAGTGACCAGCAGCCCAATCAGGGTGATCAATGTTGTGAGGCCGACTGGTATGGCAGCGTTCCACCAGCGCTTCGGGAGACGGGGGTCAGGATCCATGCGGGCATAGTCTTCCAGTGCATCGCTGTCGCCTTCGTGCTCCGCGTGGTCGGCGCCTTCGGTCCGTGCACGTCGTTCGGCCGTGAGCATGGGGCCAAACTCGCGATCGGTGATGACGAGGAAGAGCTGGAGACAGATCATCAAAAATGGGTAAAAACGACCAGGAATAGTGTTGACAAAGATGATAAAGGCCGAGTCGTCGTAGCAGGTCACGTCCTGGCCCTTTTCTGCTAGGCTTTGCAAAGTTGTCTCGATCAAGGAGAGCTCAAAGCCCACCCAGGTTGAGATGGGCGACAGGGAGGTGACGGGGGCCGAGGTACCATCCACGAGAAACGCGAGCTTCTCACGGGAAAGGCTGAGGGCATCCGTGATCGGCCGCACCGTCTGGCCCACGATGAGCGTGTTGGCAATGCCATCAAAGAAGATACAGAGACCGAGACCGATCGTCACCAGAGCGCCTGCTCTAGCGGTTGTGGCGTACTTGGAGAGGGCAGCGACGAGACCCTCCCCGCCGCCCGATTTGAGAACGCAGGCAATCATGCCGGAGAGGAACCAGGTAAAAAGAATGACTTGCACGTGTCCCTCGTCCGCAAAAGCGCCCACAATCAAGGTGTCAAAGCTTCGGGCAAAAGCACGCAGCGGATTGAAGCGATAGATGATAAAGCAGGCGCTGAACACGCCCACGTACAGGCTCAAAAGAACGTTGCGCGTGAGAAGAACCATGATCACCGTAATGAGAGGGGGTAGCAAGGTCAATCCTCCCGGAATCACGTGTGTATGGAAGCCCTGCTTTGTAGCCGCCAAGAAATCCTCTCGGAGGCTGAGTTCGAGTTCGTACTGGTGGTTGCCGAGGCGTCGATCGCTGACGTTGAAGTACTGCGTTGTGATCAGCGCGCCAAACTGGTCCAAAGCCTCAAGAGTGGCATTATCCACAACATGGCCGTTGCGATAAAGCCGCCAGTAAATCTGCGTGTCGTTTGCATAGGCGCGATTAGGCTCCCAGGAGAAATCGGCCTGGAAGCTCCAGGGCTTGCCCCGCAGCGCGACCAGGGGAGCCGAATTGATCTCTTCCAATTGCAGCTGAGCAGCGCAGGGGGCTCGATCCCCAAGGGTCAGAAGCAAGGCCAGCAGGGGAAGCCATGTACCCATGTACCACGGGCCCGAGCGCCGGATAGGGATCATGGCGGAGGTGCGATGAAGAGGCACGCCGCCGTCCCTCCTGCTATTATTGCCCTATGAGAAGCGGATGGGATGGGGATCCCCGCCCTTCGTGTTCAAACCGTGAGGGCCGTGCCACCAGCAACACCCGCTCAGCAAAGTTATCCCCAAAGTGCAGATCCCTTCAGTGGCGTTGAACCTTCAAAAGGCCACGCCGCTGTTCGTCGGCACGCTCTTGAACTGGTCGGATCGTCTAATGATTCCTGCTTCTTCTCCAAAAAAAAAAAAAAAAAAGGAAAAAAAAAAATAGAGAGAGAGAGAGAGAAGAGAGAGGAAGCACACATAAAAAAACTCTCTCACATGAATGGTCGTGAACTCGACAATTTTGGTTTCGTGATGGAATAGGTGCATCGAGGGGTCAGGGATCGCAAGAAGAAAGACCGTAGGCAGTGGGGGCGGGGGCAACGTGGGAGGTAGCGACGCCAGCGCCAGGGAAAAGGATGCGCAGCAAGAGCGATAATATATCAGATCTGGCTTTTTTTTTTGGGCTGGGTTATCTTTTCAATTGAATTGTTCAGAGAGAGGCAATGGCTCGTACACACAGAGCACCGCATTTCAAACAAAGAGTTCAGAAAAACAAAAACAAAGAAAGCTGCTAAAGGGCCGAGCAAGAACACAGCGTGTATGGCATGCTTGAAAGCCAAGGTCGGTGAGCTTTTCCAATGCCCATTGCTTGAGAGCACGGGTGTCAACTGATATATTACGAGGATTCGAGCTCGCGAATACGCTTCTTGAGAGCCGCCATTTCGGCTGACTCCTTGGTCTTCTTGGCCGAGCCGAGCTCGACAGCACGGACGCGTGAAGCAAACTTGAGAGAGTTGGAGGTCTCATCCACCTACAACGTACAATGCGCATCCGCGAGGAAAGTGAGAACCATTAAGATGACAAGACGACAACCTTTCAAGGTCATTGAAAGAGGAACATACGTTCTTTTCGACAGGGGAAATTTGAACCACCATGACGGTCTTGGCCGAGCCGCCCAGACTGTCCTGCAGCAAGTGGGTAAGCTTGGAGTTGCGGTATGGCACGTGTTTCTGCTTGGTACCGAGGGCGTTGATGACATCACCCAGGCACGAGAGGGACTGGTTGATCTTCGTGGCCTCCTTGAGGCGCTCCGGGTCGTTGATGGCGCCAGACTTTTCAGGACGTTCCGAGCCAGCCAAGTCAATCAGGTTCAGTTTGCCCAGAGTGCTGACGCCCGTGGAAAGGTTAGTGCCGTTGACATACACGATCAACAAGGCGTGCGAGCGACTCGAGTGTTCATTCATGTCGGTGGCAAAGGTCTTGCGGTTCTTCTGAGAAGACATGAAGAACGAGCGCACTTCTTCCGCGCTAGTCACGGGGTGACGGGAAAGATCCGGCACTTGCGGGCCGTCTTTGCCGTGGCGGATAGCAAGGCCGCCCTTGGGTCGCTTGTCGGCCAACAGGTCATTGATTGTTTCGTTGTAGATCTCGAGGACGCTAATCTCAATCTCGTACGTCCAATCTGCACTGCGCTCTGCCGTAACCTACACGGGCGCGTGACACAGGATGAGGCGGCTGCCACTGTGGTGTCCAAATCAAAAGACGGTCACAGTTCTCTGCTGTACAGCACGGTAAAAACAGCAAGCCGAGCCAAGCAGAAACAAGCAGGACTAACCTCAAAGAGATGGGCCAAAGCACGACGGTTGAGACCGGGGTTGTCATCGGGACCGTCCATGGTGAAGGTCTTACCGGAGCCGGTCTGACCGTAGGCAAAGATACAGACGTTGTAACCGTCAATGCACGAGACAATCACGTCACGAGCACGCTCAAAGACCTCCTCCTGCGTTGAGGTGGGGCTGAAGACGTGGTCCATCTCATAGTCCTCAGCCTTGCCCTTGCGATTGCACTGCACAATCTGGTCATCAGCGGGGCTAGGGAGAGTGACGAGTTTGATTTTGGCCTTGTCTTTTCCGTCCTCACCAATGATGGGGCGAATACGGGCAAAGACACGAATGTTGCCCTTGAGATCGACGAGCTCGTTGTGAAGCTTCTTGCGCAACTGCATCTCCTTGCGGTACTTGCGCAGCATCTCCTTGTACTGCTTGTCAATGTCGGCAAGTGTACGCAGGAGATCACGCTTGCACTGCTTGACACTGGGTTCAATCTCGCCCTGGAGCTTGAGCGTATCCTTGCGCAGCTCTTTGTACTTGGCGGCCACGATGGTCAGGGCCTCCTTCATCGGGGCCAGCTGTTTGGTCATGTTGCCGAGACGCGAGGTCATGTCCTGCATGCGTTCCTCGGCCTTGGATTCAGCTTCTGCGACGGCAGCGGCCTTGGCGGCTTGCAGTTCCTGAACGGTTGCAGCGTGCTTTTCACGCTCTTGCCGCAGCGTAGAAGTGGCCTCATCGGATTGCTTTGAGGCGGACTCCTTCAAGCTGGCGATCTCTGCGCGGGCCTCCTGCAGGTTTTTCTTTGCGCCCACATGACTCTCCTGCTCCGATTGGAGGTTAGCCTTGGTCTGGGCCAGCTCAGCACGGGCCGTCGAGAGCTGAGTCTTGATATCATCAGCCGAGCCTGAGGCCGAAGCCAAGGCTGCCGACTGCTCGTCCATGGACTGCTTGAGGGCGGAAAGTTCCTTTTGCAGACGGCTGCCCTGAGCCTCTGTCTCCTCCAGCTTGGTGGATAAGGCATCGCGGGCCGTCTCAGCTTCGCGAGCCTTGCCCTGCCACTCGGTGACCTGAGCCTGCAGCTCCGAGTTGAGCTCGGCCTGCACGGCATCGCGCTCTGCGCCACCAGCGGACGCGGCAGCTAGGCGAGTCGCTTCAGCCTTCGCCGTGCGCAGCTGTTGCTCCAGAGCCTCATTTTTCGATTGCAGATCTTTGATCTTGCGTTCAAAGGCGGCAGCGGCAGCAGCAGGGACCTGGCTACTGCTGGCGGCTTGCCTGTTCTGATCTTGGGCGTCACGAAGACGTTCTCGCAGTTCGGCTGCCTCACGGCGCAAGTTGTCAATCTCCTCATTGTCAAGCGCCGATGTGGCGCCCGATGCAGCCTGGGCCTGAGCCAGCTTGACGGGGTCAATGCGCAGGTTAAGGTCGGCAATTTCCTTTTGAAGCTGTTCCACGCGGTCTTTGAATTCCTGTTCAAGGGCAGCGTGATCTTCCTTGAGACCTTCGAGCTCGACCTCGAGGATGTCGGCCTTGTCCGAGGCCTTGCGCTTGGCCTCGGTCATCTCATTGAGCTGGTTGACAAGCTGCATCAGTCCATCGCGCTCTGAGCCACCGGCTTTAAGCTCGTCGAGGCTAATCACGGTGTTGTCCAGCAGAGTTTTTGTCTCCTTGAGTTCGTCCGTCTGGTTTTCCTCGAGGGCTTTGCGTTGCAAGGCGACTTGTTGCTTGGATGAATTGAGCTGGCGCTTGGTCATGCGCAACTCTGATTGAATTTCATCCTTGTCATGCTTAAGCTGTGGTGCGCACGAGGGCGCGCGAATGGGCCGCATCATTGAGTCAGAAGGAATTGTTTTGCACGGTGTTTGGATCAAAAACACTGGCCTGGTCACGGGTCGTGCAAAGAGGGGCGCGGGAAGACATACCTTGCGGTTTTGTTCTGTGGCAGTACGAAGAGCGCGTTGAATACCCAAAAACTCCATGAAATTTGGCCCTATGCACATGCAGGCGCGTTTTTGTTATTTCACCTGCTGGGATGTGACGCTCCGTCACCGACACGACAAAATCGAAGGAGAAAGGGAAAGGGGAAAAAGGAACAGTAAAAAAAAAAAAAAAAAACAACAAAAAAAAATTTGAAAAGAAGGGGGGTGGGAAGGGAGGCCTTGTGTGTAAAAGGGAAAAGGAAAGCAGAGTCGTCGGTGCAAAACGAGGCCATGCTCTGCCCCGATAGAGGCAAAGCCCATGCGCGCGACATAGCCACATACCACTCTGTGATTCGCCATTGCCATTGGTCCCAGTGTTGTCGTCATCAGAGTCAGACTCGAGCTCGAGGTCCGAGGGCATGTCATCTTTTGGGTGGCGGCAAGAGGGCAATAGGAGGAGTGCGCCAAGAGGGTCAGTGGAAAGAACAAAGAAGGACATTGCCAGCGCTATCGGCCAGCCTGGTATTGGTGCCATCGAGACACGACGCTTTTTGATAGCACCCAGACCACGCCACCAGGAACATAACAAGCGGCAGGGTAGAAGATGCGCACTGACCAAGACCAAGCTCATCGGCCAAATCCTCCGTAGCCGCGCCGGCCTGGACTGGCGCGGCGCCCATGGCCTTTGGCGTCTTGAACATGGGGCGAGCAGCCATTGTGACGGCCTGTGTCGAAAAGCAAGGGTCGAGCGTCAAGGTCGTGAGGCAACTAGGTCCATCCAGAATCACGATCAAAGTGCCTCAAAAAGCCATGCACTCGAACGGACCAGCTCAAGCGACAAGCAACAGGCGAGTGACCCCTTCCTTCTTCGACCCCACCCCTCAAGCGCTACAGGTTGGTGCCACGGGCCCGCACTGTGCCCGACCGCGATTCACACACACTCGCGCGCAGAGAGAGAGAGAGAGAGAGAGAGAGAGAGAGAGAGAGAGAGAGAGAGAGAGAGAGAGAGAGAGAGAGAGAGAGAGAGAGAGAGCTTTTTACCACAACAACACAAAACAGTAAAATAGATGCGAAAGAATGAGAGAGAGAGAGAGAGATCAAAAGACGGCAACGCATCGAAGAGAAAAAGTCATACAAACAAACACAAAGCTTGGTCAGGATCGTGGCAGTGCACAAATGAGCGATAAACCTGCCGTCCATGCGCTCTGGATCTTCAAGCCACTGAAAACGGGAGGTGGTAGCAGCGGCGCGTTGCTTTTCGAGGTGGTAGCAGCGGTTCGTCGTTTTTCAAGACCGATTCGGGGTCGCTGGTTCTCGTCGTCCTCTCGCTGCCCTCGCCAGCTTTTGTCTTCGCCTTCAATGTCCCTTGGGAGGCAACAGCTGTTCTGACCAGATATTTGACCAAAATTTTACGTATCGTTTGGGTGAGAAAGAGCTTGTTCCAGCAATTGTAAATTTTGAATGGGACAAGTCAAAGAGAGTGATCTTGTCAGCATTTTACAGCACAGAAAGTTAACATTCCCCCTCCTATTTTAGACGGATATCGAGGCCCTACGCGACGAGACCGAGGATTTCGTCCGCAAAAACGCTGGCATCGACGCGCTCCGGGAGCGCCTCGGCCACTGAGGCCTCTCCCAAAAGGTTGGCGAGTGTCCGGGCCAGTTCATCCTCGGTCAATGCGTCTCCCTGCTCCTGCAGAATGCGCAACAGCTCGCTCGTAGCCAATGAGCCACTCGGCTCGTCTTCTACCTTGCAGATGTCTGCAAACGCCGCTCGCAAATCCTCCGGCGCCAATCCTAGGGCCGGTCTGTATAGCATAGGCGAAGATAAGACATGGGCAGTAGAGACCAGGGTCAGCAAGGCCCAAAAACCTGTGGACTGAGCGACAGCCTGATGGAGCGAACTGGAAGGAGGCGAGATACTGCACTCACCGATGGTTGAGGTAGAGGCGCACCACATCCTCAACATCGGCGTGGGTACCAAACTCCTTGGTGGCTGCAAATGGCCCAAACTTGAGCTCGTTCAAAATGTCCTAAGTCACCCAGATACCACAGTTCAGGCGTCAACACCATCCTTCGGGCCCACGCTTGCATCAATGACCTTGAGACCCCAACCAAGTTCAGCATCCTCGGTCCCACTGACCTGAACTTGTGACTCAGTTGGAAAGAAACCCATGGCACGCAAGAGGTCCGGCACATCCTCAATCGGGATGCGATCAGATACCTCACGTGAGGCCATGGAGGACAGGCCCTGGCGCCTCAGCTGCACGTAGTAAAAGTACTCGCGCAATTCATTCATGAGCTCGCCATCGGCACCACCCTCCATCATATCGAAGAAAGCCGGCATGCTCGTCCCCTGCAGCTCCACTTGTGCACTCAAGACGTCGGCATTGATCTGCCACATGTGAACAGCGCAATCTCGTCCTCCGGCTGTGAATAGATATTTGCCGTCATGACTCACACACAATCCAGTCACCTACGCACCAAAAAACAGATCAGGGCACAGCCTCCCACGTCATGACGGCAAATGTGCCAAGAGTAAGCAGGGTTCACATTGGGGCCGCAGGGCCAGCATACCTCAGATGCATGTGCCAGCAGACTTGTGTAGCGGTGTTGCAGTCCATCCAGCGGCATGAGGGCCATGCCCACCTGCGAAGAAACGCCACCGCGACAAACGCAGGAAAATGCGCCAAAGTTAGCTGAGACGGCAGTGGCACCAAATCGAAAGAGCGGGGGCACGCACTCGCTCATTGGTGGCAAAGCAAATCAGCCGGTGATGCAGGTGGTCTGCATAGACGGGTACATTGAGAATGCGCTGCGCTGGTGAATCCAGTAGGGGCCCCAACACTGTGCGTCGACAGAGCCGCGTGCTGCGATTGAAGGTTCGAAGCTTGTAGTCACTGTTAGCCACAATATACGTGGCACCCGCACTGTCGGTGGATTCGAGAATGGCCACCGGATCAGCCGTGTCTTCAAGCCGGGTTCGAGTCGCAATCACCAATTGATTGTCAAAGTTGCTGTTCTCCAGGTCGTACTCGGCCAGCATGCCGTCCTAGCCGCACAAGGTACCAAGGCAAAGTCAGGTTATCACCCTTGGCAACAGGGGCAAAGACGATAAGACGGCTCACCTTGCCAATGGAGATGAGAAGGGGCTTGGTTGGATTTTCCTCGTGTTTGGTAAAAAGAAGATCAGTTACCCCACCACCGTGGGCGCGGTGCTTGCCCACAAACTGCCAAGGGGCAGCTCGCTGCAACGGGTCCAGGCGAAACACGGATACGCAGCGGTCCGTGTCGGCCGTCGCGAGATACTCGCCACTCAAGGAGAAACACAAACGGGTCACAGACCCCTTGCAAACGGAGAACCTGAAGAAGCCAAGCAAAGCCAATGAGATGATTCAAAGCTTGCGCAGACAAGGTCAAGTAAAGGTGCTTGAGAGCAGAAAAAAACTTGCGTGGCTGCATCGCCAAGTGGTTGTAGCATGATGGCATCGCAAAGTATGACCGAGCCACTGGCCGTTGCGACGGCCAGGGTGTATCCATCCGGGCTCAGCGCCAGTGCCTTCAAGGCGAACACATGACCCGGTGAGTATGATGGCAAAAATGCTGAACCCCCCTCTCTATGGGCATTAAACAGAAGTCAAAAAGGCAGGCTTGGGGACAAACCGTGATCATTATCTGAGCCCCATATTTGTGCGAGGCCACCAGCTGTGCGGAGAAGAAGGTGGAAGTCATCAGTACGCCCGGTGATGATACGGCAAAGATGAATGGTGTTGCCAAAGGGCGGGCAAAACGCGAGAACATCAAAAGCATCGCTTCATACCTCGCCAGTCGTGTAGTCCCAGACTTGCAGCTGACCAGACAATCCACCAATGAATAGCTTGGGTGCGGAAGGATGCGCCACAATGGCAGTTGTGGCTTCGCTCTGGCCGTCAATCAAAACCTAATTTCACAATAGGGTCAAAAGGAGCCCGGCCTGGTGCAATCGTTTCTTGTTTTATCTTTCCATCTGCTGTTCAACATCGCGCCAGGACAGGAGGAAACCATACTTCTTTGAGAAATTCCTGGCCAGTCACAACAGTGATCAAGAAACCACCTGCCGTCGAGACGACAAAGTTTGGAATCTGCGGCAAATTGGGGAGAAGAAAAAAAAGAAAAAAAAAGAAGAAAACAGAAATGAGTTTGCTCAAGCGGGCCAATTTTCATCTAGCTTTGCGCTACCGACGAACCGCTTGTGAAAAGGTGCGCGGAGTAACCTCCACCGCCTCATTGACGGTAGCCAAAAGAGGATCGCTCTCCTAAAGTCAGGTGGGGGCAGTGACATTCAGTGCCAAGCATCATTCAAGATTGGCGCGCGGGGGAGAAGGGGTTGGTGAATAAAGGTAAAGGATGAATAACAACACCACCAGCACCAAAGGTTGGCCTGGCACCTTGCTCCATACCGGCGAAGCAAAAGAAACAGAAGTGATGGGTCCGGCTTCGAGATCCTCAGTCCAGCCGATGGCACGGCACGAGTCGTCAAAACAACGCAGCATTCCGTCTTCGCAACCCGCGACCTAAAACGAAGATGCAAGCGGAGAAAAGTTTTGGCACATGGCGTCACACATCCGACCGTTGAGAAGTGGGTCATCAGATGAATCGCAGAGACAAGTTGTATGTGTGTGTGTGTGTGTGTGTGTGTGTGTGTGCGTGCGCACGTACAATGAAGCGCCAGTCTGGTGTGAGAACCAAGACGTTGATACGGCACTCGCATACGTCTACGGCCTTGGTAAACGTGGCACTGCAAGTGTTCTCGGGACCCTCGTTGAGCTCAAAAAAGGCGATGCGCCCCTTGGACGTGGCAGCGGCAATTTGATTCATGGCCTGGGCAGCACATTCACCAGCAAGCTGAGTTTTTATCATGGTTTGGGACGAGCTTCTTTCAGGGTTTCAATCAACGATCACACATACAGGCAAAAAGGTTGCTTGTGTAAGCTCTTCGGACACTGAGGTGCTGGCAATGTTGTAGGTCAGGCGCTGCTTAAAGTCCCAGGTCAGGAGAACCATCTAAATCATTCGCCGGCAAAAATGGTCGGGTGAGCTGTCCAAAGATTTGCATATGACCACCCCGGGGCCAAAGCTCCCGCCAACACACCTCATGCTTGGTGGTGGCCAGAAACAAACGAGGATCATCAGGATGACTGCGCATCATATGCACAGGGCTCAGCTGCGCCGGCAGAACAGCGGCACAGCGAGGGCCTCGGGCATCCGGCGTGGTCCAATCTAAGATCTGGACAGTTTGCCTGGGAAGGCAAAATAGACTCGACTGTTAGAATAGTGGCAACGCGTGCCGGACAAACCCAAGTACGCGCGTCAACGGTGCGCACCCTTGGACTGCATTTTCAGAGTCATCAGGTGCAATGACGCAAACAAGATACATAGCATCCATGGTGAAGGAAACTGAGCGAGTCTGGCCGCCAAGCTGGGAGAGATGAGGCCAAAAATAAAAAAATTCAAAAGCACAGAGCCGTGGAGTGTCAGATGCACGAAGCCGTGAAAGTCACACTCAGGAAAAACATAAAAAAAAGGCAGCTAGAAGATCGTACCTCGTCGTGAAAATAGGTACGAGTTGGCATGCCCGAATGAGTGTCCCAGATGATGAGGCAAGACTCGGGGCCAGAATCGGCAGTGGCGAGCCAGCGCTTGTCACGGCTAATGTTTGTTTCAAAAGTGTCACCCAAAAACCCGGGGCGGATAAGAATGGGCTAGCAGCGATATATCTGTCATGGTTTGCAAACTATGCTCACCTGAGGCAAGAAAGGTTAATGTTGTGGCGGTGTCCAACGAGCATGCGTTGACGCCCATGTCGTCGTTGCAAAATGACACCCATGTGGCCCGAGGGGAAGAAAACATCCTGCAAATCGCAGCAAAAAAAACACGAGTCAGACAAGCTAGCACTCCAGTTCAGGGCAATTTAGTACGCAGCAGAAACCTACTGCACAGGTACCATCTTCAAGGCTATGCACACCGGCCACAACCGAGGAGCGAAACCCAAATGCCCACACCAGATCCAAAGGGTGCTGGGGTACGCGATGACGACTGTGCTCGCCGCGCAAACGATCTAGTTGCTTTGAAGCATCTGCAAAGCATGGTGTGCACGACTCGGGCTGAGGCAGGGGCGAGTACGATGTTGCCTTGGTTGGGGACACAGTTAACCAGACAAAACAGGGTTCAAGAAAGACAACCGACCACCCCCTTCTTTCCCCTCGGTCCATCACAAACACTCACCGTTTAATGGTCGACTGTGAGGCTCTTCAATGGGGTCGGTGGAGGCGTCAGCATTTTTGGGCGCGGTGCCGGTGCGGCTGGCTGTCTCTTGACCGGCAATTTCAACGCTTCGCTTGGTAATGATGGGACCGAAGTCCTCTCTTGATGGTGAACCGGCTGCTGCATCTGTGCTTGTGTCTGCGTCGACCATACTCGGGGTCTCTGCTGCAGGCACAGCCCCTTTCTGGGCTTCAGGCGCCGATGCGTTGACCTGAGATGTTTCATCGCTGGGTTTTGGAGGAGAACCAGGTGTCTCAGGCTGGGCATCGGTGTTGCCATCAGCCGTACTCTCCTCGCCTGTCGGAGCGGCCGGGTCAGCTCCGGCTTCGTCGGATGGCGCGTCAGCTGCCTCCTGGCTGTCTTCATTCGAAGGAGCCTCGGTGCTCGGCTCTTGCACCGTTGCTGCGGCCTCCTCTGCCGAAGCCTCATCAGTCTTTTCTACTGGTACGCCAGCACTCGGGCCTGCGTTCGCATCGTCATTCTCCTGAGTGCTCTGATCATCTTTCCTGTCATCGTCGTCGTTGTCGCTGTTGTCGTCGCTGACGTGTGGCTCTTCGTTGGCTTGATCGTGGTCGTCGTTGCTGTTTTCGTCGTCTTCCCTGCCAGCAGTGTCGTCATCCTGAGCTTTTGCCGCCTCCTCGACACCGTCGCTGGCATTTTCATCTCCTTCGACGTCATCAGCAGCAGTATCAGGCCGAGACGCGGTATCGGTGTCTGGTTGATCTGAGCCAGCATCATCCATGGGCTCATCGGCCTGATCATCCGTCGCGCCCTCGGGCACCAGCCCAAACTGCGGTTCCGCCATGATCCTTGTCTTGGCTTAGAAGAAAGGAGAGGCGCAGGTAGAAAGAAGCACGGTACGCTCCACACCAAGCTCGTCGCACCAAGGATAGGGGCACACGCTTGGCCAGCAGCCTCGCCACTTGCACTGCCCGTGAGTCGGTCGAACAGAAAAAAAGAAAAAAAGAAAAATACAACGTCGCCAAGGTCAGCGCTTGCAAGCTTAAAATTATATGACAAAAGTCAATGACGTGCCGAGACAACTTTTTTCGGTTTTTGATTCGTGGGCCTGACGTCGTCAGCAAAAGGTGAGTGATGCGAACGAGTGATTCAACGGTCCTCCGCTCACTCTCTGGATTCTGCTTGGACTGTACTTTGTCAAGTTTTTCGGTTCGAGACACACCTCTGCTGCCATTCTCCTTGATCTGCTCGGACTCACAACGCGTGCGCTCGTTTTGGCAGCGCACCTGCCCGTCTGCCTCCTCTCGTTGCTGCTCCCCCCCCTGGTGCCAGCTCAACCGCGAGTTTGAAAAGAGACCTCTTGGTGTCATTTCATTGGAACATCTGAGCAGTCTTCACACCGCTTCAACGCTGGAACGTCCAGGGTCCTTCAGAGTTGTCCAGCCCCAGCCTTGGATCAAGTCCCCTGCCATACCTCCGTGTGTCTTCTTGAATCGGTGCGTCATCTCGTGGCGGCAGTCATCGGTTCGGCTGCCTCGACGGTCCAGTAATGGACTGCAGCATCTCTGTTCGATTGGGGGAGCTAGAGGAGGGTGGGCATGATTGGTTATGGTTGATCAGCTGCCTGCCAGCTGGAATTGTTGGACACAAGGAGAGGGTGATCATGTGGCCACAAGTGTTTGACTCCTTTGACTTTCTGCTGGTCACGCCTCACTGCCCTTACTGCATCGGTGCTGTGCGCATTCATCAGCTGTACCCTGATTCTTCTTCCTCCTCTTCTTGAGAGTCTTGAGGCGCCTTGGCATGTATATATCCAATTTATCGCCCGAGGAAACAGCACGCCGGTCCCCCACTTTGGACACCGACAGCGGCGAATCGCCCCAAACACACGCGGACAGCGTTGCCAGCGTGGCCGACGCTGGTGCCGCGCTTGCTCAAAATCACCATGATGTCCCTGGGGATGACACAGAGGCAACGCCACCGCCCAGCTCCAGGACCACCCTCCACACGGCTAACCGAACGCAGCGCGCTTCGCTCGCGAGCGTGAGAATTGTTCAGCCCACCAAAGCGTCGGTGCCCTCACTCAGCGACTTTGAACGTGACTTCATCCCAATCGACGTGTTTGTCTTTCAGCCCGGATGCTTCACCACGTCCTCTGGGTACTTTTCCCGGCCCGCCTGTGGTGGGAGTGATTGTGGCCTCTTTTGCTGTGGCTTCGACCTGCTCAACTTGTGTGGCTTTGGTGCCTGTCGGCACTTCTCCTTGGCCGCGGCCCCGCAGAGCTGGGCTCAAATCCGTCACGATATAGAGCAGTATCTACCGGCTGCCCACGCGATTGCTGGTCGGTATGTCCGTGCTTGTGGTCAAGCGGACAAAACCAGTATCACGGATGCCCTCAACACCGAGTGGTGTCCCATCGTCAACCACGATGTGCTGGCCTTGCAAGGCCTCTACATCAAGGCTGTCAATGAGACCGCCGTCAACCTTGAAGTCTATCGCATTCCCGCCCCACTTCGGTAACATTTTTTTTTTTTTGGGGGTTCAGATTTATTCACACCTGACTGCTTTTTTGACAGGTGGATGATGGATGGTTTTTGGGTTTCCTTCATCATCACTTGTGCACACGGCCAACCGCTCTCCGATTGTGTCCGGGTGCACAGATCCAAGCCAATTGTGATGATGTCCTAGTAGTAAATTGATATGGAAAAAAAAAAGGCAGCCGCCTACCGCTTCCTATGCCCTTTCGCCAGAGAGCTATAGATGCACACTCCCGGCTTTAAGCACACGCGCGTGCACACACCACACATACACACAAACGTGCGTACATACATACAAAGATGCTCACACCGCAAGCGAGAGATAGCTCCAACCAATTAAAAATGCTAAAAATTGAACCTACGCTAAAAAAAGGACTCACGAGCACAACCGCAAACACACGTTACTGATTGGGAAGGACAACAAAGGTCACGGCAAACAGACCAACAAACTGGTATTTCATCCTGCTGAACTGACGGCGAAGCTGCGCGCTCATTCGGCAAATAACGAAACGAGAATGAAAACAAAAACAAAACAAAAGTCACAAAGTCTTCTTGGCTCACATCAACTACCGGGCGTGTCGTTGTCCATTGACATTGCTGCCGCGGCGTTGACCCGAAGCGTTGGCCGCGGCACGAAAGGAGCGTAGGACCACACATGCGTTGTGCGTTGCGTGCCACATTCGACTCAGGAGGTTGCCAAGATCACTCCAATGAATGCACAAGTTGTGGTCCACAGCTCGTTCCAAGGAGGTCTCGACCGGGAAGTTTGGCGGGTTGGCCAGCATCTTGGATAGCTCCTGCAGCTGACGGGTGTTTGCAGAGAGGACCTATCATTAAGCATGGGACACGAAACGCATCATGAGATTGAATTCTTTCACTTGTTGCGAAGCACCTTTAATAGCTTGAGACGTGCTTCCCCATTTTGCGACGGCTATTATGTTCAGTCAAAGCGTTTCTCGTGGGCGAAATGCGTACCTGAGCGGTTGAGGGGTGGCGGGCCGCCAAGGCAATTTGGTGTGCCGTCATGCCAGTCATGTTCGCTGTCCGAGGGTCCAGTCCACCCAGCAGCAGCAGCGCGGCAACACAAACTTGGCCATTGCGGGCAGCCGAATGCAAGGCCGTGTCACCATTCTTCGCACTGGCATGCAAATCGCCCAGCTTCCGAGACAGTAGCACCTGAAAATCAGAATGAGTCTAACATTCAAGCAGATTGCAAATCCATGGCACGAGGCAAGATCAAAACACTGGCTGACGGCTTTGGCTGCACACGTACAATGGCACTGCTGATCGAGTCCTTGTTGCAAGCCAAGTGCAAGGCATTGCGCCCGTCGTCCACTTGAGCATGGACCAGGTTCGTGGCTTCGTTGATCCGAGAGGCTTCATTGAGGAGCTCGTCCAGGACCAGGAAGCGGCCATTGCGCGCAGCATGATGGAGCGCCGTATTTCCCCGCGAATCGCGAAGCTTGAGCTAATGGAGCAGAGAATCAGTATGAGGTGAGAGCAGAACAATGCTTCTCGTCAATGTTGGAATTTATCAGGCTGCAAAGCAAGCAGCCAGGCGCAATATGGGACCTACGTCAGCACCTTCCTGCAGCAGCTTGCGTGCGAGCGCAACGTCGCCACGAATAGCAGCAATGTGCAAGCTTCCACCCTCGCGGCACTTGCGGAAGAGTTGCGAAGCCCGGCGCTCGTCCATTTGCTGGTGGCTACGCGTCATCAGCAGCAACTCCACGTCTGTCGGCACAAACACGCGCGCATAAAGCCGCCCAGCACAGCATGAGTTCACAACCCGCCATGCACAGCTGGGTGGAATTCACACAAACAGGGGCCCAAAGGAAGAGTGAGTGACACGCACGAGGCGATCTTACCTGGGTTTTTACGGCGCGAGGCTAGACCCATGGCCGTGTCACCACTGTTGTCAATGGCGGTGATGTCGCAACCGCAGCTGAGCAATATTTGAACACACAGAACGTGGTCGAGCTCGGCCGCAAAGTGAAGGGCTGTACGGCCATCGGCGGCTTGCTCATTGGTGGCGTCGGGGCGGTGGTGCAACAGGATCACCAGAGTCTCCGGATCACCGCGCTTGGCTGCTAGGTGAATGCTGTTGAGACCGTGGCGATTCCGACGAAGCGGGTCAGCGCCAGCTTGCAGGAGAGTGTACACGGCGATGGGTTGGTTGTGTTCGACGGCCAAGAACAGAGGCGTGTGGCCTTGGGCATTGACGCCGTTGACGTCGTGGCCCGCATTGATGAGCGAACAGAGCGAGTCCCAGCAGCCCGTGGCTGCCGCACGCAAAAGGCTACTGCAGCCATGCGTACGCTCCTTCTGCACCTGCTGCAAGAGGTAGTCACGAACGGTGCTGGTGGACGCGACGTCGTAGGGCACCTCGCCAGCAGCGTTGACACACTCGACCCGAGCTCCCGAATCAAAGAGCAAAGTGACGATTGGCATGTGACCGTGGCGAGCCGCACAATGCATGGGGGTGTTGCCATGCTCATCCAGGGCGTGGATGAGGGTCGGCTGCGATTGCAAGAGCATAAATGTAATGCCAATGTCTCCCTCTGCGCAGGCGGCATGGAGTGCCGTGGAGCTGGCGGCGCGGTCCTCGCCCAGGGCCTGCTCCTCGATAATGGTCTTGGCCGCAGTATCGGCAATACTACGCAACATGTGCACGACCGAATTACCCCGAATACCCTCGGACCCAACGGTATACCGGACAAAACTGCCACCGTCCATGTCAATGGGCTTGACCAAAGGACGGGGTGGAAGGCAAGCCAAGGGCGTCGCATCGTCATACTCATCATCGTCGTCCAAGCGCATGAAAGCATAGCGCTTTTTGCGCCCCGACAGCTGCTGGACAATTTTGATGCGCAACCACACGTTCATTTCAAGCCCTTGCTGCACGAATCGCGCATCGGGCGAGGGGGTTGAGTCGCGCAGGTAAAAGGTAACGGAGACTTGCATGCGCAGCATGCCAATGTCGTTCATTTTTTCGGGGGAGGCAGGGATGGGACAGGGAAAATGGATGCCCTTCTCCGAGTTGAACTGCTCCAACAAGCTGCGCTTGTGCACGATGTAGTGGATGCAATCACCACTCTCGTCAGCTTCAACTGTAATGCCGTCAATGCCGTTGCGCACCATCATAGTGGCGTCTTGCCAGCCGGACACAAAGAGCTGCTGGTATTCTTCGTCCTCGCTAAACCGATACACACGCGTGGGATAGCTGCCACGGTAACTTTGATAAAGCCGGACCGTGATAATGACGCGCTCAAAGTTTTCCACATTGACTTGGTCGTCGTAAAGAACGGCATCGTCTACCGGTGCCGGAATATGCTGCGACTCCTCTGCGCCCAGGCGCTGCAGAGGATAAATGGCTCGCTCCACCGGCAAAAAGGCCACATGAAAGCTTCCATAGCCACTCGATTGGCCCCGCTTCTTACAATACCGTGCCTTGTACTCGACGTAGCCCTGGGATTGAACGTTGGACAGGATACGATTGTCGGCCTTTTCATCGTTTTTCACGGCAAAACGGCACTGGTTGATGTCGTCCGAGTTGAGCCAAATGGCACACCTTTATGGGTCCCAGAGCAGCATCCACATGCAAGCTTGTCAGACTGACCGGATACGCTGTAAAAGGAAGCTGTGGAAAGCTGGGGGCGAAAGACGTACAGTTTTCGTGAAGCATTGGTGGCTTCAACGCCTCGTTGCACGCCGCGGGCCATGGTGGACCGCTTCTGCGGTAGCCGATCGTCTGAACCCAGAGGGTGGCCCATAGCCAGGTGTGCTGATTTAGCAGCAGGGTGGCCCTGTGAACCGACATGTAAGGGACATGTGCAGTCAGATGATCCAGCATCGATGGAAACGGATGCAATACCCGGGCATCCATGGCAAAAACAGGGGCAATTAAGAGGAGAGAAGAACAATGGTTATAAAAGAAGGAGCAGGCCGACAATGACAGCAACAACAGCACCCGCCAGCAACAGCCATCAGATGAAAGAAGCAAGGCACCCTGAATTGAATGGGTGGGCTTTTGATTCAACGTACCACAGCCTCGGCGGGTTCACGTTTGACTTTGCCCTTGGAAATGTCAGGCACGGGAATGTCTGTACCAGAGGGGAAAGCAGTGCTGGCAGCTCGTTGCAAAGCCTCAAGGCCACCTGTGTTTGAGGACAAAACGCTGCCCGGCAGTTGGTCCAGAGAGGCTGTGCAACAGACCAAACAAAAGCACAGAAAAAAAAAACAGAGGATGAGTTGAAAAGGGGTTTCGCGAGGTCGGGCCGAAGAGAAAGGATCCTCGTGTGATAAGGCTGGATGGAAAGGTTGGTGGCACTCACCCAGAGCTGTACCTCCAGCCAATTGTGACGGAATGGAATAGGTATCGTTAATATCTGCATCACCGAGGTCGGTGGCACTCAAGCTAAGAAAAGTTACGGAAAGGACAATGAAAGGAAAACGTGCCATATCGGCTGTGAGTGCAAGAGTTGGTGTGGTTGTCCGAAGGCCTAGGCCGAAATGAATCATAAAACCTACCCATCAAGCGGTTGAAGTCCAATTGATTCGGCTTGGCGGTGATATTGTTCCTGTGAGTGAGGGCGGTGCACATTCGCATTGTAGGGTTAGAGACCCATACGAGGAATGAGAGTGCGCCCTTGGCACAAAAGCGGGGGTTTGGGGTTTGTCAATACAATAGCATGTGCCGCACTCGCACCAAATGATAGCCTTGCTGGGCCGACCCGGCTTGGTCACCAGCAGCTGGTGTGGAGTCTTCATCGTTGTATGCTCGAAGAGCTGCATTGCGGATTTGAGAGAGACAATGAGCCGTGCGGCGATGCCAGGCAGCTGGGTTTACCGGAGGATCAACGTACCATGCTCCGCGCCGATGTAACCAAAATCGTCGGTGGTGGGTACCGGGGGTCTGAGTACCACAAAGGGCAAAGTTCCGGACAAACGAGTGAGTCCGTGTGCTGCAAAACATGCTCGGTGTCTGATACATGCCCCGCGCGTGCGTCTGCAGGCATCGGCTTAGCAATGGAGCAGCAGCCAAGACGAGACGTCATTCACGCCTGAACGCGGTGGGTCTGGGCACAAGCGACCAACTTTGTGCCGAGAAGGTTATCAAACCCTTGTAGTGGTTTACCATCATTGAGCAAATCCGTGAAGGAGCCATACTGATGGATTGGACGCCGGGGCATGAGTAAAAAGCTGAGAGAAGAAGCTCAGCAAGGCAAAACACTGGGGATGTGATGGCAAGAAGATGAGCACCTCATCAAAAAAATCTTCCGAGGGTGGGAAGTAGCTAGACATGGAGGCCACGTCGCCTTGCGCCATGGCAAACGACGCGGCGTTGAGCCCGTTGGACCCCTGGGGCGTTGGATAACAGAGGCGATGAAGCAGTGAGGCAAAGAGTGAGCATCCTGACCACGGCAACACAGGTGGGGACAGAAAGGATGATTTACGACTGCAGGGTAGCCTTTTTGACTTTTGCTCAGCTTGGAAATAACGAGCGAGTTCGGTGGATGGGGCAGGGCATGTTGTGTGGGTACACATGCATCAGAAAGGCAGGGGGAAGTTTAAAGCTGGTTCTCTAGCCAGCTCACTCTTACCGTATAGGCCATGACGCAGTTGACAAACCAAAGCGAGGCAGATGCGCCAAGCGCCTTTTTTTTCCCCCCCAAAAAAAACTTGGGGTGGGCAGCGGCCAGTTGTTCCAGCGGATTGGCAGCAAAAACCCACAAGCACAGACAAGGGGGTGGGATGCTGCAGTGTGTGACGAGCCTTTGTTGTCCCTGCCACACAGCATCCAAGGACACATGAAGAAGTTTAGTTGGTGCCGAGTCGTAGGGCAGGCAGTGGACAGCGAAAGAGGCGTCACACAACTGACTACTGAGAAGCGGATGCAGCTTCGGCAGCGCACGGTCTCTTCTGCCAGCCCAGAAAGTTGGATGGCGGGCAGCACGAGGCAAAAGAAGAAGTGAGAAGTGTACAAGGGGACATGTAGCTGGGGAACAGGGCGGTGCAAAGAGCTGTCGGCGCGTCCTTTTTTTTTTCCGTCTGAAGTGCCGAGTGCATGCATGTGCCGCAGCCTCGCTCTGACGATCCAAATCAAGAAACACGAAAGCAGGGCCCAGACTCACCTCGATGCCGACCCCCACAACAGCTCCTTCCAACCCAACAACAACGGCCCAAACCAACCGACCAGCCCTCAATGCCACCACAGCACAGAGGTGACGGCGCGCAGACCCCGTCGTCGTCCGCTTACACAATCCGTAAAAATGAAAACGCGCGCCCTCTCTCTTTTGGCAGTTGCACCAATTTGTGTGTGTGTGTGTGTGGACACAAAAGAGAAAGAGAGAGAGAGAGAGAGAGAGAGAGAGCTTGAGAGAGAGAGCTTGAGAGAGAGAGAGAGAGCTTGAGAGAGAGAGAGAGCTTGAGAGAGAGAGAGAGAGAGAGAGAGAGTTTGAGAGAGTTTGAGAGAGAATAGAGAGAAGAGAGAGAAGAGAGAGAAGAGAGAGAAGAGAGAGAAGAGGGAGATGTTTTGAGAGAGAGTTTGAGAGAGTTTGAGAGAGAGAGGGAGAGGAAGTTTGAGAGGGGGTTCTTTTTTCAGCCGGGGCAAGCAGACAGGGGGGCGACGCAGCAGAGCGGCAGAGCGACAGAGGGGGGGGGGGGACCCAATGGAGCCAGGGGGTGCACAAGTCAAAAAGGCTGGCCTGTTGAGGCTTGTATGCATTGAAAGGACTGTGCTGTCGGTGGTGATGGCTGACATTGGAAAGCTATTGAGACGGCTCAAAAGGCGGTCTACTGTGCCGAGGGGGGACAACTTGAGTCAACTTGTCCACGGGACACCGGCATCAGACCCTGGCCCAGATCGCCAAGGTAGAAAACGATAAACCGTATCCCGCCTCGTACCCTCTTGAGCATGGGTTCAATCCAAGTCGCGGCGATGGGCGTCGACTGTGCCGGCAGGTGCGCGGCCCTCAGGCCTTATCATACACGCACCAGGCTTACAGACAGTTATGGGACAGGGCAATTTCACTGGATCGAGATGCTCAAGCTGAGCTGATGGATGACCTGGTCACTCGGGACTGCATTTCGCGATGCTAGACAATGCAGCCAGCCGATGCCATCGCGCCAGTCATGAAAGAAGATCTACCTCGTCCCTTTCCTTCATTATCAGTCCATCACATCAACCAAGTCGGCGACGGCGACGGCGAGGGCGAAGGCAAGAGCGCGATGCCATTTCGTGAGCCCACCACCCACGAGGCTGACAACCAGTTCCTAACGTTACACCGGCTTTTGACTGTTTTGTTGATGTTTTTGGTTTAGTCCGCGTTGTCTTGCCTGCAAATCGCACATTGCGCGAGGTGGAGCTGAATAATGTGTGATGAGGATTACACTTTATCCAATGTAAGCTTGTTCGCAGGATGTGTGAAGCATGGTCTTGGCGGAGATTCGGGACTTCTTGGAGTGGCTGAAACACCAGTTGTGAATTTTGCAACTTTTTGGGCCCGGACACACGGACGGACGGACGGACGGACGGACGGACGGGTCAGGGCCCGAGCACATCAAGCTGAACAAGGATGGCTGCCCCGACCGACCCAGCGGCTGCTGCCGCCGCCGCCGCCTTTGGATTTATGGGTACGTCCAGTCGTCATTGTCACTCCCTCGCTGCTTCATGTCCGCACTGCATCGTCTCGGCTGCTCAGCCCACCAATGACTCGAGGAGCGATGTCAAACGCGTCGTCTCAATCCCTGCTCGCACTCTGCTCATGCACAGCCCAGGCTCATGGTCGGGGTCGGGGACGAGCACGAGGGGGCGCCGCCTCTTTTCGCGGTCGTGGTGTAGCCTCACGCAGCCGGGGACAAGGCCCCAACACACGCGGCCGGGGTCGTGGCCATAGTCATGGCAACAGCGCGCCGGTCGATCAAAGTAACAATTGCACGTTGCATGTGACCAAAATCGACCCCTCCCTCAACAACGAACATAGCTTACGCGCCCACTTTGCGCAATTTGGCACGGTTGGTTCTGCGGATGTCTCCTATCTCATTGCTTGCTCGTCCTCTGACTTTGCTCTAAAAGTCTTTTGCCACTGTGCGCGGCTGCCCCTGAAATACATACCGTCTTAATGCACTTCCTTTAGGTCAAAAACCTCAGTTGGCGACCATCCTACACGACTGTCGAGTTTGCCGCCCACGATCAAGCTCTTCAGGCCAAATCGCAGGGAACGTCGGCTCTGGTTCCGAGCCAAGATCAACCCGCCACACTCCGCATCTATTGGCACAATCATTCTCGCCAGCGCTCCAATGTCCTGGTCGTCAACGCTGATTCTGAGACCAGTCCGAGCCCCACGAGCCCGCCCAGTGCCACCGCGGCGGTCTTTCCCCCATCTTCCAGTCCTTTTGGCAGCAGTAGTAGTGGTGGCTCTTCCAATCCCTTTGGTCAGGCCTCCTCTTTCAAGCCTGCCTCCAGCTTTACGCCCGCATCCCTGGGACCAAACAAGAAGCCAGCCAGTCCATTTGGCGCGCAGCCATCCACATCTCCCTTTGGCACGCAGCCCTCCACATCCCCTTTTGGCGCGCAGCCTTCAACATCCCCTTTTGGCAGTGCTCCTCAAGCCACTCTGACCTCGTCCTCAGGTGGTCAAGGTGTCTTTGGTCAAGCCTCATCCTTTCGTGCTGCGCCCCCCACTTTTGGCAACAGCGGGGCAATTTCCTCAGTAGCCACCTCGGCCCAACTGCCACCCACACAAAGCCGGGATCAGCCCCGCTCCTTTGATGCTTCTCAAAAAAGCACTCTACAGCCCCCCAACCCCACTGCCACATCTGCTGGGCCAAAACGTGGTTCCATTTTCGCACGTCTAGGTGGTCGCGATCCAGCGTCTGCGCCATTAGACCTCAATACCAGTCAAGTGAAGGGTGTTGGTCATGCCTCAGGCCAACACACCGAGGTTGGCGACCAGGAGGACCAAAATTACGATGACAATCAGGATGATAACAACTACGACGATGACTACGAGGATGGCGATCAGAACGACGATGGCTACGAGGATGGCGTTCAGAACGACGAGGACTTCGAGGATGGTGATGAAAACGACCAGGACTATGAGGATGGCGATGAGAACGACGAGGACTACGAGGATGGCGATGAGAACGAGGGCGATTATGGTGATGAACAGGATGATGGAGACGACAGAGATGAGGTGGAAGAAGAAGAACAAGCCGAGGAGGAGGAACAGGACTTGGCCGATGGGGCCAATGGCCTTGGGGCAGATGCGCCAGTCTCAGGCGTGGTCCCACGGGCAGGTGGCTCGATCTTTGCGCGCCTTTCTAGCCCACCTGCTGCCAAGGCGCAGTCAGCGCACGCATCAAAGCCAGGAGCTGTCTCATCCAAAGTGCCAAGTGGTCTCTTTGGTGCTAGTGCAAAGGCACCCTCCCTGGGTCAATCAACCACAAATGAGCGTGGTACAAGTTTCTTAGGACAGCGCCAAACCTCCACCCACCCGTCGTTTGGCGGCCTCTTCGGTAAAAAGCCGTCAAGCGAACCGGCGGCCACTGCAGGCGACCAGGAAGATCTGCCGCAGGAAGGCGAAGAAGGAAGTGATGTGGACGAGCAACCTGAAGAGGATCTTGATGATGAAGAGGGCGAGGATGATGCAGTGCACGATGGCTTTGACGGCCAAGTGGAGGACATGGCTGAAGCTGAAAACGAGGATAACGATGAGCTGACCCAGCTGCCTTCGTTGCAACACCAACTGCAAGCCTACATCGAACCTGACTTTGACCGCATCCGGCAACAGCTCGAAACCCGAAACCAGGGCGAACGCGACGTTTTGCAGCGACGCCGTCTTGAAGACACGTTCGTGTATGTGGAAGGAACGTGTAATGACATGTGCCCCGAACTAGAACGCTACGCGCGCATAAATTGCGGCAGTTCTGATACCAACGGCCATGTGTGGCAGCTAGAGATGAGCAACGGCAAGCCCGACCATCGTCGAATGGTGAAGGAATATCGTAAAGAGGCCGCCGACTCGGTCGCCGAACCGCCGTCCTCGTTGCGGCCCCCACGCACCCTGACGCTCACCATGCGCTACCTCATGAAGGAAGTGATGGACGCTGCCTATGCGGGCCCACCCCCGACCCGAAAGGCTCAGGCGGTTTGGTACGAGTTTCTCGAGAATCGCCTACGCGCTCTTCGCAAGGACATCAAAACGCAAAACTTGACCACAACAGCCTCGCTACGCGTGCTGGAACAATGCGTGCGCTTTCACCTGTTCGCTGATTGGTACATGTCCAACTCGCGCGAGTTCATTCAAAATCGCAAGCTCAACCACGATCGTCTCAAGGATAGTTACGGCATGCTTGAGATGCACTATAAAGACCTTCGCGACCGCGAGCCCCTGCCCAATGAAGGCGAGCTCATGTCCTACCAGCTCCTCCTCAACCTGGGTCAACCCTCAATTCTTCGTAAAGTCAAACATTTGCAGCATGACCCCCACGTTCAGGCCGCCATCCGCATCTTTGCCACCATCACTGACCTCGGGGCCAAGGACGATGTCAGCAAATCTGCTTTGTGCAACCACGCACGCTTCTTTCGCCTCCTCCGCCAAGCCACATTTCTCCAAGCTTGCATTGCCTCCCACCACTTTGAAGCGGTTCGTACCCTCGCCCCTTGGCTTCTCACGTCTACTTGTGCTGGTCAAACTACCAACCGCTCAATCCGTACCGCTGGCAATGTTCATAGGTTCGGCTCGACGCTTTGTTTCAAATTCGCTCAGGTTATCGGAAATTGTTCCCAGGCCCGGATACGCTAGTGCGCATCCTGGGCCTTGACAACGTCGAGCAACTTCGCACCTTGGGACAAGCATTTGGCTGTAGCGTGACGGATCAAGGCTTGGCATCCATGGCCAACCTCGCGCAGCCCGAGCCTTCGGCACGACCCGTCATGCGTGCTGAATGGATTGACGGCCTACGCCGTGGCGTTGATCTGTCCCAGATCATTGGTGGACCTGACAGCCCTGTTCAGGACTTTGACTTTCGCCGCCATTCGGTCCACGACAGCTTTCGCGGTGCTTATACGCTCTTTGTCGACGCCGTGCCCGCAACGAAGCGCCCTGCCATGGCTTCCAGGGGCCCAAACACTCTGCAAACCAAGGTGGCTGTAGCTCCACGTGGAACCACGGCAATGCAGACGGTGGGTAAGCCCTCATCCAAGGCCAGCCAGCTTGCCCCAAAAGCCAGCACTACATCATCCTCTGGATTGACTCCATTGGTGGCCTCCAAGGCGCCGCAGCCACCGCAGCCACCACGCAAAAATGCCGCGACTGGCCGAGTCGCTTCAAAGTCACCCACACCAAAGGCCGCCGCTGGTGGGGCCAGAGTGTCTCAAATTGAAGCAAGCAAGTCTGCCAGCTCAAGCGCAAGCAAACCTGAGGCTACGGCTGCCTCTTCGCCGATCAAGGCCGACATGCCTGCCTCCAGTTCACGCAAAGAGCTGCCTGCTGCCACCCCAGAACGCACAGACACATCCAAGGTCGATGCGGCTTCCAGTGCTGAAGCCGCGCAACGCCAGAAGCTGGCCGCAGCCAAGGCAGCCAAGGAAGCTCAGGCAAAAGAGGCACGGCAGCGCGCTGCAGAAGCGAAACGCCAGGAGCAAGAATCCAAGCTCAAAGCCATGCGCGCTCGTGTGCGTAGTGAGGAAGCTGAGCTTGTGACCACGCACCTCGTGAAGGATGTTCTGACCGAGTCCGTCCACTCCATTGGCGTGGAGGTGACTGCTCATTTTCAGCAACGCGAGCAAGAGCTTGACGCCTTTTATAGGTATGCTTTTTCGCTCGCGTCGTGTCTGTTCTTGCTCGAGCAGCTTTTTAATTTTGTCAAGTCTGCTCTTGCTTCTCGACTTGCCCTTTTTTTGTCTTTTTTTTTTTTTTTTTCCATATGTTCTTATTGTTTTATTTTTTTTCCCTGTTGCCACGCGAGTTGATTCGATATTGTCTTTGATTTGTGGGAACCATAGTCGATATGTGCAAGCTCGTAGTCTGCGTCTATGGCGTTATCTGCTTCGTCAGCGTCGTCGTTGTCGTGAAGGACCTGTTGTTCCCACGGCAAGCTATGGTATGTGCATGACAACTGGCCGGCTGCTGCGCCTTGTTTGGCAAGCAGAAACTTACTGACACGGTTTACTCCAACTAGATGCCTCAAAGGCCCCGAGCTATGTGCCTCGGTATGATGTCAATGCAGTGGTTCCTGCGCAGCAGTCAACACCAGACGACATTGCTGCTTCGCTCCGCTCCGCTCTGCCATGGTTCGAAGCATGCCGTCGTGTCACAGCAGCCCAGGAGAGAGCTTTTCGGGTACTCCGCTTGCTGGTCATTGATGCCACCGCAAAGGGTATGCGGAATGCCGATCCTCGCTTTGCAGCCACCGTCAATATGCTACAGCAGCCCTTGGCCCAGGTGGCATTTCAGGATGATGCAGCAAGTTACTCGGTGAGCACATCGACAGTGCACACGCGTGCTTGTGCGGAAGTACACGTGGTGCGCGTGGCTCGAGGCGAATATCTGCCCTACGAAGTGGCCGAGCGACTGCCGGAACAGTTTATGACCGCTCTGGTGCTACTGGATGACGCTCAAACTGCATGGGCCCTCCAGCCTGCTCTGAACGAGCTTGTGGCTGTTGTGGAGTCGCAACCGTGCTTGGTGTTGCCGCCGGATTTGTCCAGCAAACTTCGCCAGAGTTTCATGGCGACTGGTCGCCGATGGGCCTTGAGGGGTTTCTTTACCATGGAATTGCCCTCAGCTGATTCCTTACAGGTGCATACCCTTAAGCCGCCTTCAACCGTTTTGCTGATTGCACGAATACGATGTTGCTTTTTCAACAGACTTTTACTGATGTGTAACCCGCCCTGCTCGTGTATGCCAGGCATATCGTGAAGACTGCCTTACTTTTTGTGCTAGCAGCGCTCAGGCTGCCGACTCGGCTGTGCCCGCGGTACGTTGCAGTCATCTCCATTGCAAAATCATCTCTTCTACGGCTTTGCGCTGTCCAAAATGCCACGCCCCGTCACCCTTGATTGTTTCTGCATCTTGAACGTCGTAATTTAGGTGGGAGTTGGTCCACTTCTCGAGCGTGTGGTTCTTCAAGAGGCCGGGGACATGCCTGTTGAGGCCAGTCATCTCAAGATCATAAAGGCAGGAGTCTTGAAATGTCTTGAGGAGTACAATGGCAGTTCGGCTAGTCACGACGCCATGGTGCAGGCATGCGCCACGAGTGTGGCTCAGTCCCCGGAACAAGGTTTATCAATGCTCTGTAACCACCTGCGCGAAGCCGAGGCTCTAGTACCGCGGGAATTGGCAACTGTGCTGCAGTCCGCAGTCCGGAAAGTTCTGGCTCACGCTTTTGAGCCACCTCCGTTCGTGGCGCCGAGCCTGTCGCCCCTTCCTCTTCTCGAGACAGAGGTGGACACGATGGGTCCCACCTCCGTTGCCTCGCCTTCCACTGGCCACATGAGCAATAAGCGCACTTTGCTCGCAGGCGCTGAAAGCGTTGAGCAGAATGAGCAGCAGCCATGCAAGTTGGCCAAGAAAGTCATGCCTGCATGGCAGGAAAAACTACAGGCACTGACCGCTCAGCTGGAGGCTGAAACGTCTGCTTGGTCCTTATTAACAACGCAACACCCTTCCACCCCTTCCTTTCCCTCCGAGAAGTCAGTTGCTGAAAGCGGTGAGCGGGACGCGAAAAAGGCCCATCGCATCAAACAGGGCGGCAGCTCTCAAGCCTCTGCAATCTTGGAGGTACGTTGTGTGCGCTGGGTCCTATTTTTTCCTACACCTGGATCAGTGCAACCACTTCTTATGAGCCTGTTGTTACCCCAAATCTCATAGGATCTGCGGGCGCAAATTCGCCTTGAAGCCAGGCGTATGGCAACGAGTACTTTGCGCATGCAAACCACATTCGAGTCTATAGAGCCGCGGCTCCTCGGAGAAAGAGAATAAGTAACGAGCGTCGAGAGTGCCTGTATGTATCCAGAGGAGTGTTTGTATTTCCGTCAAGGATGTGCGTGTGGATTTGGAGATTTGATGCTGAGCAATCAAAGTGCAAATGAAAATTCAAGTCAAGTCATAACGTTTGCAAAACAAGTCAGGTATCAATAATTGTAGATTTTGAGAGAGTGCTTGAGCCAATCAATGAGAAACGCTCTTGCACAACGTGACTATACACCGTTTTTGCAGGTTGAACGCAACTCAATGGAGGAGGAAAAGCAAAAAAAAAAGTTGAAAAGCTCCAAAACAACCCGATATCATGGTTATGTACATCAATAGTTGTTTACGCTTGTGGGTATCACATTCTGTTGTCCTCATTCAGAAACACAGCGCCGCTCAGCAGGCACCAACGCGTCACCGAGGAAACGAGATCCTAAAGACGGAGTGCTCTGTGCATGTGCGGCCGTTCTCCAGCACATGGGATAGGACCAGGCTGCAGACCGAATACTTTTGTTTGTCTTCGGCTATGCTCACGAGCTTGCAGTTGAGCGCTTGAGGGACACTGCCAATGCCTCCGTCTTTTCACGAATGGAGCGCACCTAGCCAGAAAAAGCAGTGACCAAAGAATGAGATGTGTTTTGCATTGTGCATATTGGGGCCGGAAGCACGAGCAACAGCTGCACCATACGTCAGTGAGGGCAGCCTTGACTTGTTGCCGAGCAGCTTGCCGAGCAGCCTTCTTAATCTCCTCATCTGCATTCATGGATGGCGACGATTCGGCTACTAGGCTGTTGTCTAGACGAGCCTTGACGCTAGCAATTTTGCGTTGGTATTTGTCAATGAGTTTACGCTGATGCATGAATCGCTTAATCTCGACAGAGTTGCTGTAGGACCGTCGACGAGTGTCTGAGTCTTCAGTGTTGTCGTTGACTGCAGGCACGTGTTCTAGAGCTTTGGCTTGATGTCGGTTCACCGATTCAAGTAACTTGAGTTGATCTTGCAAAGTGACATTCCGCTGACGCTCCTGCTCGAGTTGAGCTTGAAGCTTTCGTGAGCTGGATGTTGCGCGCGAGACGGAAGCAGCCCGATGCTGGCGTGTGCTGGGCCGCACGAAATTGCGTGAAATGACCCGAGCCGTGCTCGGCGGAGCTGGAGCAGCTCGCAGTGTGCCATTAGAACTTGCTTTTCTGTGACTTGAGGGTTCACGACGCTCACGCTCAGGACGAGACAAAGACATCGACCCGGTGCTTTTGGACAGGGTGCGTGATCGCGAGGTTGAGGTAGCTGCCAAGACTGGTGACGTGCTGTCTGTGGCAGCCGTGCCTTCGAGCTGCGATGGCAATCGACCAAGCTGCCGTGCCTCTGCCAGGAAAACGGCATGGCGATTAAGTAGCTGTTGTCGGTAGTGCAGACGCAAGACAGCCAAATTTGCTCGAGCAATGGGCCTTGAGAGGAAGGCAAACCAAAGAAATGGTTGTTGTGTGAGGAGATGGTATCAGGCATTGGTTGATCTGAGCGCCATCCAGGAAACATACCGGAAAACAACGGTGAAGTCTTCATCGACGGGCAGTCGAGCGCGGATTTGGCGGCGTAAGCGCCAGATCGACTGAATTCGAGCCGCAGCAGCATGGCATAATAGGTCGTAAGGCCATCCACCCTCGCGAAGCAGCACGTCGGCAGCCAAAGCTGCTGTGCGTTTGTATGCTACATCAAGTGGTGTGAGTCCCGTTCCTGTCAGACCCTTGGTGTTTGGGTTGAGCATGCGACAGCGTTGCACTAGAATGGGAACAACCGAGGCAGCGTTTGCATTGGCGGCATCATGGAGCACATGTAAACCAGCCAGATCGAGCGCATCTGGGTCGGCTCCCGCATCAAGCAGCACCATCACTGTTTCAGAATCATTCTACGTTGTGCGTGCGCATCAGGATCAGGTACCAACTTGAAGCAAATCCAGAAAAACATTCAAACAAACAGATTACAAACAACAATAAGAATCAAAGGATCAAGACACAAACCGTCGCAGCTGCCCAGTGTAATGGGTTCCGACCCTGATGATCACGCGCATGAATTAAGGCCCCTTGCTGCAGCACATCCTGGGTCACCGCAGCCCACGCATTATGAACAACCAGGTGAAGCAAAGTTTGCTCGTGCGAATCTTGGAGCTGCACGTCCAGTTCCTTTGTTCCGAGCATCCATTCCGTAAGCGCCTACAGTTTGAAGCAATGAGCACATTGTCCAGAAAGGGAAGCAAGCCCAGAGTCACAAAGATGGGAAATTACGGGACAGAAAAAGGGGCGATGTGAGAGAAACAAAGACAGGGGAAAGGCATTGCCCTTGCAACGGAGTCACCCCAAGCCAAAAGCCCACCAAAGCGCCCCGACTGGCGGCCAAGAAAACGGGTGGTTGTCCATTGTTATCGAGTGCATTCCAATCAATAGGGTGCTCGGCTAGTAGCTGAGCTGCACCGAGCCGATCGACAGCTGCTGCCCAATGGAGAGGGGTCCAGCCTTGCTGGTCGGGTAAGGTTGCCAATGGAGGGTGGGCCTCGATGAGTTCTTTCAGGATAGTGTCATGTCCCAGCTTGCACGCCAGGTGGGCGACAGTGCACCCAGCAGCATCCGTAGCTGCCATGAGCGCGTCGCCTCCAATTTTAACGAGCGCCCGAACCACGTCGGTGTGCCCAGCTTCAACTACAAAGTCGTGTAGAGCGTGTAAAGGGACACAAGGAAGAATGAAACAAACAAGTGAACAGCTCTATTCACATTCACGGACTTGACACCCGCCATGTCAAGCTAGCTCTCTGGCCGCCCTCTTCAGGACCCAGCAACGAGAATTCGGTCAGGCGTACCGGCAGTATGCAGAGGCGTTCGTTGACGTTGATCACAGACAGTTGGCTCAGCGCCAGCGTCGAGCAATGCTTGCACCAAGCTTGCTTGGCCGAGTGAAACGGCCATGTGCAGGGGTGAAGTACCAGCAGTGTCACGAGTATCTGGATTGGCACCAGCTGACAAGAGTGCTAGGGTTGCTTTCATGTTTGAGGCGGCGATCGCCAAGTGAAGGGGTGTACGACCACGACGATCCGTGTTGTTGGGAGGTTGGTGCGTCCTGGAAGGGCAAGCAATCATGGGTAGAGGACAAATGAAGCGTGTCTGTTGTACTGACGATAAGGAGCTGGCAAAGGCTCATCATCACGATTTGGGGTGAGCCTGCTTTCGCGTCAAGCGGTGCTTACTCAGCGCTGAGCAGGGCTGTGAGGCAATCGATGTTGCCACAAGCAGCGGCGAGATGCAAGGGCGACATTTCTTCAATACCGCAGGGCTGGCGTGCGCTTGCACCTTTGCTGACAAGCATGCGACAGCAGTCGGGCTATCGCCATGTACAGATGGTGATGGCGGTTGAGGGGGGCGGGGATTGGATTCTGGCAGATGCTTCCCGGCGGAATGCATGGAAGAGAAGCTGCCAACCTGATTTTGTAGAATGGACAAGGCCAAAGGCGTGTAGCCCTCCAAAGATGGAGTATCAATCTTGAGGCGCCCGTGCATAAGCATGACGGCGAGCAACGCCAGCTGTGATGACAAGATCAAAGAAGGTAGAACGACACCAACAACCAGCGACAATGAGGTGATGGCCAGAGCTGCAGATGCGTGAGCGTGAGTGACAGATTGACACCCTGTACGCACCCTGCCACTAAGAACGACGAGCTCGAGAGGCGACACGTTATCCTTATTGCGATGATGACAGGAGCAGCCTAGAAGAAGAACTTGTTTGAGGAGCGCTGGCTTTTCGAGCTCGATGCAGCGATGAGCAGCATTCTCCCCCGAGGCTGCATGGATGGCATTGATGTCCAGTTCGGCAAACTGTGCTAGCTGGCGGAGCAAGCTCAATTCACCCAGCTCAAGCACGGCGAAGAGCAAGGGTGTGCCAGAGGACGCGATGGCATTCACATTGAGCTAAAAGGGGGACACAGGTGAGAAGAGGGGGTGCAGCGTGAAGCGTGAGGTTCTTGGGCTCTGAGGCAAAACCATGGCGCCAGGGTCAGACAAGGCGTGGATGCAGGTTTGATGGACATGGCGCATACCTCGTTGCAGTGGCGGTTGAAGAGCGCGAGTACATCTTCGCGAGCGCCGGCTTGACAGGCACGAAAGACCTGCTTCTCATGTGGCCCTGGTTTTCTACGCGCGAGGACACGGAAGTGGCGACCAGCATCCAAGTGAAATGGTGAACTCGGGCGCTAGGTCGGCGCGCATCGGTGACGTGCAGCCAAATTGACAAACGCACTGTCGTAGCATGGTGGAGTTGGCAGGTTCAGCAAGTCGGCGACCAGCAGTCCGCGCTAGTGAGGGAAAGACAACAGCCGCGGGTCACGTGGCATAACAACAGGTGGTGAGATGATGCGTGGCAACAGCGTAAACTTCAGGCTGGCAACGCGATCGCGATCGCGTCAAGAAAAAGCTGAGCGTCTGTGGAAGAAAAGAGGAGGCTGTGTGGAAGGCTGTGTTGTCTGAAAGTCCCTGGCCGCACGCCCAAGCGTGCGCCCAAACGACAGATGAAAGTATGGGTGTGCTTGCTCGTGACACAAAGGTAGGGAGATGAATGGGGAGGGGTTGGAGAGAAGAATGGCGATGGCACGGGGTGGGCTTTAAAGCGAGGCACGGGACGGGCTTTGACGCGAGGGAGGCTTGAGTTGACCGCATGAGTTTGCTTGACGCAGCACGGCAGTCTGAGGTGGGGGCCGATCGTGCTTCACGTGGGTGTTGATGAACGTGTATGCGGCGTGTGGGCAAGCACACGTGCGTTTGGTGTCAAGACGGAGGCACCAGCGGAGCCGATCCCCGACCGGCCTTTGATTTCGAACACATGAAGGAGGCGGCGGAGCCGGCTCAAGCGTATTCCCGAGGGGCGGAATCGCGGGAATCGGTGGTTGTCAAGGGCGAAGAATCAACAACAAACACGGCTCACCTCGCAAAGCGCGCAGCGGCGCGGTGGCCATCCTCCAGGGTCAGCTTTGCACAGGCCCACCCACGAGCAGTTGAACACACCCTGAACCCGCCCCCCGCAAGATGGCGCTCCCTTCCCCGCACCTCGCCTCCTTGGTCTGCCCTTTCGAGCGAGCGAGCGAGAAAAATTTGTGAAGAGAGAGAGAGAGCACAGAATTGGTCAGAGCACAGAGAGAGAAGAGAGAGACAGCAGAGAGAGTTTGAGAGTTTGAGAGAGAGAGAGAGAGAAGAGAGAAGAGAGAGAGCGGAAAGACACAGGTTGGCACACATGTAAAACTACCACATGTATCCTAACAGAGACACAAACACAAAAAAGATTAATTGTCAGAAAAAACATGTCACTTGGTTGTTTGTCAAAAATACACACACACACACACACCCATCGGGGCTTGACTGGGGAGGTCACTGGCAGCTTGGGGGAGGTGACTGGCAGCTTGGGGGAGCTGGGGAGGAGACTGGCAGCTTGGGGGGTGGGTGGAGGAGAGGGCCGTTGGTGTTGACTCCCCCTTGGGGCTGCTGCTTTGCAGAATGTGGGTTGTCGGTGTTTTGGGTTGGGCGTGCGTGACCTTGGCAGCGGCTTCGCGGCTTCAAGGCACTTGGACAGACCCGGCTCGGGAACAGCAATATGACTTGGATCGCTTGCAGAAGATCCAGTTTGATGCGCCAGTTCCTTCTGTTCGAGGCTCTCGCTTCAGCTTCGGTCGGTACAAGCCTTGGCCTCTGAGTTGGACCCGTGTGTGCTTGACGTCGCCAACATACCCTTCACCGCCCACCAACTTGATGCATTCAGATGGAACAGGCCAACGTGAATGCGGGTCGGCCAGCCCACGCTCTACCACGATTGGCTGCATGCACGTGACGGGTTTGTTCATCTGTTTGTTGCAACGCGCTTTATCCAAACCCCTGTCCGACTCCTGACCTCATCTCCTGCCCATCTCGATCGCTTGAGCCCAGGCGTGGAGCCCTCAATCGCCGGACGCCTTGACCAGGCATCCGTGCAAAGCTTGCCTGGACATTCGCAAGGTGGGTCTGCGCCTTCATGATCCTTGAAATGCACCCACTTTCAGACTGCTCGTGTCTGACCTGTGCTTCTCTGCCCACAGGCTTGCGACTCGAGTTTGACGGCGGAGACTTTTGTGATATCGTCAAACGTCATCGTAAAATGATTGTGGACATTCACTGTGGGGACCCAAACCCTGCCCACGTACAAATCTCCGAAGGCTCTGGTGCGTCTGGGACACCATGCGTTCAAAGCGGTTCAATGCCCATGTAACGATCTGCCCCCGCTCTTCTCGACAGGGCCGCTGGCGTGCATTTACAACCTCCAGCTCACGGGAGCCATTGGCTGCCCCTTGAACCAGTGCGTGTCACGGACGCTGAATGCCAACTGACACTCAATCAGACCCCATCTCATATTCCTATATGGCATTGTATTGGTACTTTTTGGGTCTGACCATTTTGCTTGTGGAATCAGGCGCCCTCGTCTGACTGGAGTATCCGGCTGCAAAAGCTCAACCGCCGCAGCCACGATTGCGGGTCAGCATGCCGTGTCTCTTTCACACCATGCACTACGCCGCTCCGTCAAGGATAATCACGCCCATTCAAGTCACAGCCACGCTGGTTGCTAGCGTGGCTTGCTGACCATTGACCCTGGCCTGCTACCGCGCACTCACCCCTCGTGAACATAGATTGCCGTGCAGGCGATACCTTGACCATTCACGGCGTGGGCTTTCCTCAAGCACCCATCACCATTCGAGTGGGCACGGAGTCATGCACTCGAGCGACGCGCAACTCGGAGTTTTCAGCCACCTGTACCCTCCCCACGCTTGATGGGCTTGATCTGGTCTGTGGTCTCGTAGATGTCCAACAGCCCTTCTTGCTTTGCTATATACTGTCAAGCGCTTGGTGCCGGCCTTTGATGCTTGTTCTGTATGCATCCGCCTCAGGATGTCAGTGTCACCTTTGATGGCTTGGCCACGCCCCTCAACCTTGACCGAGCCGTGTCCTATCATGCATCAATTCGGTGATGCATCCTTGCTGGACCTGTACGCCCACTTGTGCGGTCGCCGATGTGCTCACGTTTGACCTGTTGCTGGAGTAGAGACATTTTTACCTCGTTTCAAAAGCTGGGTGTCGGAGGTCTCAAGCAGGTTGGTGACGAGGGCAAAAGGTGCTGGCCCGGGGCGTGAATACGTGCTTAGCTCATGTTTTGAGTTTATCGATTCAGGAAATTCAAGAAATTTATCGCCGCGTGTTCCAAGGCCGGCAGTTTCCGCCCGAGCAAGTCCGGGCTCTTGGCATTTCGCACCCCAAAGGTTTGTGGCCAGAAACGTTTGTGCTTGCCTGGCGACACAGTCGAATGGTAACCCTCATGATGAGCGGCGGGGCCAGGCGTCTTGCTCCATGGGCCACCTGGCACTGGCAAAACCCTATTGGCGAGGTGAGCATTGAATTGCACAAACCGACTCAAATGAGGGGCAGAGCCAGTTCTCTCATCGACCTGCCTTTTAGGACCATTGCCAAGCTCTTGGGCTCAGATCAGGTCACGCTGATCAACACACCCAGTATTATGGTGCGTAAAAATCTCAAACGGCTGTCGACACGGCTGTTCTGCTGACTCCTTGCAAACAAAACCCGTTCTGAATTTCTTTCAATGGCTGTCGGCTCTCATGCACGTCATCAAAACCTTGGGCACAACGTCATGTAGCAAAAATACCTCGGAGAGAGCGAAAAGGCCTTGCGCCAATACTTTGCACCTGCCGAAGAAGCTGTGGCACGGCTGGGGGAGGCGAGTCCCACATACGTTTTGATTTTTGACGAAATCGACGCCATCTTTCGAGAGCGAGGCTCTGGTGATGGATCGGTATGTGTTTTGGTGTGCAACGCATCTCCATGGAAAGCGAGGAAGGGGTGCGCGTGCGCGTATGGCATTTTCCATGACCGCGAACAAACCCTTTGTGCGATATTCAGTCTGCCTCCTTGGCGTATGATAGCGTGGTCAACAGTCTGCTCACCCTTATGGATGGACTCAAGGTCTGCCGGCGTCGAGTCGAAGAAAAAGCGTGTGCAGGCATAGCAATGCTTGTCGTTTACAAACACATGCTGTCACCTATTGTCCTCGGCGCATGTGGCAGGAGCAAAATAACATTATCGTCATTGGCATGACCAATCAGCGGGGTCTCATTGACAAGGCGCTTCTGCGACCGGGCCGGTGGGTACAACCAGCAGGATTACACAATTGCCTTGTGTGAGCTTATCTGCTTGGGCTGAGGGGTTGGTAGGTTTGAAGTTCAGGTCGAAATTGCCTTGCCCGACGTCACTGGTGCGTTGTGTGCTTTACGCGTTTGCCGGCACGCAAGACGAGACTCGAGCTCTCAAGAACTCACCACACTATGGCAACAGGCCGACAAGAAATCTTTGAGATTCACACGCGAGCCATGCAAGCTTCGCAGCTGCTGGCGCCGGACGTTGATCTTGATGGTGCGAGTTGCACCCTCATTGCTTGTTAAGCTATAGGACCCCGCGATGACATTGAATTGGCGATGTGTGATTGGTTACAGCTCTGGCCTTTAGAACAGGACGCTTCAGCGGGGCAGAAATCGCGGGTTTGGTCCGGTAGGTATCATGTTGAATGCATGCTCGCGATGTAATGTTCGTTCACCCTCCCTTGTCCAGTCTCAGCTGGCACTTGGGCACGGGGCGCGCTGGTGCCAACTTTTAGGAATGCGGCCTCATTAGCTATTGCTCGGGCAGAGGAGGCGGGTGCCCCACTTCTGGTAAGCCAGCAGCATTGTGTCCAAACGTTTTAGGATCACGGCAAGCTTAATCGCGTCTATCAACAGGTTCAGCAGACCGACTTCTTAAAGTCCATTGATGCTAGCGAGCCAGCATTTACCACGCCAACTCATACCATCGCCCGAGACTATCTTCCCATGGGCTGGATGCGCACACGAAAAGCAAATGAGCAGGTGAATGTGCGCATGCCACCGCGCTCACGCAATGCTACTTTGAATCTGATACGGCTGTGAGACCGTGCTACAGGTGTTGCACACCCTGCAAGAGCACATTGCTACGAGCACAAGCCCGGAGGCTTCGACATCAGACGCGCTGCGCATTCTTATCACCGGCGCAGGAGGTGTGTCGCTACGCATGCATCTGTTGGGCCTTTTGTTCTGTCAAGGACTGAAGTTTTATGTGTTTTTATGGCATTTACGCCTGTGTCTGGACATTACCACAGGAGTGGGAAAGACGGCGTTGGCGGTAAGCTGGAGACCACACCTTTCCGCATGTTGACAAGTGCTGCCAGTGGTATTGATGAACTTTCCACGATGGCATTTCAGGTTCAAGCCATCCTACAAAGTGACGTGGAATTTGTTGAGGTGGGCGTGTGCCTCGTTTCTTGGTGCCTTTCTTGAACGCTGTCTGAACCGCAATTTGTCTCAGGTCGTGACGGGCGCTGAATTGGTGGGCTTGACCGACCTGGGAAAAGTAAATCGAATTCGACGGGCCTTTACTTCTGCCCATGCGGCTCGGGTCAGTCGTGATTCGGCGTTTGAGTGCAGTGGATGGGACATTGTGCCGTGACAGCCTCATTATTTCTTTTTTGGGGTCCTCGGTAGACGGCGGTGGTGCTCCTGGATGATCTGGATACCATTGTCGAGTACCTGCACATTGCAAATCAAGCGGTGTTCTCACATGCTCTTGCCAGCAGTCTACAGGCTCTCTTGGCAAGCAAGCCGCCGCCAAGCTGGTATGTGTGCCCAATGCCAACCAGCGCGATGAGATACATCTTTTAATCCATCTGTGTGGGTTTGACAACGCAATGTAGCAAACTGGTCGTGCTGGCCACCCGCACTGCCATGCCTTCGCATTCCGGTCTCCTTCCCTCTACGGCATTTGATCTAAAGTACGCTTTGGTGCTGGTTTTCGATTGGATGTGAGCTCGTATATTCTCACGGCGAATGGTTTGCTTTTGGGGGACGTGCGGGGTGCGCAGTTTGCATGTCAAACCGCTGGATGGCTCAACTGTCAGCCGTCTCGTCAGCGAGATGCTCGACCTCGAGGCTACTGTTGTCTTGCCCGAACGCTTAGTCATGTCTTTTAGGTCTGCTGTGCTGCTTGCTGTCTTGGACCAGAAGGCTTGGCTGGCGCACTTTATTAAATGCGTTGCGGAATGCCTCCCCTTGACCCCGTGCTGTGCTCGACGGCTGTCATAGAAATTTACTGCGAGTGCAATCACAGGCTGCAACAGCGGGCTGGCAGAGCGAGGTATGCTTCTAGTTGGGGTTGATTGTTGCCGGCAGCTTTTTTTTTTTTTTTTTTTTTTTTTTTTTTCGTTTCCTTTTAACCACAGCGTACCGTGCTTCCCCCGTGGTCGGGTGGCAGGAGGTATATGAGCAACTCTTGGCAGCTCAAGGTGTGGACGTGGGCAACGATGAAGCTAGTCTTGGCGCTCGTGGTGGTAGCGGGCCAGCTGGCCTGGGTGTACGCTACAATGATTCGACCGCGCGTTAAGTAGCCACCTGTAATTTCTATGAGACGCTCCTTTTGAATGCCGGTGATGGAAGTAAGAAGGCTGGTGCTTGCCATCAATTGTGGCTTGCGCAAAGACCAGAGACGCGATGCTAAACATCAGCCAAAAAGAAAAAAAAAAAAAATCTAATACATCCGGATGTAACACTCTTTATACTCATAGTGCCAAGGGCTTCAATATGAATTACGGCGCGCAGCGCCCGGCCTTCAAGGCGACAACCATTGGCACTATTGGTGGCATAAGACAGCAAAATGTGAGCTTCCCAGGCCGTGTTACGGCCGTGACGCTTGTCCAAATATTTGAATGTCCGTGTCATCGAGATCCTCAATCTGCAGGTCCTCAAACTCAACAACCGTTGTCACCGAAGAGTTTGGGGCCACGGGTGTGATGATGTCAAGGTCCCGCAGATGACGCAATTCTGCGTGAAGATCCAGCTCAAATTGACGAAGCAGCCGTTCTTGTTGAGAAAGGTCTTCCTTGTCTGTACGGGTGTTGTTCTTGTCGACGGCGGCGGGTGCGTCCTGCTCCTTGGCGGCACGCAAAGGAGGCGGGTTGGTGCGGCGCGGCGCAGCAAAGGAAGGTTGATAGGCTGGCCGAAAACCGTACTCCGAAGTGAAGTTGTCAAGTTGAAGGTGAATGCCGGGTGGTGGGCAGAAGGCAGTCTCGCCCGGAGGCAGCACCATCTCCGCCTCATCTAGTTGCGGCTGATCTCTCTGTTTGGTTGCCGCAGAAGCGCTGCCGGCTCCTTCGGGCTCAAGGGTACCAGGGAGGACGGTTTGTCTGGACGTTTGCGCGGCCCCACCAGCCGGTCCAGCCAACAGATGTAAAAACGGGTTATCCCCACTCTCCAGTGTGGAAAATGATTTCAAAAAGCCGTTGTAATCATCTGTGGTCTTGGCTCTCAGCGCTGCCATCGACGCGCGCTCCCGCTCAGAATCCGAATCCGTCGCCATCGCCATCGCCATCGCGCGCTCCCTTCCTTTGTCAGAGAAATATGACATCGGTGTGAACATCCGTTTGGAACGCATTTTTTCCTTCAAAGACTCAAAGACTCAAAGGCTTAGGGCTTAGGAGTTACGTTGAGGTTATTATTCAAAATAGAGGGGTAATGTGTTAAAATCCCACTACCCCAAAATCTTTTATTTTTTGTTTTTTTTTTTTCTTTTTTTTTGTTTTTTTTTTTGGTGGTCAAGGCGCTGGTGCACAGACCGGTCCGGGGGAAAGCTTGAACTCGAGGGGGAGGGCGACTGCTTGTCCGCGAAGGGCTTTGGGTCGTGCTTACCACCCCTTTCGATACCACCGACGCTGTGGTGGATTGGCTTGTGCAGCGTGGAAGGTGAAGGATTTGGCAGGTGGACGTGTCGGGAATCCGACTGTTCCGAGCCAGCAACCGTGTGTGTGTGTGTGTGTGTGTGTGTTTTAAACCCCCTCGCTCAGCGCATCGTTTACGAGCTGTTCCACCAGTCTCGGCAGCTGGCCGTGCCTGTGGGAACGCTTTGCCACACAGAGGCCCAGACTGCAGGTTCCCGCCATGGTCGCACGCCTACGGTGCAGTCCATGATCTCCGCTGTTCGCGTATTGACTCCCGTGCGGGACTTGGACAAACATTGCTGCCGCGCCTCGCCTCGCGCCTCCGTACACCTCTGCAGAGGTGCCCTTCCAACCTGCTTCTGTCAGAATGTCGTCGTCCATGGCTTCCAAACCCCGTCGGCGCGGGCGCACCCAGGCCCCGACCGCCGGCGCGTTTTATGAAACCGTCAGTCAGGATAAAGTTCAGGTAAGGCTTCATGATCTGCCTGTCTACTGCTCCAACCCTTGGTCTACCCAGCTACTCGCGCAGCTCACGGCCAGCCGGGTCTGTGTCATATAGGAGCGCGTTCTTCAACGAGCTCGCGCCGCCGTGCGCTCTGTCGAGACGACACGCCCGATGACCCCTGCTGATCGCAGCCGAGGTCGGCTCTGCGCCCAGCGCTCGCGTCCAACATCATTTTCCGTGATGTCACCTGTTCCGTCCTTTGCGTCTCACACGTTTTCGCAACTGGGCTATTGATGATAGGGCTCTTTGGAGCTTCGCGTGCCTCGAGCGGGTTGGTACCACGCGTTTTTGAGCCCAGTTGCCGCTCTGCTGTTAGCCTGAGCTCACCGCCGTCTTGATTTCTTGCTCGCCACCTCACCCTGACTGGCAACAGAAATGTTGACATGCGCCCCCCGTCAGCTTATCCGTACGTGACCCGCCTCCTCTTCTCCACCATTGCTTGCCCGCAAGTATACAACAGAATAGCAGCATTGTCCGGTCTCACGACTCAGGACCCTAACAATCAACTGTGGCAATCCTTAGAATGGGGCGAAAGCAGTTTTTAGCCGAAATGCCCGAATCCGAAGATCTCATGCGCCCCCCCACCGCCATCAGCGGCTCGTTTCGAGGATCAATCCCTGTGTGTCCCTACCGCCAATGCCAGGCACAGCCTGTGTCGAGCCTTGTTGCCTCTTGCCTTTCCACTCCACCCTTGCCTCTCAGCTCGCCCGTTGGCACTTTTCTCGTGGTGTCCTCGCGCTCTCTCACAAAGATGTACACGCGTCTGCTCTGTTGTGATTTGGATGCACAGGAAAACCGGAGTCAAAGCACCAATGCCGTCTTGTAAGCAGCTGTGATTGAACCGTGAACCTCTTGGCTTGATCACCGACCCACCTTGGTCATTTTATCAACCGCTTCTGACCCATTTGATTTTGCCCAACAGTGACATGGCCTCAAGCCCCACCACTTCATTTCGCGGTCGTACACTCAGTGGTATGTTCCAAACTTAGTATTTCTGTGCTTTTCACAAATCTACGCATGTCACACTCACAATTGCACCCGTGTGGGACTTGTGTTGGTGCAGCAACGGAAGCCACCGGCCCTACACCACCTGCTGGCTCAGTTCGGGCTTCCAGTGGACGTCGCCGCGTCATGCCACGTCCGCCCTCTGCTGCACCCAGCGATGGCATCGCTCGGCCTTCTACCCGGCGCGGCTTGCCCCAGGCTCCAGACCAAGCGTCACCGAGTCCTGAACCTCCTGTCCCGACGCCGCCTTCCGTGCCATTGGCAGGTGCTCCGCGTCGCAGCACAAGTGCCAAGGAGGACCGCGTATCCACCGCTACCCTTGATGAGGACGTCAAATGGAGTCAAGTTCAGGCCGTGCTCAATGAGGTGTGTCATCATGTGAAAAGCACGATTCAACCCGCCCTCACTTGTTTAAAACCGCCAGTTTCCCTCACACCAATGGCCCTCTGCTAGCTCGAGCCTGATATGGATCGTGACGCTCTGCTGAATCTACTGTTGTCCCTCGACTCTCAGCTCAACAAGGTCAGACTATCAATTATCTCATCTTCTGTTGAACTTTTGCAGTCTGTTTGGTGCATCAAGGCAACTTGATCTTTATGTGCTACAAGCCATTGTGATTTGAATGCCGGCTAACGCAACACGTGTGTGTGTGTGTGTGTGCGCGCGTGTGTGCGTGCGTGCGTGCGTACATCGACCGCCTTGTTTGACGTGCCCACACAGCCTTTTCGGAGCGGAAAGCGCAATGCAGCATTGTTGCGCAGCCTGTATCGCTTACTTGACTCGACCGATGCCATCACCTTGGTTCGAGTTCTCAAGCTCGTCCTTCGCGTACGTGGCGCCCTGTGTCACTCGTTTTCTTTGGCAGAACCTGGTTTTGATACGATTGTCTTGTTTCGGTTTTGTGTTGTTGTGTTTTTCTCATCACCCCTGATGCCGTTTGCAGGTAACGCAAAAAGGCGCTACTTTGAGCAATGCGTGCAAGCTATTTTTCAAGCTGAGCCGCGATGAAACCAACGACGCCACCTTCAAAGCCGAAGGCGTCATGGGTGCGTTTTCTGGCCTGCCTCAGTCTCAAACTCGCTCCTTTTACTCAAGCTTCATGATACTCTCTTTTGCACTCGGGGCCGCAGATATTCTTGTGGGCATTCTGAAGCAGGCAGACATTCAGGCCAACTGTGATGCCCTGGTATACTGCTGTGGGGCCTGCAAAAACTTTACCAGCAACAGCGGTGCGCATCTGATCTTGCATGCCACTTCTTTTATTCGGAAGATGTCATGCTGCTTGCGGTGCGCCTGAGCTAGCTCTCACGCCTTACCCGTCGGGGCGCACGCTTTGACAGACGAGGCCCAAGTCTTGCTTAGCAGCGCAGGATTTGTGGCAAGCGTATTGGGGCATCTTCGCGCTTGCGCTCATCAGGTTTGTTCCGCTAGCACGCTGCTTGAACTGTCATGTTGTTTGTTTGTTTGTTTTTTTCCCCACCTCATGAAACACCTTGCGGGGTATGACATGCGTGTTTATAGGCGACACCCACGAAAGAGATGATTAACTTTATGGTGCAGTCCACTGCCGTACTGCGCAACTTGGCTGTCAATACCAACCTGCTGACCGGTACGTGGTCTTGTCCAGCGTTGTTGTGAAACGCCACGTGCTCCCGGGCCTGACTTGCCATGTTTTCCCAATGCACAGGTTTAGTAGACTCGGCAATGATTGAGGTTCTGGCCGAGGTGCTGCACGCCTTCTTGGGCGAGAAGGATGTGGTACTGAACATTGTTCGCGTCTACGGCAAAACCACGCTTCAACGCAAAGGACGTGAGCAACTGCCGACGACCGTTGCCAGCGATCTCATGACGCTGGCATCCAACTTCCAGCAGCATCAGGTAGGTGAACGCGATCCGCGTTATTGCACCTGGCCGTGCCGTTGACACTTCCAACTGACAGCTACGATCATGATTGTTGTCAATGCCTCGCTCGACAGGCGATGTGTGTCCGCATCTTTTTTGTGCTTGGCAACATGGCTGCAGGCGATGAAGAATTACGCCAACACATCTTTGAGGCCACTGCCGACGGCACGGCTGTGTTGGGACATCTGGTGGCGCACAGCCAGGTGTTGCTGACGAAAGCCCGGGACGGCGCCGCGCTTGACAAGGCGGGCAAGCCGTCGGAGCTTCAAGACGTGGTCATTAAGATTGTTCGATTGCTGGCAAACCTGTGTATTTCGGAAACAGCGGGCCCAGGACTGTTTCAAGACACTCGGTTGGACGTGCTGCTTGAGCTCTTGAGTGACGATGTCTTGCAGGAACAAGAGGAGCTGGTCATCAACCTGGTGAGTGGTGTATTTCCATCCCGGGGCCCGTCCAGAGAGATGTTCTTTGGAACTGCCGATGGACTCGAGCTATAGCGTGCACTATGACGGAGCTGGAATCAACTGTCCATTGCTGCGCGCGTTGTATCGCAAAAGGTTTAACCGGCGCGTGCCTCCTCTTTGCTGTGGCTGCGTGCGTAGGCGGGGGCGATCAACAATTTGTCCTTCCATGATGTGCCCGACAACCGTGTGCTAGCGCTGCGCCAGGAGTTGGCGGATGTGCTGACCCCTCATCTTTTGAGCAGTCAGATGGATCTGGTGGTGGAAGTGGGCCGCGTCTTTGGCAACTTTAGCCAGCTGGCATCTGTGCGGGAGCTCCTGGTGGAGCGGCGCGGTACGTTTTTATTGAGGTCTTTGAGTCATACTTTGGCATTTTATTTTTTGAAGGATGCTTGGCAAAGTTTTTTTTTTTTTCTTTTTTCTTCTTGTCAGTCTGCCTCCTCACCTGCCACCACGGCCTTGGTCTTTGGTTGCGACTTGCAGTGCACGAGCTCATGGTGGTTCTCCTGAACCATGAAAACCGGGAGGTGTCGTTTATTGCTTGTGGAATACTGATGAATTTGCTGACAGACGCGGAGACGCGAGCTGCAGTCGAGCCGTACGAGTTTGCGGAAAGCGTCCTCGAAGTCTTGGACCGTGCCCAGCATACGGATTGGCAGCTGGCCGGCACCTGCTGCAAATGCGTCTGGAACTATCTAGCTGGTTGGGAGAGCGATGTCACCCCAACAACACGGCTGGAAGCCGACCACCTGCTCGAGTTGCACGATTTCTTGGGCAGCTTACTTGGTAGGTCGAACGTTCTGTGACGCACACCAACACTTTGCGCCGTGCATGGCCGGCACTGGTGCTTGCCCGCATGTTGTTGGCTCATGGATGACGGGTTTGCTGTCCTAACATGGCATTGTTTGACTCTTTCTTTTATTGTCACAGAAGCACCGCCGTCCAGCGCTGCCGAGGGCTTGGACGTGTATTCGAGTGAGTTTGAAGGCGTGGCCTCACACCTGCACGACGTCTGTGGTCAAATGCTGGAAGCGGCCGGTATCAACCCGGATGCAAGTCAGGACAGTGTGGCCGACGATGGTGAACATGACCTCGAGCCCCTATGACTTCGCCGTCATGTAATTGCTCTTTATCATTCTTTCATTCTAAGGTTGTTCGGCTTTTTTTTTCTTTCTTCTTTTTTTTTTGTTTTGTTTGGTTTTTGTTTCTTTTCCCTTCTCCTGCCTTCCCTTCTCGTCACCATTTGCGCTGATTTTGCCAGTTCAAGTCCTTTGTGCGTTGTTTGATACAGAACGGCCAGAGCCGCTGACGATTAGGAAAGTAGCAAGCGGTTGCAGCAAAGCTTTCCTTGCTCTCGGCTCGCTTCCTCACTTCTCTCTCTCTTCTCTCCCCTCTCTTCTCCCTCTTTGTTTTTTTATCTTGTTCGTGTATTGGTCTTCTTTGGGTGTGAGGCCCACGTCTTGTCGCTTGCACCACCAATTCAGGCAGTAAAACCCCATGCTCAACCCCACGGGTCGAAAGGGATTGTCAACAGAGTGACCACATTGTACCATTCTCCCTGCGTGCAGGCAGGCAAATCAATGCAACCCCTGCTGTTGCCGATGCACTCTCCACCAACAACGACGTCATCGCCTAAAAGTGTGACAGAGTTACAGTTAAAACTTTGTAAAGTGTAGCAATATGTCACACTTTGTACGATTTGCTATGCGTCCTGGCAAACTCTAGTACGATTGACCATGACGTCGTCTGCTCCTCTCTCTGACATTCTGTCTTTGGGAAGCTGTCGCTCTGAGTTTTCTCACCTCTTGAGGTGCTCTCTCTGGTTTGTGGCTCTTCTGAGCAATTCTCTCTGTTTTTACCTTTGTTTTCGACTCTACCACTTCTTGCTCGATGTTCATTTCTCTACCATCATCTTCAACTTCATCGCATCTCTGCGTGCATCCGTCTTCCCCTCCCACCTCTCTTGCTGGCTCGCATCGACGGCCCGACGCCCGTGTCCGGGGCAGCTTGCAGGAGTTCTGTGGTGTGCCAGGCGCGGCTCGTGTCATCGGCGGAGCTGGGCATTGAACACCAGCGCTTTCCCCGCCATTCAACCCCTTCAGGTCCGAGACCATTAGCGTGTGGTAGCATCAACAAGGAGCATCGCCACCCACCACCACCACCCCTCTGCGAGCGCGAGCGCGCGCGTGCGGCCACACACACACACACACATCCAGTCCATCAGTGAGTGAACGTGTTGTTGATCGTGGTGGGGGCGCGCGGTGTCAATGCACGTCAGGGAGAGTGAGGGGTTGCTCTTGGATCCGCTGTCTTCTGTACTTTCCCGCCGTTGATGCTCGCTCGCCGAGTTGCTCGCTCTCAATCTGGTGTGTGACCCCCTCTCTTTCGTTTTCTGCTCCCGGCGCTGTTTGGGTCGTCGGTGGTGTCGTTCGACGCTTGCGGATGTAGATTGACCCAACAGAACTTCCCTGTGTATCGTGAGGGGACCACCACCACAACATCACAACCGCTTGTACAACGTCATCCCTACCTCGGGCCTCTGCTTGGTGGATTGAGCACACCAGGTCGCTGGGACACGCGTCCTGTTTCCCAGCCAGTCTAGCACAGCTGGCCGCACCACTTTTGTCGTGTGCCGTGGTTGTTCCTTCTCTTTCTCTCTCTCTCTCTCCCTCGCTCTGTCTCTCTCCTTTCTCCCTCTTCGCTTTCCGCTCTGGGCTTTTACCATTGGAAGGACTCGGCTGCGGCGCCACGTTTACCTGGGGACTCCAGAAGCCCGTGCGCCGACCATAAGCGCAGCTAGGCCATGGCTGGCCATTGAGCGCTTACCTCGCCCCCTAAACTCTCCTCCCTCTTCCCCCACCACCACCATTGACACGCCGATCATTGATTCGGCCCTCCCTTGCGGATCAGCAGCATCATGACAACCCTGGAAGAGGTTCAGAATCGCCGGTTCGTCCGTTCCCCTTTTCCCCTTTGCATCGTGCCGTGCGCCGCCTCCCAAAGGCATCATTAAATTCTGTGCAGCCTCGTCACCTTACTTTTGCTGAACGCAATGACTCCAGGCCGGAACGACACCGGTCTCGCGCCAGCCGCCGTGCCTCGTACGTGCGCGCTTTGACCCTTGCCCTGATCTATGGTCTGAGCGACCCGATTGACTTACTGGTGTCCCGTCTTCACACACACACAAACACACACACACACACTCTCTCTCTCTCTTTCTCTCGCAATCCTTGTCTGCCTCCGTCTCTGCCCATGATGTGTTAGACGCGATGAAAACTACATCGACACTGAGCAGATTGATTTCAAGGGCCTCAACAACGACTATAGCGCTGAGCGCTTTGGCGCCTGCTCCAAGCAAAGCTTGCGTCGATACCTCATCACCCCCGACGAAGTTGCCTCCGTGATCAAAGACTTTAGCCCACTTGTCTGGCTTAGCCTCATTCTGACCGGTCTGTTGCCCACCCGGCACCCCCACCCAACTCCTCCGTATCTCCCCGTGTCGCTCAATTCATACTCTCTGCTTTGATCCTGGGTGCCAGTTGTTTTTGTCTTCATTTGCGATCGCTACGACATTTTGTGGAATGTTGAGGTGGCCATCGTCATTGGGCCCCTCGTTTTCCCCCTGGCCTTTAGCATCAATGCCTCCTACCAGGTCAGACGCTTTCGCGTGGCCCCACTTGATCAATGCCGGCGACTCTCGCGCACCATTTCTCACTTCACCTCCCCACTCTGGTCGACAGCGCCGTGAACGCGTGCTCGAGGATCTGGCCAGTTTGAAGTCAGCCCTGGCCGACATGGTTCGATCCCCAGCCTCACTTCTTCTTTTTTTTTTTTTTTTTTTTTTCCCATTTCCTTTCCTTCGAGCTACTTCAACTCGTGTACCATGTGCTCCGTTAACTCACACGCGTGCGATACAACCCCTCATGTCATGCATCCACACCAGTACTGGTGTCATCGCGATTTGACGCTGAACACCAACGTTGGCGATGGTCATGACGAGCAAGTAAGCTTGACTTCGCTGCTCGTCGACGGTCCTCAGCCCTTGACCCTTGACGCTACCGCTATCAACTGTTGTTGCTGGCCTCGTTCATCATTTCTCAGTTGCCGCTCCGCAATGCCTCACATTTGGCCGCTGCTGTGTTGCCAGGTCCGGGAAACAATTGAAAACATCATGGACACGCTCCTCAAATATCTCATTCACCAATCGCGTATCAATCGCGAGGAGAAGCTCCGTCGTCTCTATCGACTCCTGAGCCGCCTCTCGCGCGCCAACGTGGTCGTGCTTCGCTCCGTATGTTTCATTTTGCTCTCGGCGCTTTAACTCACAAGTGCCACACCGTTATTTGCTTGTGAGTTCCGCCATTCACTCTCATATGAGCGTTCCCTCAGGACCTGCCAGGAGCAAGCCCTCTTGTAGCCAACATGTTTCGCATGCATCAAGAAATTGCCACACGTTTAGAACGACTCCGCTCCATTCGAGAATACCTGACGCCTCGGTTGGTGCCCAAGCGCGCTCGGACCCCACCCCCCTCCCTCTCTCTCTTTTCCTCATCTCAGCTGAGCCCTTACTAACAAACTGTCTTTTTTGCTTGCCTGCAGCTCAATACGCAATTTCTTCAAAGTATTTGTATTTTTGGTTCCTCTGGTCCTTGCGCCTTGTACGTCTGGCGCCATGCGAGGAATTGAAGCCTTCCACGCACCCTTGTCCTCTGTTGTGTCTCACTCGTCTTTCCTCGCCGTAGATTTTGTGGCCACGGCTCGCGAGACGGACACGGGTAGCAGCATGTGGAGCGCCTGTATGTTGCACGGCATGGCTTGAATGATCCTCTCGCCTCGCCGCCAGGTTGTCTTTGTTGTTGTTGCTGCTGTTGTTGGACGGCTCTCATCTCGCATCGTGGTCCCACACAGACTTTTCGGCTGTCGTCGTGACCTTGCTCTTTGGCGCGCTGCAATCGGTCCAGGATGGCTTGGACGATCCATTTGATGGTGTGGGCGAGGTTTGTGTTGTGCCGCTGCTGCTGTCAAGCCCTGCTGGTGATGCTCGTCGTACTTTGTGTCCGGAGAGACGCTTCGCTCTCAGATGACTTTGGGCCGTCTGCACCGAATAATAGGATGACGTGAGCCTATTTGAGCTCAGTCGCTGGCCCAAGGTTGCACTCTGGAAGACGTCCAATTTGATGGCCGACTCGCTGGTGGCACCAAACAGAGGCACCACCATGCAAGCCCTGCGCGATTTTTTTAGCATGAAGCGGGTTGATCCAGAGCAAGCCAAGCCCGAGGACGTGGTGATCAAGGCGTAAGTCTTGCCCATCCTCTTGCCCCGTGCGTCTTCAAACTTCCGGGCATAACATGCGGTCACTTTATGATGCGGCTGCTGGTGCCCAAACTTCACGCTCCTCTAGTAAGAAGAGGTCAGGTTGTTGTGGCTGCTTTACCCCCGTGGTGGAAGAAGATGAAGATCGCATCAGCGTCTGCACCGCCCAGTCCAGTGCCGCCGAAGATGATGTGGTAAGGCATCTCGTTGATGCAGCAAACCGATCTCTGGCACATCGCCGACACTACCATTTGGGCAGCCCAAATCCGCGTTGACACCCGAAGCATCAACTGCTCTCATCAGCCTCTGTTGGTCACGGATAGTATGATGCCCAGTTATCCATCTTGTGCGAGCAAAGCTCCATGGGCAACACGCCTGATCGCATGGCAGCTGCATCAGTTCGTGCTCAAGAATGGTTCGTTCGTCCTTCTCTGAGCGAATCCTTGCACATCTCTCGAGCAGCTGAAAACGCATCTGAACATCTTTCCCCCACTGGCTTCTGATCACGAAGTGGCCTGGACGCTTGCTGACGCTTCTCACGCAATGCACCGTCTTGGCATTTGCATAGGTTGATTGCACAGCAAGCCAGTGTGCCCAATTCCGGCAGTGCGGTGCCCGAGCGGCCGTCGCCCTTGGGCAACCACGTGCGCGCACGACCCAAATCCGTCCCAGTGCCGGTTCACCCCTCAAATATCACCACGCTGGGGCACGATGCAAAGAGCCAACTGGGCCAAACACCCCCCTATCCGGTCGGATCGGCCATTGCCGCCGCTACTCTGACACCTGGCTCCAATACAAGTCCAGGTAGTGCATTTGATCAAGCCCCGGGCAGCGCACCGGCCCATCTCAGCGGCGAGGTTGACGGCAAGCCTGGCAAGGTGCCTCCACCCCCTCCCCTCAACATGGGACACCCTGCGCACCATCGTTTGACTAGCATTGCTGAGCGCTCTTCCAGCAGCTCATCCCAAGCCGACGTCATGAGACGCCCTAGCATTTTGAGCGTTCAATCGCTCGACGAAGCCCTCGCCAACACCCCGCCACCTCCGTTGAGCAATGACCGAGAACCGCGTCGCGTCAGTTGGCGCGGCCGGCTGACGGATACGCAACCGTCTACGGAGTCTGACCCACCCGTGCCGCGTAAAGTCAGCGATGTACCCTCCATGATATCGCAAGTACCAACGACCCCGGGCATGTTGATGGTCTCCCCAGACTATGCCAGCGGTGCCCCGCCGTTCCCGGTCCCGGTGTCAACCTCAGACACCTCAGACTTTGCATTCGCTGAAATGGAGGCGGTTGCACGCGAGCATGCGCAGGACATGGCCCCGGGCCCGCCATATCCGCCGCCGCCCGTGTCACGATCCATCGAATCTGCCCTGAACCACTCCACCAACAGCGTTATAGTACAAAAGCTGCGAAGCCTCAAGTCATCCCACCATTCCCCCTCCAACTCGGGGCACAGCCACAGCGAGGGCCAACGCGAGAGCCACTCTCGATCTGAGCCTCCGATGGACATCCGGCACATTGTTGAGCAGTCTAAATCCCAGGGCCTCGATGAGATGAGCATCCTTCGCGAGCTCTTGCCTGCAGGTGAGCCGGCTGGCTGTCATCCCATGGTGGTGTCCACCCGCTCTCTCTTTTTATGGCCAAGCCATGCTGCCTTGAAGACATTATCATATTAGTTTGTTTTGCCACGTCGCATGCAATCCCACGACAGTCATTGCTGGCATCTCACCACCTCGTTTTGGCCCTTCTTTGTGTTGCGCACATCGGTCTTTTTACCACCAGGCAATGCGGCCCTGGACGATCGTGTATTTGCTCAGGAGCGCTACGACCGTCATCGCAGCGGCAGCAATGTCACTGTGCCCTCTCACAGCGACGCTGATACCGGTCTTGCTGGCCAGGCCATGCTGCACCTGTCGGTGAGCAATAACTACGCCGATAGCAGTGCCATGAGCCAGGGGCGGGAGAGTCCCTCTGGCCCTGTAGCTTCCGAAGGAGATCACGAGCCCACCAACTCGGCTGGTTCCATTCCACTGGCCGCGCCTCGCCCTCCTAACGCACTGCGTGCCTCGGACGAGATGCGAGGCCCGTGGGGCTCCAAGAGGGGCTCTTCGGAGCATGCTTATGTGGAGCTTTCCCCGTCCATGCCTCGGGCATCCATGCTCAGCATGAGCATGATGGCAGGAGACAGCCCCACACGCATGACGCGTGTTTCATCGGGTGAGGCGAGTGTGGCAGCTACAGCCTCACGACACGCCTCCGTCACCGTCCCAGCTGCTTCAAATATGGGCGACGACGAGGTTGTGGAGAGTCTTGAATTCTCCGACCGGGGCTCGCTCAAGCGCCGTCATCCCAACTCGCGACTGGCAAGCGAAGTTGGTGCAGAAGACACCCCAGTCGGGCCCCTGACGGCCGCTGCATTGGCGGCGGCCGACACGAGTGAAAACCCCCCTGCTTCGACCGATGCACTAGCTTCCCCCTCCACCCGATCTCCGCCACTGCGCCACGATAATACGTACTTGTGATCTTCCGCATTCCCGCGCCAGCTTCTGCTGGACCCATATGCACATCCGTTCCCTCACGTGTGCTGGCAAGTGCATCAGCTGTGCTGACACCTACTCCCAGTCAAAGCGAAAATGTTGGATTTCTTTATTCTATTCACATTCACTTTAACTAGCCCTGTCTTGTCTCGTGGAAAGATGAGGCGCTGTCTATGAGACTGCTTTGTCATGTCTTTGGTGTGCTTCGATTCGATTTGAGACTTGATTTTCACATCCAATTGCACGTTTTTTGGAACTTCTTATCGACGAAGAGCCTGCAAAGCGCAGAGGCCAGTGGTACAAGGAGTGGGAGCATGCGGTGTCTCTTCAGAATTCATCAAAAGTCGGGCAGGGCGTTGGTTCAATCTTGGTTTAGGTTCACTGCTCAAGCTCAGTGAGCTTGACCACCTTGATTTTTGGGTGGGGAAGGTCCTCATCGGACACCTGTGATACATGCCAAGGGGCAACAAGGAAATGCGAGGGGGGTAAGCCTTGTCATCAATATTCACGTGTGCCTCCTTGCCGCGCACGAACCTCGGGCATGCACCAGCGAAAACACATGGTGCCACAGCGGTGGCCATCAGTGGTGAGATAATTGTGAGGGCGGGACATTTGGGGCGGGCGATCGGCCACCACGATACAGACGCTGTTGTCCTTGTCGTCGTAAGTGGCGATAAACTACGGGGGTCATTAGAATGAATGCGGGAACATCCACAGACACTCGCGCAAATCACGGCCAGCAGGAGCTAAGGGCGTGAAGATTTGACCTTGTTGGTATGAACGTCAAAGTAGCGATAGTCGAGGCTCTCTGTCCAATAGTTGTTGAGCTGAAAGTTCCAGGTGCGACACGGTGGTGGCTTGGCCTCGATCACCTAAAACACACATTTGTATGGGCGCATGTGAAGGCATTTTTGCACGAGTTGAGTGGCAAGCACCCACCAGGCAGTGCACGCCGATGGGAGTCAAGCCTGGGCGTGGACGAAAACAAGACATGTGCAACATACCAGGGCTTCGTCGGCATCGATTGCCCAATAAGAGTGATAGTAGCGAATGTTAGGGTTGCCACCCACGCTATCCGAGAGTTTCTGTCCGAGACAAAGCAGAATTCAGGTGGATGCGTTGTTAGGACGGGCAAGACGCACAAGTCCATTGAAGCCTAGGATGCAGACAGACCTGGTCAAAAAGAGGCAGTTGATTGGCGTGTTTTTGAAAGCCATCGGCCCAGCGAGCAAACATCATGGAGGCGCCCCCAACAAAAAGGGCAGTCGAGTTCAAGCCCTCATCAAGAGCCGAACAAGTCAAGGGCGTGGGTACGTTCTTCTGGCCATGCACCTCAATTTGCATCTGGTACCAACGAGCGTGGTGCAAACGAGCGTGGTGCAAACGAGCGTACGAGTGGGTTGAGTCTGTTTGACCGATCTTGGCCCGCAGGAATAGCCGTGCAGGACACGTACGGTGGCGGCGGCTTCCTTGCGACGATCGCCAAATGTTTGGCGGACGATGATCATGCCTTGCGGCGGCTCGGTCACAGATTGCAGGTAATTGATGGCGCCCGCCGGCTTCTCAGGCCCCACCTGTAGATGACGGGCATGAAACGCAAGCCCGTCACAGTCAGAACAAACACCCGATGTCATAGGAGAACACGGAGACGGACAGCTCGGCAAAGAGCACCTACAAAGATCTCAAAGCTGCCATCGGGATTGATGGTGAGGTCATCCACCTCCTTATAAGCCACGGTTTTGAGACCGCCGGGCTTGCCATACTGCCCGGCCTGCAAGGCCAGCGTGATGCGTGTTTGAGAAGTGAGAGGGACGGCATGATTTTGAAGCATGGGCATGGAGGTAAGAACGATCACGGGCAAGAGTGACTGACTTGCACACCAAAGCCGAGCATGTCGACGGTCCCGCGGTGGCCCCAAATACGGTAAGTAAGGCGACCATCGATGGTTGCATTCTCATAGAGGTTGTCTGGGTTGTCGGCGCCAAGCTTGACAGGTGCTGCCCGCAGACTACAAGGGTGGATGATGAGAAGGGCTCGGGTAAGAAGGACCCTAACGGCAACCACGTGCGGGTTTATCGCCGCACGGCTCGACGTGGCGAGACTGACCCGTTGGCGATGCTGGTGAAGCGCGGTGCACGAGGGTCAGCGTTTTCGATAAAATTCTCCAATCCACCACGTACTAGGCGCGAGAGGTAGCGATAGCCCTCGGCCTGGGCCAGAGAAATGAGCAATCAATGACAAAGTCAAAATCAGAATCAACGCACGGGATGCGCGGCCGCGCGTGCCCGGCGTCAAGATGAAACACTGCGCACCTGGTTGAAAGGATCCTTTGGGGTCCCTTTGAACATATAGGCAACGAAGCAAGGGGAACGATGTGGGTGCGTGCGAGGGGGGCGCTACGGTAAGACGGCAAAGAGGGACGGCGGGGCTGAGCTCACCTTTGGACATGACGACGGCACCGGCGGCTTTGAGACTGTCGCAAAACTCATCCCAGGTGGTGCCGGAGACGACGCGTCGCGCTGCCACATCCTCTACATCAACGTGGCCGCACCCATGAATGGATGAGGTGGAGGGCGGAAGCCGAGCTGGAATGGCTCTGCTTCTTCCGAGCGAAGCGCACCAAAGGTCTCGCCCCAAAGGCTCAGATAGAATTTCACGCCCGCCTTGTACAGATTGGCCAGACCCAGCACTGAGCGCTTGATACCTGCAGCATGCAAAATCCGATCCAGCTGCGTGAGTGGAGGGAGACTCAAAGTGTGGACGCGAGTGCACACAGCGACAATACGCCTTGGGAACGGTGAGAGCAACGCCAGCAACGAACCAAACCACCAGATCAAAGTGATTGGCGCCAGGCCCAGGACCAGCCAGAATCGACCACCGCTGAGATCCAACATGCTTCCGATGCTCCTAAATTCGATCCTGAGCAGCAGCCATTTTGATCAGCCGTCTGGGTGTATCACACCACTTGCAGGTACAGCCGGGCTCCCCTCCTCCTCCTCACCACCCTTACTGTGACGCGTTTGCGAGAGCCAATGACTCTGCCAGCGCACCGCACTCACCACATACACACACACGCGCGCGCGCGCGATCCGATCCGTCCGCACGATCAGTGAGAAATGAGAGAGAGAGAGAGAGAGAGAGAGAGAGAGAGAGAGAGAGAGAGAGAGAGAGAGAGAGAGAGAGAGAGAGAGAGAGAGAGCGCCGACTGCAACCAAATCGTCAAAATGCGGCAGTACGATGACATTAATTTTCTTCATCATCCTATAAAAGTTCTACTTAAAGTACAACTATATGTGTTATGTAACGTGCGGTAATCTCGTATTTAGGCTCATCTTCTAGGGTTGAAGGGCAGCGTGTGGACTGAATCTCGGAGTTTTCGGGTTTGTCTGACAATGATACGTGCATGTATGCAGTGTGCCTGTATGCAAATCCGGGCGGCGCCCTTTTTTTTTTTTTTTTTTTTTTTTTTTTTTTTCCCAACTCATGGGGAACACGTTCTCGCTTGATGGCTGGCTGCGGAATGAGGCTTTGAATGGCAGCCACAGGGTGCCTTCTGATGCAGTATCAGACTCTTTCTCCTCACATCTGCTCATGACATCTCAACTCCGTTTGACCCACGGACTGCCAGGATTTAGCACTCTCGCGAGACAAGCGATCAAGCCCCGACCTCATCCTGTCAGTGCCGTTGAGACTGACGGAGCGTTGCACAGCAACCTGCAGCCCCCGCGGACACTGTCAACGATACGGTGTACGGTTTCGGCAGTGCTTTTGACCGAGTGCAAAGGGGACACGAGCGCGCTTTTCTCCACCGTCAGCTTTCTTGGCCTCGAGCCAACCCTTGCCAACCTCGAAACAATGGGGTTTGGAAAAAAAAAAAAAAGGGAAGCATCGATCCAAGCCGTTGGACAACTAGGACATGTTGCCCCCTTGGCTGAGCACGGATGAGCTAGATATCCACACATGCACACTCGCACTCACACACACGATTGGTCAACCGTCGGGCCTCGCTCGAGTCTCAACTGGCTCTGTGGCCCGACCCGTGCTTGCGGCATTTCTCCTTCGACTTCTCTACCACGGCTGGCGACTGCTGGATAGGTCCCACTGCCTTTGTTGCCGTCTTGCTGGCATCACATGCGGCATAGGGCATCAAGATGGCCCCAACTTGCTGGCGCCACACGGTGTTGGTGGCTGCGCTTGCCTGCCTGCCAGTATCTCGCACTACGGCCTCAGACAGCTTTGCTCTGCACGACCCTGAACCACTGCCCGTCTATGAGCCCTCAAGCCGTCTTGCCCGCGCAGCCTCGCGCCGGGCGCTGAGCCTTGCTTCGACCCTCGACCTTGACCACCGAGGTATGACACACAACTTGCCAAGAACCCAGCTGCCCTCCCGCACCACAGCTCACGCAGCGCTACCTCCTCGTGTCTTGTGATAGGCTTGCCGCAGCTGCACAGCAATCCCGCTGCAACGCACACCATCTTCATTGACTTTGATGGGCACCGCTCACTCTCATCCTCTCGCTACGGCGAATATGAGGCCCGCGCCTTTGACACTTCGGGCAATTCGAGCCATTTCGATGCTGAAGAGCGCCTCGTCATCTACGAAGTTTGGCAACGCGTCGTTGAAGATTTTTCAGCCTTTGACGTGGATGTCACTACGGAGGCGCCATCGCCCACCTTGAGCCGATATGCTCACGTTCTCGTGACAAGCCACGTCCAAAGATCCAACGCCGTCATGCCCTTTAGCGCCGGTGGTGGCTACTCCTTTGTGGGTGTCTGGCCGCGTTCCGACCTCCTGACTGTCTATTCCCCCGCCTTGGGTACGCAATTGCTATTCGGTCGTTGCTCGCGTCGGCAGCTTGGTTGGCAACTCGCACCGACCCTTCCGTACGCCTCAAACAAACGTTGCTCTTGACCCGCGGCTGCTGGTGTTGTTGTTGTTGTTGTGGCCCTGCGTTGGCAGTGTTTTTTGACCGCCTGTACCAGCGCGCCGACTACATGTAAGACGTCGAGACAGCCCGGTGCTCCTTATGCTGACCAGCATGTTCAAGCCTGCCTGCCAACAACTTTTTTTGATTCAACCTTGCTCACTCGCTTTGCTTACCTACTTCCCGTTGCTCTCGACCGCTATCCCTGCTTCCATTCGTGGTCTCCCTCTGCCTTTAACGTAGTGCGGAAGCCGTAAGCCACGAACTTGGACACATTTTTGGGCTCGTGCATCTGGGAACCAAAGTTGGCCAGACTGTGCAGACGTATTACACGGGGAGTGGCGACACGGGCGTGATCATGGGCTCGGCCTACAACCGCCAATACACTGTTTGGTCACAGGTGTGTTTACCTGCTGCCATCCACTTCTGGGAGATGACGCCACCTCGGGACCGCCTGTGTCGGGCTGGACCCGGCTACGGCGCCTGGGCCGGCAACTCACGCCTGCTTTGTGTGTGGCATTGTTCCTGACGGCAAACTCTGATAGGGCGACTATCCCAACGCCAATGTGCAACAAGACAATGTGCAGATTTTACGAGCGGCGCTGGGTTCGCGGGCCGATGAGGCCGGAGACACGCTCACCACGGCATCGATGGCAGCTGTCAGAGACAAGAGCCTGCTGTTGCAGGGCGTGCTGGGCCACGAGGCTGATGTCGACTTTTACGAATTTGAGGTCGTGCGCCCAAACATTGTACATTTCCAGATGCGCATGCAAAGCTTTGTGGCGCCTGCCCACACGTTGGGGGCCAACTTGAAACTCAATGTCCAACTACTCGACGGGCGAGGTGGACTGGTGGCTCAAGGGCTTGAATTGTCGCTGCGCCTGGTACCGGGCAGCTATTACATACGCGTCAGTGCTCAGACCGACCAACGGGGCCTGCTCGATGCGTACGCCTCGCTGGGGCAATACTGGTTGTATGCGGTATTGAATGATTTGGTATCATCCGTGGACGAGACGACCACAGCGTCCATCGCCGCGCCCACCCCGACTGCGCTCGTCACAACCCCAACGTCAATGACAGAGACGCCCGCGTTTGAAGCGAGTACCGTGGCGCTGGCCCCAAGTACCACAGCGAGCACCGACACTGCGGGGAGCCATGAAGAGGCATCTAGTGGGGTCTGTGCTTGCACGGCCAGCTACAGCACATATGGCTCCCGCAAGGCTCGCAAGCGCTGGAGCATCAAGTTTAAGACCAAGGCTTGCGCCGCGTATCGATTTCACGTGTGCGTCGAAGAGCCAGGCAACGGCCAGGCGCCCGCCAATCTGACATTGGCGCTCGAGGAGAAACGTGAGGGGCGATACGAGCGTCGCCTGGCCGTCCTGGGGAGCTGCCTCAGCTACGAGGTCGCGGGCGCAGCCTGTGCCCGTGGCACCAAGTGGCGGGTGGTTGTCGAGAACCCCCTCAATCTCGCCTACGTATTGCACATGCCCGAGCGCAAGGTCACCCAAGCCAGCCAGTGCCTCGTCACCACCACCTAAGTAAACTATGAGGCCGGCTCGCCTACCGAACGGACCAATCTAAACAACAACTCTTCAAAATTGATCTAATTTCTGAAGGCACGTGTGTGTGAATCCAGCGTCCCAATGGTAAAGTGTGATGTTGTCACACTTTTTGTTTCCAAACGTTGCAGTCAGGTTGCTCGCCAAGCCTTTTGTTCTCAACTATGGTTTTCTCTCTTCTTTCTCTTCTCTCTTCTCTCTCTCTTCTCTCTCTTCTCTCTCTTCTCTCTTCTCTCTCTCTTCTCTCTCTCTTCTCTCTCTTCTCTCTCTTCTCTCTCTCTCTCTCTGTGCCTCGTGGCCACACACACACACACACACACACACACACACATCGCTGCCATTTCCGATTTTTGGGTTTTGTTGTACCTGACAGGATGTTGACCGCCGTGCACAAGGCCATGTCTTCCATGGCTGCCCCCGGGCGCCAGTCCATGCTCCAGCGCTCCATCTTCAACGGTGGTAAGTTCCTTGTAGACGTTCCTTTCACTGTGGTCATGTGAGGCGAAACCCGCCGCCTTTTCTTTTTGCATACACACACACACACACAAAGAGACACGTGACGAGCCAGCGCGCCACCTCGCCGCCATAGTCCCACTTGCACACCGTGCATGTGAAGGCGCCAGCGGCCCTTGTGTGTTCTTGCCCATTACCCGCGACCCTTGACCGCACACACAATATACCACACGCTGTGCCCTCTCTCTCGTCTTCTTCTTCTTCTTCTTCTGCTCTTCTGCTCTTCTGCTCATTCCCTCACGCGCTTGTGCAAACAACCAACTGCCAATTTTTTTCTTCTTGTATCAGTGCGCTCGATGAGCTCGTTCGACCGCTCCAAGCCTCACTGCAACATTGGCACCATCGGTCACGTCGACCACGGCAAGACCTCTCTCACCGCCGCCATCACCAAGGGTATGTACATGCCTTGCTCGACCCCCAATAGCCGTTTGACCCCGCCATGACCAAAGTTCTTACACCCTCTTGCTTTTTTTTTTTTTTCCATGGCCATTCCGTGCAGTCCTTGCCGAGTCGAACCTCGCCGAGTTCAAGGGCTACGCTGATATTGATCGTGCCCCCGAAGGTGTGTCCTGCTTTGCACTCTGGCCTTGCACTCTCCCTGCACACAGTCACAACTTTGTCCTCCGTATTTTGTAAATAGAGCGCGTCCGTGGTATCACCATCTCGACCGCCCACGTCGAGTATCAGACCGAGAACCGCCACTATGCTCACATGGACTGCCCCGGCCACGCCGATTACATCAAGAACATGATCACCGGTGCCGCCCAGGTATGCACGCCTTTCTGTCTGTACGCTTGCCACACACGCGTCACTCTCACGGCCGGTTATTGACTCCTACTAGATGGACGGTGCTATTCTTGTTGTCAGCGCCACTGATGGCCAGATGCCCCAGACCCGCGAGCATCTCCTGCTTGCCAAGCAGGTCGGCGTGGGTCACCTCGTTGTCTTCATCAACAAGGCTGACATGATTGACGATCCTGAACTGCTCGAGCTGGTACGTCTTGGACACCATGGATTTTTTTGTTTTTTCTCTCGCTTCGTGACTCGCTAGGCGTGCACATTCCACTTTGCACTCACCACCTTCCATTGGTGTGCCCGTGGCAATCGACAGGTTGAGGTTGAGATTCGCGAGCTTTTGGGTACCTATGGTTTCGATGAAGATGAGACTCCCGTGATCACCGGCTCGGCCCTCTGCGCTCTCGAGGACAAGTCCCCCGAAATGGGTCGCGAAGCCATCCTCAAGCTTATGGAAGCCGTCGACAACTGGATCCCTACCCCCGTGCGCGACCTGGACAAGCCCTTCCTGATGCCTGTTGAGAATGCCTTCTCCATCTCCGGCCGCGGCACCGTTGTGACTGGCAAGATTGAGCGTGGTATTGTCAAGAAAGGTGACGAAGTTGAGATCATTGGTTACGGCAAGAACATCAAGACTACCATCACAGGTCTGGAGATGTTCCACAAGGATCTGACCGAGGGTCAGGCTGGTGACAACCTCGGCGCCCTGTGCCGTGGTATCAAGCGTGAGGATGCCACCAAGGGCATGGTCATGTGCGCCCCCGGCTCCGTCAAGTGCCACCGCAAGTTCCAAAGCCAGCTCTACGTTCTCAGCAAGGAGGAGGGTGGCCGCCACACCCCCTTTGTCAACGGCTACCGTCCCCAGCTCTTCACCCGCACTGGTGACATCACCTGCACCATCCAGCTGCCCGAGGGCAAGATGGTCATGCCTGGTGAGGATGCCGCCCTCGAAGTTGAGCTCATCACCGAGCTTGCACTCGAAGAGGGTCAGCGCTTCACCGTCCGTGAGGGCAACAAGACCGTCGGCACCGGCATCGTCTCCAAGATCATTGAGTAAAGATGGTGATGTTTCGAGGAAACTCCACCACTTGGTCCGCCGTACGCACTTGAGCCTTGCGCCACGCGCAACGTGATGTGTTGAATCATGAAGGAATACCAGCCCACTCCTGGATTCTATTCTTTTCCGGCCTGGACCCTCGAGTAGCGTGGTTGATGCCCTCAAGACCCAAAGAGGTCCGGGAGGCTCCTTTCCTTTGGTTTCTTGTCGCTTTCCTTTCTTTTTCTTTTTTTTTTTTTTCTTTTTCTTCTTTCCATCTTTTTCTGCTTCTTCGTTCTTTCCTCGGCCTCTGCCTCTCTCTCGCACCCGCGTAGCGCTCCTTTGATTTTCCCCTCCCTTTGAATTGTATCATGGCCGACATCTGCATCCACATGCCAAGCCCTTCTGCTTGAAACGAAAATCCAATGGATCCATTGCTTTCCCTTTCCTTTTCCTTTTTCTTTCTTCTTTTTTTTTGTCTTTTTTCTCTCTCTCTCTCTCTCTCTCTCTCTCTCTCTCTCTCTCTCTCTCTCTCAAATTCATCTCTCTGTCTCTCCAACCGTCACGATGGACACGAACGAACCGGAGGTACTCGACCCTTGCTCTGCCCCCCTTGCTCTGGCTCTTTTGCCTTGCCGCGGCAGAATGGTTCGCTGTTTGGGTGGCCTTACCGGCATCGGATGGCTTGATCCTGGGGAACATTGTTCGATGGCAGGTCTCGTTGGAGGAAATCCTGAAGCTGCAGGAGCAGTTCCGGGAGGCGCAGTCGGCCGAGACGACAGTCAAGTGCGTTGACTCGCCCCCTTGCTTCGTCCTTTGGCGCCTCGGCTATCCGTGTATCTCATCTGGTGCTGTCATGACTTTCTAACCTCATCCTGCTGCTTGCCCTCGCAAATCGATCATGGGTTGTGCGCGCGGCACTCTTTCCCAGGTTGTCGCGACGTAACTGCATTCAGTTGATCATGACCTTAACCGACATGAAACTGGTCGAGCTGCTTTATACCATGGACGGCAAGGTCTGAGACCAGCCTGGCTGCCGGCATTGGTGCTATTCATGGGTTTACCAACACCTGCCAATGCACACCGCCTCACATGAGTCTTGAACAATCACCCCTGTGCAGGAGTACGTCACCCCAGAACATCTCAAGCGCGAGATTGAGGATGAGATTTACGTGCATGGCGGTTAGCCTCGATTTCGGGCACATTCCTGTGATCAGACGTGCACGCACCATGCGCGGCGCCGTTCTGCGGGCTTGCTCAAGTGGTACCTTTGCCATCGACTGACGCGCTCGCACACGCCCTTAGGCCGCGTCAACCTGGTGGATCTGCATCAGCTGCTCAACATTGATCTCATTCACATTGAGGCAGCGACAGAGCAAATCTTGAAGGAGCGACCCTCGCTCATGCTGATTCAAGGCGAGCTCATCAACAGGTACAATGTTGGCACCGCCCCTTCCACCCGCTCATGTGGCTCCCCAATCCGTCTTGCTGCCTTGCTCATCCATTTGGATTGCGATTGGTGGGGAGGACAGCGTGGCTGTGGACAACATTGCTGCCGAGGTTAACGAACTGCTCCAGGAGGCCGGCAAGGTGAGAATTGGTAGCACTCAACGCTCCACAACCTGCGTAGCTCTTGACGCAACAAGCCTCACGTTGTATGGCATTGGCCATGGCCACACGATGATGCAGCTCCAACTATCGGAAATGAGCCTTCGCTTTCAACTCCCCAGTGATTTTATCATCCCAGTATGGCAACTCTGCTCTGCTCGCTTGAGCTCATCTATCGACCCTCGGCGCCAGCAAGCCCTGCTAATCAAGTACATTGCCGCTCCCAAATAGCAACTGACGCAAAGAGTGGGCACTATCATCAATGGCAAGCTGGATCGCGATGGCCATGCCATCCATACTGACGCGTACCTCAACCGCCAGGTGCGACATGGCTCGACCGCCTGCACTCGGCTTGCCAACCTTTTTTTTCTCCATCGGGGCCCTCGATTTGGCCGGTTTTACCAGCCAACAAGGTTTTCGACATCTGGCTCAGCCCTCACCTTGAGCTCTATTGGCTCACTTGCAGAATGCCATCCTGCGAGGCTTTTTTGCTGCGTTGGCCTCGCCGATTGCTCTGAGCGCTGTCCGTCAGCGCTTTCAGACGGAAGATGTGCGACTGAGTGGTACGTGGCTCTGGTGTGCGTGGCCAAGCCTCAATTCTACGTGTCTTTGCGTGCCTCTCCTTTGATCTGAACCCCTTTGTGCTTTGTAGATCTTGTCAGCGAGATGATTGCCTCGGGTGCTGTCACGGGAACGCTGGAGGGCAAGGGCGAGAAGGGCCGCTTCGTACCCGCCCTCTTTCAACAAGCGCAGCAGCAATATCTTGAAAGCTTCTTTTCCGCCAACAATTATATCGGTGCGCGCCAAAGTGGACGCCTTGCCATGGCTACTGGCTTTTCCCACGTCCGACCTCACGCCCATCGTGGTGGATGTTTGAGTAGAATTTAGCAAAGTCAGTGCATTGGGTATTGGGGACCCGCGACACTTTCTGCAGGCCAAGTACCCTGAAGGATTGGCACTGCAAACATGCTACGTCGACTCGACCCTATTGGATTTGGTCAATGCTTCCATCGAGGAGGCCTTTGATCCGACCGATGGCGCAGGCTTTTTCGATGCGCTGGTGCGTCCCATCGTTTCCCCCTCTGCTCTTCGCGATTGTTACCACCTAGGCAAAGTGTATCGCCACAAGACAGCAGATTACCCATTCTACCTGCCGTCATGTGACCTTAGACGCTGATGCCACCCGTGTGTGATGAGCTGGACGCCGCTGAACTTCTCAAACGGTCTGCAACGCGCTTTTTCTTGATCTTGTTGACCCACTTCCCACATCAATCTTACCGCAGAGCCCCTGTGCCACACCACTGCTTCTTAGATGCCCCGCCTACACAGAGGCCTCGGGTGCCGTGCTTTTATGCGGGAGTGTTGTGGTCAGCCCAAAGCTGTTAGACCAGGCGCTTCAGCTGTTTTCGGTATGTTTGCGGCCTGCTCGATGCCACACCACGCCGCATCGAGTCTTTGTGTTTGTGAAATGTCGGGCTATGCCGTGTTCAATGGGTGCTGTTGTCATTTCTGTAGACGCGCTTGGAGGCCAAGGCGGCCGGCTTGGATATTACCACCATCAAGCGTTTGAAACAAGGTGGCAGTGCGGTCAGTGCTCAAACGTCTCACCCACCCCCATCTGGAACCCCTGCTCTTTATTTTTTGTATCACACTACAGCTCAAGCACCGGGCTCGCTTGCCGTTGGTCGTGCACTGGCTAGGCGTCTGCACCGATGGCATCAAGCACTGCGGCCGACGATGACGATGACTTTGGAAGCAGTAGCAACAAAAAGTCAGTTCCTTAGTTGTGACCACCCAAGCTCATTGACTTCCACTAAAATTTACCTTGGCTGGCCACACACTAGGAAAGGACGCAAGGGTCGAAAAGGCAAGCGCGAGGCTAATGCGGCGGCTGCGGCCGTCTCAAGCCCAACGTAAGTCATGAACATCATCACCAGCTCCCACAAAAGCGCTTGTTCTGACTTGCTGGCACTTGTCTTGGCTCACGTGTATCCCTCGTGAATGGCGGAGGCAGGTCGACGGCCCTTACCTTTATGACGCAAGAAGAAGTGGCTCGTGAAATTCTTTCGGCCATGCCTGAACTAGATGGTCAGCGCATCCGACTTGCATTCCATCCTTGCATGGTTACGATCCCCGTGAGGGTCTGCAAGTCCTCACGTGCTTGTCGTGGCCTGTGGCGGTTGGCATGCTTGCAGATGTGGTGGACTTGCCGCAAGCGGTGGCTGAGCAGGTGCAGCCACGGCTCCAGGCATCCTTTGAGCAGAAGGTTGCGGAGGTTGTCGCCAGTCACGGTGACGATCAAGTTGATCAACGCAAGCTCCGGGAAGAGCTGATCGGCCAATACAGGTTGGTGTGGGCCTTCCATTTGCATTCGCTCTTCTTTCGCTGCAGATGCTAGTGTTGGCTCAAGACATCTTGAACTCATGCCTCGCGGCTTTTAGCAACGTGACCAACTCGATGCGTCTCTTTGATGAGTCCCGGGCTGCCTTTGAGGACGATAGTATCAAAGTGGGTGTCGATGAAGGCCTTTTTGCTTCCTTGCACCTATGCCTCTTCCCATTGCGATCCGATCGTACCTTCTGGCCATGCATGCGGCTGGTTAACCTTTGGTCATTTTGGTTAACAGGAGCTGGTGGCGAAGCACATCAACCGCACATTGGGCTTGGATGCACTGCATATCATTGTCAAATTCATGGTGCGACTCGACCTGACGCCCTCCAGTCTGCTCAAACTTCAGCTGGACTGACGCGTGATTGCACTCGCAGGCTTTGGAGCATGGTCTCGAATTAGATTACATGGCGCCCCTCCAACCAGATTCACGAAAATCGGTCTGTATCATGATTCGGCCACGTCCAATGGCCCGTGATCCATGTTTGCACTGCTTCCCTCGCAGCGGCTTGCCTGGGTGTTTGTAGAAAGCCCTGCGTCCGTTCACCACACTTGGCTGGCCTTGCAGATCCTTGCTCAGCTTCCTGAAACCACACGCAAAACTGTGAATGATCACGTACAGGCCACGACTTCAGAGAAGGTGCGAGGGAGTGACGCCTGGGCACGCCGCTGACCCTCTGGCTTTTGCTACCTGGAGTGCTGGGCAGGGAAAGCATAGACACTGCTCAACGCACATGGCTGCTGTTCGCCCCGGGTTTTGGTATATCAGGAGGTGGAGCCGCTGCTGGCCAAGCTGGACGAGGCAGCTGCTAAATATGAAGTGTTTGCGCCACCGCTCAATGCCAAGCGATCTGGGTATGACATCTTTTGATCGCCATGTGTATCTTGTTCTCCATGCCATGTTTTTCGGAGCTTGCAAGACGCTATCATAGCAAATGCTCAATGGATCGATCTTCGTCTGGGGGAACAGGGCACTTGCGCAGCGCCATCTGGAGGGCTTGCAGCAGCTAATGACCACCAGCAACCTCGAGCTGGCCCCTGCACTTCATGCCGCTACATCTGTGGTTCGTGTAAAGGAACATGGCGTGGCAGCGGGCCTCTGCTTTTTTTGTTACAAGTACTTGATTATCTCTGGCGTTGTTATGTAGGTGTATCAACGAGCGACTGGGCGGGCCGTAAACGTGCCTGGACGCTGTGTGCCGGCCCTGATTCAGGAGCTGCAAGCCCATGAGGCTGATTTGCCAGCCTGCATTTCCACAGCGCAGGACGTGGTGCTGGGCAAAGCGGACGGCGATGCCGCAGCTCTTGTGGCTGAGCTTCAAGCGCTTACTCGCGCTTAAGTACATACGCTTGGAACAGACGAAAAGTGCCCAAGGCGTGGGGGAAAAGGCACTTGTGTCATTGGCCATTGGCATGCCTTGACAGGTGCCACTTTGGCAACAACTCGATAATTGACCACGCTGCCTTGCGATTACTGACCATTGATCCCATGGCCAGCCACGGCGCCTCTCGCAGTCTTGCATTTTACCTCACCGTCCCTTTGCTGGCTGGAATCGAAAAAGAGATGAGAAAGGAAAAAACAAAAAACAAGGAGCAAAGAGCCAAGAAAAACCTGTCAACACAAGAAAGTGTTCATTTACACAAGGTTGCAAGGTTGTGTTGGATGTGCGTTGTTGGCGCATCTACAGGCTCCTTGAGGGCTTGAATCGGTGGCGACGCAGCGTCGCGGCAGCGGCGGTAGTGTGGTCGTGGTGGTGGTCGTGGTGATTCAGGAGGGCGGTATTCAGAGGGCCTCAAAGCAGGATTGAGGGTGGGGGCTGTAGGCGCCGTGGCATAGGCGACGAGGCTGGACAAGGTCTCTGCGACCATGACGAGCGAGCGGAAGAAAAGTGGCATGCCACGCGGCCTCTTGACGGGGGCGGGGTGGCTCGCCATTCTGCTCGTCTTTTTCTTTTACTATGTGATCGTGTGGACCCCCTTGTTCTCGCGCTCGGGCTCGGACAAGGTGAGCATTGACGGTGACGACGCGCCCATTGACGCCATCGTCTTTATTTGCATGGGGGCTTGGACGCACACCCCCATTCTGGAGCACGGCGTGGGCTCGCTACGCGCCAACGGTCGATGGGCCGGGGAGGTTTACATCCTGACAGACCGTGATGATGGATGGCCTGTGATGCGTGATGAGTACAAAGCCACCGTGGTGACGGTTCCGGCCAAGGAATCCAAGCTGGGCATCCATTCGTACAAGTGTACCATGTTTGATTACTTGCCAAGTCACGTGCACCGCGTCATGTACATGGATGCCGACATTATCGTGAGCACAAGCCTAACTAGCTTTATGACCTGGCTTGGCCATGCCTTGGAGGCCGACCGCGGGCGCAACCTTGGTCTTTTTGGCGATAGCAGCGGTCACTTTTGGGGCACCTGCATCGATTGTGACCGCTGGCACGGGGGCGTGATGGTAGCCACCCGAGGCGCTTCAGACCCATGCCTGCAGGCTTGGTGCAAGGAAATCTTCAGTGGCAAGTACACGGCCGATCAGGCGGCTCTCGATTACATCTCCGAGAATGAACCTGTCTGCTCGGGCATGTTCATGATGAACCCCCAGTATCTCATGTTTATGAAAGACTACACGGCCGTCTTCCTCAAGCCCGCCAAAACCTTCTCGCACGTTACGGCTGCAGGCCGCTTGGAGGATCAGAGCTGGTTCTACAGATGCGTCGTGCGTCTCAAACTAGGTTTGCGCATGTAGAGGAACCATCGATGCCCCGTGATCGCTTGGTTCTCCTGCTTGGCCCCTTCTTCGCTTTGCGACCGTGCTTCACGCCCTGGTACACGCGTGCTATGCTGGAGAAGAGGGTAACATTGTGAAAAATTGAGTCTTGAATGGGTATCTTCCCTGTGTTTTTTTTTCTTGTCGGCACGCAAACTAGCTCTCAACCTCACAACCAGATTTTCTGACTCTGTCGCACTATATGCCTGCCTCTCTCTCTCTCTCTCTCTCTCTCTCTCTCTCTCTCTCTCACT